GAGAGAGTGATTTTGAAGAAAGTGATGATGAAAGGTTGGAAAATGAGGAAAGGGATTATAATCTATTCGCCCGACGCCATGTATATAGTAAGATGGGGAACTGGTATGCCTCATGTGTAGACAAGGATGAGTTTGCTCTTAAGATGTGGGATGAGACGCCCGAAGGAATGGACATTGGTGTTTGTTTCAAATCTCAACCAGAAGCAAAGCATGCTGTGAAATTATGGAATATCCATCATAAAAGGGAATATACGGTCGCGCGAGTAGTCCAAGGACGTGGGGCATGCGGTGCGGAACATTTAATGTGGAAAGTGAGGATGGTGAACCACCATGTGAGTGGAAGATGCGTGTGTCATTGAAAGCTCACGGCCTTCATGAAATTGTGAGATGGCATGATGCACATAATTGCATGACTCCTGTGAATGATAATGACAATCGGTGTGTGGACGCGTCTTTGATTGCTAGACTCATCGGGAGAAAGGTTGAGGACAACGTAGATTATACGGTAGCCTCGGCACGAAAGATGTGAAGACCTTATTGAAAGTAGATGTGTCATACAAAGGGCGTGGCACGGGAGGAGGAAAGCCATAGAAGCGGTCTATGGTGATTGGACCTCCAATTTGAAGAACTTCCACGGTAAATATCAACTTTTATCCGTGTATTGAAATATTTATAGTATTCTTATTTTTACATGTATTGAAATATTTTAACAATGACTTGTTGTTGTTTAGGTATATCGCTGCGCTTAAGTTTACTAATCCCGAGACGTAGTAGAGTGGGAATGGAAGGAGGGACAAGAAGGTTGGAACAGGGAAACCGGACATTTAAATACGTCTTACGGTCATTTGCACGGTGGTGAGACATTTTTGAATGTCCACCGGTCATTTGTATCGATGGAACCTTTTTGCGTGGTGGATACAAGGGTAAATTGCTTGTTGCGGTGGTGTATACCGCAAACAAGCACATTTTACCGGTTGCATTTGCGATTGTTGATGAGGAGACAGTAGAGAGTTGGACATTTTTTATGAGGAATTTGAGGTTGTGGGTTGTGTATGATAGAATCGTAAGTGTGATATCCGACCGGAATGCAGGGTTGTTGAGCGCAATGTTACAGATGGATGAATGGCGTGATTTAGGTGATGGTGGGCACTTTCTTTGCCTCCGCCACGTTCGCAGCAATCTTGTGACGCGATATAATAGCAAAAAGGTGAAGCGGTTATGTTGGAAGATGGGCACGACGCTTTCAAGAGTGAAATACAACCGCATGAGGGCAGAGCTTATTGAATTCAAACCTGTTGCATGGGAGTATCTTCGAGGGATTGGGGGGAGTAACTAGGCTCGATTGAAAGCCGGTCTTCGCCGTTGGGGCATAGCGACAACCAACATTTCTGAGAGTTACAACAATGCGTTGAAAGGGATCCGTTTTTTACCAATTAGAGCCTTGATCGATGCAACCTTTCGCAAAACTGTTAAATTCTATAGAGAAGAACAATTGTCTGCGAGAAATTGCATGACACCGATCCCTCCCGAGTTATGGAAAAATACGAGAAAATGAATGATAAAGCGGCCAGTTTTGAAGCCACCCTTTCGATGGTGATGATGCTATGTGGCGTGTTATTCGCCACACGCCTAAGTGGCGGGGTGGGTCTCTGCATACGGTGAACTACGATGAACATAGGTGTTCGTGCGGGAAGTGGCAAGAGTACCGGATGCCTTGTACGCACGCACTCCAAGTTTGTCGGAGAAAAGGGGATCGGCCTATTGATCTATACCATAGTGTGTGGCGCCTTCCAACGTGGCGCAGACAATTTAATTACACGGGCTTTGTTCCGGTTCCCGATGAGGAACAATGGCCGATGGTCAATTGGAACATCGTTCCGAATTATGAGCGTCTTGTGTTGCATGCGGGACCGGGACGAAGACAAAAAAGGAGACATAGAATGCAAATGGATTATAGGGGACGCCTGAGCCGGGGGGAATGTTGGAGATGTGGACAACTAGGTCATGATGCCAATGCATGTCCGTTCTCGCACCCAGGAGTAGATAGAAGACCTGTGAATGACAGCTGGAATTGAGTGTAATTTACTATTCTTGCAAGTTATTTAGTGTTTGATAAATTTATGTGAACATTGATAAATTCGGATTGTAATGTGAACATTGAATTTTTCGGATTGTAAAGTGTGATGAAATATGTACTATTTTTCATAACAGTACATCGGATTGTGCAAAATACTCATCATTGTAAGGTTTTGTGAAGGATTCAGATTTCAGAAATCCGAGCTCAGAGTTTTTTTTTGAAATTGCAAAGGACTCGGATGTCCGCAATCCGAATGGGTGAAACCCATCCGAGAGTTGCAATTTGAGGAGAAACAGGGAAGATTCGGATTTTATAAATCCGAGCTCAGAGATTTTCTCGAATTTACAAAGGACTCGGATTTAGGAAATCCGTGTTTGTGAAAAGCATCCGAGAGTTGAAATTTGAGGAGAAACAGGGGAAATTCGGATTTTGTAAATCCGAGCTCAGAGATTTTCTCGAATTTACTAAGCACTCGGATTTAGGAAATCCGTGTTTGTGAAAAGCATCCGAGAGTTGAAATTTGAGAAGAAACAGTACTAACTCGGATTTCGCTAATCCGAACTCAGAGTTTATTTTTAATTTGTAAAGGACTCGGATTTCAGAAATCCGTATTTGTGAAACTATCCGAGAGTTGAAATTTGAGGGAAATAGGAAAGACTCGGATTTAGCAAATCCGAGTTTGACGGGACTATATATTGTTCGGTCAACTCTTCCCTTCCTATTTTTCCCCCAATTCCAGAATTAACAAAACCCTACAACTAAACTCCAATTAAACAAAAATCCGGCGACTCCCACCACTCAATCTGGCGACTCCCTCCACTCCCTCCGTGATTTCCGGCGTCTCTCCTCCATTCTGGCGACTCAATTTCCAGAATCCGGCGTCTCTCCTCCCTCTGGACAATTCGGCGTCTCTCCTCCCTCTGGATAATCCGGCGAGGTTCCTTGCAATCCGGCGACTCCCTCCGACTATCTCCACCTCCGGCGACTTTGTGAAATCCGAGTCCTTTTTTTTTTTGAATTGTCGTTGGTTTGTGTTGATATAGTGTTTGTGTTGAATTTAAGTTGTGTCTATTGTGAATTGCTTATACATGTGGTGTTGATATAGTGTTTGTGTTGGATTATCGTTGTGTAAATAGTGAATTATGAATGTATATAGTAGTTTGGTAGTTTTGTTTATTTGTTTGTTTATGGTTTGGTTGATTTGTTTGTTTTGGCCGAGTGTACATCGTTTGGTAGTTTTGTTATTTGGCCGAATGTATATAGTTTGGTAGTCTTGTTTATTTGGTCGAATAATTTGAAGTTTGGTTGATTTGTTTGTTTTGGCCGAGTGTACATCGTTTGGTAGTTTTGTTATTTGGCCGAATGTATATAGTTTGGTAGTATTGTTTATTTGGCCGAATATTTATGGTTTGGTTGATTTGTTTTTTTTTGGTTACCTTGTGTAGGATTGAAATGGCGACGCCGGCATCGGGCTCCCAATATGACTATCAACCTAAACATCTGCACCCGGGACCTATACAAGATAAAATGCTATATCGTCAAACAAAGCATAGGTCCCAAGCTGTCTATGAGAACAGGATACCGGACATTAAGACATTCCGCCTCAAGGACCGTAGGTACGACAGCGATTTTTGGGCGTTATATAAAAATACGGCCCCGGAGGTTAAGGAAGTCATTAGGAGAGCCGGTTTTGAGGGGATCATGAAAGTAGGGTACAAAAGAGTTGATCTAGGCCTCATTACCGCGTTGGTGGAACGGTGGAGGCCGAAACCCACACTTTCCATTTTAATTTCGGAGAGGCGACGGTGACGCTACGGGACGTCGAGGTCTGTTTGGTATTCGGGTGGATGGTGACCGGTGTACGGCACGACAGCTTAGCCGGATTGCGGATGAATGGAGGGATCGATGTGAGACTTATTTGGGATTCCGCCGGCAATCGTAAATGGCCAATGTGTCAATGTTGGTATTTTCGAAGATGAGATGGGCCATGCACTACCTTCAAATTCCACTGTCCATCGATTCGAGCAAAGGGCCAGACACTTATACCGCATTTTATTAGCGGTTTCATGTTTCGAACAAGACGCGAACACCTGTCAATCTACGATTCTTGGCCTGAGTTGAGGATTTGGATCGGTGTAGTCGATACGGTTGGGGATCGGCACCGCTTCTTCAGGGTTGTACTCGCCTATGCGAGGCATCACAGTATACCATGCACGACGCCACCGGGTGTCTATATTTGCTACAGGTACGTATTAGTTTTCATTTTGTGCTTTAATTATTTTGCGCTTTCGACGTTATAATTTGAAATTTCTACTTTATTATTGCAATTTACTAGGTATGGGCGTATGAGTGGATCGAGAGGATCGCGCCCCAAAGAAAAGGAGTAGATTATTTGCTTGATGAGACCGCTCCATTAGCTCAGCGGTACGTATTTTCAGTTCAAAATAACTCAACGTTTAATTCTATTTGTTTCTTATTCATTTATTTCACTAATTCAAATGTACCCCTTTGTTTATTAAGGTGGGAATGTAGGTACACGTACGGCGACGCCCCAAGGAGCAGCACTCCACCTTTTAGAGATCAATTAACAAGTCTGCGTGTTGAAGATGTAAGTACTTGTAATTTGGTATTTATATTTACTTTGAGATCAATTACCCCTTTCTTTTGGTTTCGGTTGTACCATCTAATGAAATTTTTTCGTGCGGTTTGGTGGCAACCATATGCACATGTCCTCCATAGACTCCCTGATTTCTATACACAAGGCCAAGCCATTTGGACGACTAGGTGTTGGATGTTCTGTTGGGCTATTAGGGAACCCCACGAGTCGGGCAGAGTCGTAAGACAATTTGGATACATACAGGATGTTCCCAAGCGCCCCATGATTAAAGATAATGCAGCATTCCTTCTCGATCACGCCCACAGTATGTCTGGGTATCCTAGCAATAATTGGGAGGATCACCATTCCGCAGTACGCCGTCATTGGAATAGGAGAAAAGAGTTCGTACTACGAGATTTGGAGGAAGGAGATCCTGGTTCCGTATATGAGGGGTACTATGAATGGTTTATGGTGAACACTATCAGATTGATATCCAATCCCGGTAATTATGAACCTCAAGGATACGAGACTTCTTCGAGCCGCGTGAAATTATATGTGAGTTAATTGTAGATTTCTTTTATTATTTCTTATGTTTCCATTTCTTTTTCATTTTTTTTTTAGAACTTTACTCTCTTAATTAACGTCTCAATTTCTTTTCAGGGTGAAGTATTGAACAACATTCGCGTGAGTACCGAGAGGTTTAGAGAAAAACGAGAAGATGATAATCTCCTAGACGAAGAACTTGACAAGCATTTGGACGATATCATCAATCAAACACATGCTTGCTTTAACCTTGGCGCAAATGATGAGATGGAGGTGGATGATACCCAAATCTGGTTGATGAAGATCCATTTTTCCCTCACAACCTCCGCCGGTAAAAAGCGAAACCGTGGTCAAGAGATAAGATTGGAGGAGGAAGAAAGAGAAGGTCACAATCCCCTGGACATCGCAACAACAAACGAGGGTCAACAAAATGAGGATCAAGCACATTCCTCTCGAGGCTCGCGCATCCATGTCGAGACTCATTTTGAAGAAGTTGTGGACCCGAGACTCGGTTTGACATTGGTGGACCCGAGACTCGGTTTGACATTGGTGGACTCGAGACTCGGTTTGGTGGACGATCGCAACCACAACCGGAGTCAAATTTATCACCATGGGGAGTCCCAATCTCAACCCCAAATCGAGGCTCGGTTTGGTGGACAGTCGCAACCACATCAAAGTTCAATACTCACATATCTTAAGAGGAGACGAGGATCCGACGGGCCCAAACAAATACACTCCGGATGCGCACAATAAAGGAAAAGGGAAAAAATGAGACATTTCATTATTTTGGACATTTATAGTAGTTTTTGTATTGAACTTTTTATGAAACTTGATTTATTTTGTTGTTAATCGAATGCCGTTTATTGTTTTGTTGTTATTAAATTCCTATTTTCCAATGTTTCATTGTTGTTGGTCTTTAAAACATGTTTAGGATGGTGAAAATCACCCAATTTTTTTCGATTCGACAAAGACTCGGATTTGCGAAATCCGAACCCGTGCTTTGTAAAGAATTGGATTTCGAAATCCGAGTCCGTGGCAACCTGGGAGTCACCATTTTTCGAAACAGAGCGATTCGGATTTGTAATCCGAGTTCGCCCAAATTTAATTTTTCAACACATTATTTTTTATCTCTCCGAAAATTAATATTTTATTCATAAAAACGGATTTATAAAATTCGGATTTAGATTAATTACACTAATTTTTGTCATTAATTTAATATCGGATTTACGTAATACAAAGTCGGATTTTAATAATCCGAGTTGTGTTGGGGTCGGATTTCGAAATCAGTTTTCCCATTCGGATTTTCTAAATCAAGGCATATAAATTTGTCTGAGGTTTTAAAAAGCTTTATTTTTGTCTAGGTTTTTTTTTTCATATATATATTTAAGGAAAAAATTCAGAAAATATCTTGAGAAAAAGTGACAAACGAAAAGTCTGAAAACGTGGGGACCTTGGAGGCAACAAAAAGTCTCCGTCGTCCAAAACGTTTTTGGCCTTTTAGGTTTTAGCTTTTAGGAATTCGGATAAATTCATCGAAAATCTGTAGGAAAAATAAAAATGGAAGAGGATACCAAAAATCAAAAAAGAATCGCCCACTAAGGCCCGAATGCAGCCCGGTCCACAATCATTATCATCATTAGAGAGTCCTCCTTATTTTACTTTTCCTTTGTATCATCGGAATTTATTTGTATTCGTTTTGGTTTCCATTTCTCGTTAAGGAGGAGGATCCATGGATTTAAATTAAGGATTAAATTCAACAGAGATGATGAGCACCTTTCACCACCATCTCTGTTATTTTTAGCTGCTAATTAAGTTCTCACAGTAGGTATTAGTAGTACTATTTATTAGTTACAAATATATAACCCTCCAGGCTCCACCCCCAACACAAGGATAGCCGCCGGCCATGGAGGAGGAGAAGAAGAACTACTTTGTTGGAGGTGGAGATGCGGGAGATTTGTACGGTGGATTCATGATGGTGGTTCCTAACATCATTGACCCACTTGGTCTTCTTCTTCGCCACCACCATCCGGATGCTTCTCCGCCGCCGCACAATCCTCCTCATTTGATTCTCAACTCTGGTTTCCGGCGGCACCACCGCCCCTCCATGCCTGCGTTTCAGTTTCCTCCTCCTCCTAAGCTGGACGCCCTCATCCTCGCCCCAATCCACCCCTCTAAACCTCTTATGCTGCTCCAGGTGTGTATGAGTACTTTCCACCCACCCATTACTGCCTTTTGTCCATTTTTATTAGGTGTTTTTTACTTTTTTCCCCCTCTTTCGAATAATTAAAGTTTCTCTTTTTGTTCTGGTCTGGGGATTCAGGAATTTCTCAGGACAAGAGAAGTTGGGGAGTTCATCAGCGGCGCACTGGCAGGTGCGATGACCAAAGCCGTTCTTGCTCCTCTTGAAACCATCAGGTTTATTCCCCCACCTTTCATTTTCGTATTTACAGACGCATGGATGGTATGGGTGGTTGTTGTTGTTGTTGTTGTTTTTTTTAATTTTTATTTTTTAAAAATTTTTATCATTGGTTTTGGTTTAATACTCTAAACAATAGAAGTTATTGAATATCATGCGAATCACAGAACAAACAAAAACAACTGATCAACATCATGACCTACGCCATTCTCATTCCCTATCTTAAGTTTTCCACCTCAATCTCAATTTTTTGTCTAGGTTTTTGTCCCTGTTTCTTAAAAGCTCAATGACTGGATACTTTCCACATCCATTACCCTATTTGTTATCATCACTATATAAATATTGTTTTACTTTCATCTGGAAATAATGCAAATCCTAGTTTTTCGCCTAATGGAAACAGAAACCATACATGCTCCATTTGCAAATTGACCATTCATCCTATTTGGACTTTGATGTTAATGTTAAATGACTAACCCGAGTGTGAATCATCACAAAACAGTCCAAATTTTTTCCCAGTTACAAATGCTTTCTCTAATTTATCTTTCCTCAAATGATAGTTTGCTCTTAATCTTTCCCTCCCAAGTTCAAGTATTGAATTTTAAACTCCTGAATTAAACATTTTTCAGGACTAGGATGGTGGTTGGAGTAGGGCCCAAAAACATATGTGGCAGTTTTGTCGAGGTAATTGAGAAACAGGGTTGGCAAGGTCTGTGGGCTGGGAACATGATCAACATGGTTCGTATTATCCCCACCCAGGCAATCGAGCTTGGCACTTTCGAGTTTGTCAAGCGAGCCATGACTTCTGCCCAAGAGAAATGGCTTCAGGAGGACTGCCAAAAGTTTCAGCTAGGTAATCTTAGTTTGAACCTTACTCTCTCTTGGCTCTCACCAGTTGCAGTAGCCGGTGCAGCTGCTGGAGTAGCCAGCACTTTGGCCTGTCATCCACTTGAGGTCTTAAAGGTACAAGAAGTTGTAGTTATAATTTTCCTTTTGATTCCCTTTATACATCTTTTTGCTACATTTTATTTGAGCTTGCTATTATGTGCTGAAAGGGTCACCAAGTTTGTCTAATACTCTTCTTCAGGACCGATTGACCATAAGTCCTGAAGTCTATCCTAGTATAAGCGTTGCTGTTCGTAAGATGTACAAGGATGGTGGGGTTGGTGCTTTATATGCGGGTATATTCCCTACATTGGTTGGCATGCTGCCTTACAGTACTTGTTACTATTTCATGTATGACACCATGAAGAAGTCATACTGCTTAGCGAAGAACAAAGGATCTTTGAATCGCACAGAAATGCTATTGATTGGAGCACTTTCAGGTGAGATACAGTATTTGTTGCTGGTTCAAAAATTGTGGCAGTTCTGTCTAGTCCTTTTTTAAGTATAGAAAGTGCTGTATTCATGAAACTACCGATAGAGATAGAAGTGTTTCGTGAAAAGAAAAGCTTAAGATAAAGTTTATCATATTGCCTTAAATGAAGACCAGCTGTTCCCCCCCCTCCTCCTCCTCTCCCTCTTTTTTCTGGTTGTAGCTGAGGAACGATGAGATCCAATCCTCCAACCACTAGGGTGAGTCCCAAATCCCTTCACCTCTGTGCCTATGCCATATTGAGGCCTAAAACGTTCTTATGTTTGTGCCCTCTGCAGAAGGTTTCTACCAGAGAGTTTCTGGTTCATATTGTGTTATTACTAGGACGTCACATTTGTGCTTTGTGCATTATATGTTAAAATATCCCTTTGGGTTTTATACAAAAAGGGCATCCAAGGCATGGGGTAGCCTTAAAATCGATCATTTCAGTCTTTTTTTTTTTAGGGTGGCCTTTTTGGGAAGGTGTTGAAGTGGTCGGTTTGTAGACAAAGGGCATCCAAAACTTGGAGATTATTAGGAATCAGGCGGCCATAAAATCAATACCGTGATTCTTATCTTTTAGGATGGGGTGTTTGGGGGGTGTTGAAGAGGTGGATTTGGTTAGATTTTCTTGGTGAAAGCTAACTATTTTTGTTTCTTTATATCTCAACTGGATCAGGTTTGACAGCGAGCACTATTAGTTACCCACTTGAAGTGGCAAGGAAACGGCTAATGGTTGGGGCATTACAGGGAAAATGTCCACCGCACATGGCGGCTGCACTTTCCGAAGTTATTAGAGATGAAGGTATTATTGGACTCTACAGAGGTTGGGGTGCAAGTTGTTTGAAAGTCATGCCATCCTCTGGGATCACCTGGATGTTTTATGAAGCCTGGAAGGACATCTTGCTTGGTAGTAGTGCTCAAAGAAGATCATGAGTTCCGGTTGAGGAATTTTTTTTCCGGGGGGGACTAAAACTGAACTGCAATTCTAACTGATCTTAATGGGAAAGGTTCCAGAATGGACAATAAAAATTTCTGATCTGGCTGAGGCTGTTAATCATGAAGTAGAGTTTGGGGGAGCAAACTGCTGTTTCGAAGTGTGGCTTGTGATTCTCTTCCCAGAATGACAAAGACTGAAAGAAGAGGCGCGTTTTCAGACCATGTTGGCAATTTTTCTTTAACATATTTACCTTTCCCAGCAAACCATTGAATTGATAAGGTTTTCCTCACCCCCCTTTCTGACTTAGGCGCGATAGTTTTGACACCAACTATTTATTTCTTCTTATCGAGAAAGCTAGCAAGCAAATTAGTAGTAACCTTTTCATAAACTTACACCTATTTTCTGAAAGGTTTTACGGCTATGTGTTTGCCATCAAGCCCAAAAATTTATCAGTAAACTGTATTTGGGTTTAAAAGCACTGCACTGAATAAATTAGTAGAAAAGTTGAATAAACATTAAAAGTCTATTTACTGAAACGTTTTACATCTAAGCAATTTAAATTAGTAGAAAAACTGAGGACGTCTAGAAAGCGCTGCACTGAATAAACTACCAGAAACAAACGTGCTGACTTGTGATTTTCAGGCACGACTGAACTTGGCCAAAACCAAAATAAACATCTTACCTAGCAAAAGCAGCAAAACAACCACCAAAAAGGGGTAAACGTTTGTCTGCACAATACCATGAACATCCTTCTCCAATCATGTCGCCAGATGTTGGAAAACCAACAACACAGAGAAATTAGCACATCTCTTTGTGAGTTCTTTCATGGATATACAACGTCATCTCATGTGGCTAAGAATGAGTTGGACTAAAGAGGAGTTCACTTTACATGCATCACAGTGAAGTAACAGACGCATGAGAAGGGGTAAATACTTAAAAGAACAAACAATGTTGCGATAGATCTTCATCCTAACGAGGCAACAAGGAGGGATGAGAGGTCTAAACCAAAATAAGAGGGAGATGTATAAGTAATGCTAACTATTCCGGAACCAAACTCGAGGAATCTTTTCGCCAAGGGAACCACGAGCTCAATAGCTGGGAATTCTCAGCAAGAGAGTAGAGACAAAAAAGGCAAAGTCCTGTACCCAGATGGTTGAGTGATTAGAGAAAACAAGAACAAAAATGACAGGGGAAACAATGAGTAGTTGATACTGTTGGGGTTTGAAGAGAGGGAGAATGTTGTATTACCAACATAAGCAAATGTAGCAGCAGAGACAATTCTTGCGAAGGCTGATAATAGATAAAGGATGGAAACCACCTGTAAATAGAAGACTAGTTTAAGTTTGCAGTTATATACAGTAAGTCCAACATAAATCGAGAAAGTAGCAGTGCGGCGCGGCAAACAAATAGAGAATGAAGACATTATCAGTGAATTGATCTAATTAAGCCTTAAAATCTTAAATTGCTGCGGGCACAAAGCGCCTGGGTCTTTGATTGAGATATCAAGTTGTTGACGATTTAGATTTAGCGGTGCTCGGATAGGACGATCAATGAAAGTTCTAGTGATGTAGCGACGCCAGGATGCAAGGCTAACACGGATACGAGGACATGAAGGTGCTATTGATTAAGATAGCTCAAGCAGCAGTATCTAATTCTAGGCATCATTTTGACACTAAAAGGGGAGTTTTAGGAATGCTTATGAATGGACAGCTATTACAGATTATTACATATGCTGTAAGCGTTGCAAGGAAATTTAAAACAATGGAATTGAAAACAGTATAGGATTAGTTGTATACAATACAAGTTGAGTTTGATAGGAATGATGCTGTCTAGGAACAGCTAAGCTCGGGATGTTTGGCTAACAGCAGGTGGACAAATTTCAATAATTAATTGCCACAATTTCTCATAACAGTAGAAGCAAACAAGTATTACTTGAGGAGGAGGAGTTGACCTTAAAGAAGAGGCGCTTGTCATGGCCGGTGGCGGCGACCCTGAGAACGGATTCAGCAGCACCGATGGTGTTAGCAAGGCACGCGAACATGGAATTGGCTGCATCCTGAGATATCTGCCACTCAAGTGGATCAACCGGAACCTGGATGTTCATCTGCCGGAATAGGAGGCCGAGTATGGCCAGGGAGCAGAGTAGGACGATGAAGACGTCGGAGACCAAGGATACGAGGCTGGAATTGCGGTAGGCGCAGTGGTAATACACCAGGCTCCCGCATATCATGACGATCACCGGCTTCCCACTCCCGAGGTCGGAGGCAGGGGAGGAAGTTTTAGCCTTTCCCTTTCTAGTTCCTAGGCCGGCGGAATTGGGCGCCGATGGCTCCGACATCGTCAATCAATTAATAACTGAGAGTTTTTACCTGATGAATTAATGAGCTCTGATTCCGATTGAGTAGCAGCATCACGTATGATTCATTTTCCACACAGAATTTCAAAACTCTGGGGAAATACCCGAGATAGAGAGAGAGAGAACCAATTTTATTTTTGTCTTCCAATGAGTCCTCGAACCCCAACGGCCCAGCCCAATAGCAGGCCCGACTTCGCGGAATGTCACCTGTCTTTTTGATTGATTTTATTTTAATTGAAAAAGAAAGCAAAAGGCACTAATTTTTTTTTCCAAACTTTAGTACTAGTTGCAATTTTAAATTAGAGAGAGAGAGAGAGAAAAAAAAAAAAGAAAGAAAAATTTATGTCCCAAATAACCCACAATGAAACTATGTAATAAATATTTTTTTAGAATAAAGATACAAAATATGTTTTATGCATAACAATAAAAAAAAATAAAAATAAAAATGCTGGCGAGTATACATGGAAGGTTTTGTAAGCATTTTTTGAGATTCAATAAATATGATGATAGGAGCACCCAAGTGCACCATATTGCCAACCATCTGAAAGCGAGCAACAAAAGACATCAAATATCAAAACACGAGAGACAGACCCCATTCCCATGCTTTCTGTGGGAAAAAATAAAAAATAAAAATGCACAACATTGCAGGTTACAAGGGGGTACCCATCTGCACAATTCTGATTAAACAATCACAAAGGACAAGCTACACAACCACCAGTATTTGTAGTCTGCTCCATACTTATGGGTCACAACATTGTTCAGCACAACAATCAAGATTACATACATAACACTACGTACATACGCTGCATACTTACATATATAATATTTACTTCAGTTTCCACGTACTATATAACTCCTTCCGCATAATAATGTATAAAGCCATATACAAGTTCATAAGTATCAGCAAAAGACAGTTACATGCCATCACCCATCCTCTACTTATTATATATACTTTGTCGTGCTTTCCTCTTTATCAACTGCCTTCCAGCATCAGGGATTTGATTCCACCCCACCAAACCTACCCGATTCAATACCATTATTCCTCCTCTCCCGCAACTTAGGGCTCAGTGCTCTCACCCTCTGCATCACAGTCAAATCGATCAGTCAATCAAATCATACATAGAACTCTTAAGGTGATTGACAATGACACTATCAATAATTTGGCACCTAACCATGATGGATGACAACATGCTCATTTCATGTCAGTTTCTGACCAAAACATGATTAACCAAGAGAACGAGATACATCTCATATTTATGCTTGATAGCAAAATGGCTAGGTTTAAGTAGGCGCACCTTCCCCAGATAATTGTTCAAATCGAGCAACAATGTGTTTCCCATAAGTATATTTTTTCAAAGCATGAAGATGTACTCTGATTCTGTTCAGCAATATTTCCCGCTGTCTGTCATTGCTTATTTCAAGTATCTTCTGCACTACGTAGTTCGCAAACTGGTCCTTCATCATCGTCTGCCAAAGACGAAGCCATAAAACAATAGAAATGAGTTTTATCAAATCAGCTATTTCAAGGCTAAAACAACCAAAAATTTAAGAATGGTCTTACCAATAAATTGTCACTCTCCTCTGGTTGAGCAAGAATCTCGTCAATCAAGTTCTCCCGGTCAGTAGCACCACCATACTCCAAGCATTTCTCAATAACATTTGATGCATATTTATGTTGACTAAGTAAAATGATGTTCCCCATCAATTTACTGATAATCTGACTTCTTTCAAATGGTTTTCCCCTCTCTAGAACATGCTGCAACAATAGAGCCATTCCTAGTCTTTGAATTTTACAAATTACTTCAATCCAAAAAAATCATATATGAAAACAAACATCACCACAATGCCTACCTGGGTGACATAATTTCCGTACTGATCTTGAGCGAGAACATAGGCTGATTCCAGTATCTCATCCACAACACATTGACTTTGAGGATCATCCGAACAGTGCTCCAACACTCTCTAAAACCAACCATTAAGATATACTCAGAAAACATTCAAAAGGACAGAACATTGGATTAATATCTGACCAAAAGTTTTAGTATATTTCACCACACCTGAATAACACGACAACCGTATGGGTGAGTGGACAGTGTAGCAACCTGTCCTTGGAAAGCAGAGATTACAAAGCCTATCTTTTCGGTAGGGACACATTCAATGCATTTCTGTATGACATGGTTTCCATTTTGATCCCGCACACATCTCATTACATGTCCATCTAACTCGTAAACAAGTTCTGTTTTCTGGTCAAGATCAACAACCTCTAGCGCCTGAATTGAATGTCGACCAAATTCAAAAACAAATACTGGTTAGTTCTTTTTGTGTCACATCCAACTAAACAAAGACGGATTCCTCTGTGGTAATGTACATGGAGGTGGGGTACAGAGTAGGTTTTATTTCAACTAAGTACGCCCACAAAATTTAGGAAGAGGCAAGAATGTTCCTGTTTACAATAAGGCACCAAAATGGCAACAGTAGAGAGGTCATTACAACAGTTTCTGACATCAACATCTACTGTTTCACAGAGAAAGTGAGCAAATAGAAGGGCTGCCCAGAAAATTAAGAACCTAAACAGTCAAAAGAGTTTCTGAAACAAAACCACACGAATATAATTACACACACTTGCATCCATAAAACCAACATCGATTGTACAATATAAGACAACACAATAATTTGCACTAACATGTATATACCTTCTGAATAACACGACACCCATACATCTGCAAACTTAATGTTAGCATTTGCCCAGATAGTTGAGCTGCAAGTTCTTTCCTCTGGTCAGGATTCCCGTGCTCGAAGAACTGCATGCATGAAAACGAGTTAGAAAATACACCTTACCTAAATAAAAGTGAGTATGCATGCAGGCTTGTACAACAAAAAGATAGCACGCCATTTAAAATCTCACCTTCTGAATTACATAGTTTCCAAAAACATCTGTCATCAATTTTGGTGCATGTGGAAGAACTTCTTTGAAGACAGATGCCTTCTCTTCAGCAGTGCAATTTTCCAGCTTCTGCTGTATAAATCGACTGCCGTGTTGATCAATGCTAGCATTAAGTAGACAAAATACAATTATTTTTTAGGCGAAAGATAAAAAAATAGTATAGCATAAAGGAATCTCAGACAAACATGCGAGTGAATAAAGATTAAAAAACCTGAACTCAACAACACGACCAGCAAGGTCAGAAAGATCAATCTTCTGTGCATTGCTTGGTTTCAGTTCGTCCAGAAGACTCTGCTTCTTTGGGTCACTAAAGCCATCACGTCCTCTTTGTCCTTGCCACCCAGAATAGACACCAGGGTTTCTGACAGAAGCCTGTCTTAACTCGTTTCTCCTACCCGCTAGGTCCCCCCCTCCAACTGGAGATCCCGGTAGCACCGCACTGCCAATAGGGGATCCAGGATACTGGGACAAGAAACTGAGGCCCGCTGGAGTCCCGTAGAAATTATTGCCAGGAGTTACCACTTTTCTTGGACTCAATATGCTCGGGCTACCATCACTAGGAGAAGGCTGGAATTTTCTATCACCAACATAAGCCACGAAGTTTGGATCCTTCTGTGGAGAATAAGAATCAAATTGACCTCCAACCACATTCATCGGTGACAAACGGGCATAATGTGCTGGATGGCCATATGCATCCTCCATGGGTGGGTGAAAGTACTGCAAGTGAAAAGGATCAGACAAGGAGGGCTGCACCATCAGCCCTTGATGACCATAAAACTTGTTATAATGTTGCAAATCACTGACTTGCTGGCTATTTTCCACTGCTGAAACACCAGCAATTTGTTCACCATAGCTTTGTCCAGAACTGGCATCAAAATGCATAGAGACACTTGTTTGTGATGGATATCCAGCAACAAAAGATGGAACAAATGAGGAACTAAATGTTGTATATCCGGCCATACTGTAATGCGGAGCATAAAAAGTAGATGGACTGAAATTCGAGTAAAATTGGTTTCCTGAAGCCATGTATGCTGCAGCTGTAGCCGTGGCATACAGGGGAGGAGTAAATCCAGGAGCTTGCAGTGTGGCCTGCCCTTCTGAAGAAAATTTTAGACTGTTTTGAGGAACTTTGCTGATGCCCGAGTGCATATCACTCAGTGGCGGATTAGTAACTTGATCATGAGATCCATGAAGTTGATAATGTGGTCGTTGAGTGAATGTAAGATACTGCTGCTGCACTGTGTTCTTCTCAGGAAATTTATCTTGTGTATGCCTCTTAGTTTCCTCGTATTTTTCTTTACTTATTTCTTTGTCGTATTTTTCTTTACTTATGTCTTTGTTGCTTTGAGGTGAAGAGGACCCCCCATGTTTATTTGGATAAGATGCTTCATCGCTGGCTTTCAACTTTTGAGAATCTTCAACTTGAACACTAGAATCAGTGCTACGTTTAGATTCAGGTGACTTCGAAACTTCAAGAGATAGATCGTCCAAGGTGAGAGCTTGATTTTCACTTTCAATTGGTTCATCTGCCGTATTATGCCCTAATGAACGAGATTGGTTGTACACTGGTGACGGTGTGCGGGGGAAATCTTCCTGTAAACAATTTATACGGGGAACATCATTTAGATCATGACCAAAAAAGAAAACGAACAGGAAGAGATTTTTCCTAGTCTTAGATTTCAATCTCTAAGGAACAAAGTCTCCTGGTCCCAAGACTACAATCGGAATATTTCAAATATTGAACAGGCAGGTTTTTCTACATTGCATTCACACCAAATCTCACATCCATTCACTCTGTCCTACAACCTTCTCTCCCAAGAAAAATGGAGTGAAAAGAGGGTGATCGGAATCTTCAAAGTGCCTAAAACACTATGTTGGCAACGAAAATGAAGTTTACCTGTATCAAGTCAACCAAACTTTTGTGGCGACCAGATGAAGACAACAAACTCTGTTCAGGAACAACTGAAGCACTACTTTCAGCCCAATCATCAGAAGTCAGCAGGGTGGAGCTATCGTCCTCTGGCTCCTCTGGATGAGTAGAAAGGGAACTTCTAGCCAAAATCATAGTTCTGTCAGCATTGCTTCCAGAAGATGTCATATTCCAACTACCGCCAGGAGCCCCTATCTGGCGTACTTGATGTAGACTGTCCCTTGACACATTAGGCCGGATAAGCTGTGGATTCAAGTTGAAACTGGACGAAGAATGTCCCGAAGAACTTGATGGGTTCAAATGCATTTGGTCACCTGAATGATAATGTTGGAGAGCTGTAGAATCCCAACTAGGCCTTTGTTGTTGGTATATAAGATTTCCAAATGCTGCAACGTAGGAACCTTCCATGCTGGGAGGAGCGCTGCCACTACGGTTTGGAACCATGTTTTTACGATCTCCTTGAAGATTATGCCCGCCAAGTAATAAACCCAACTCATCTGCAGCCAAATGATCCAATGGTTGTGTGAAAGAAGCAGCATCTGAAGACGAGACCCATTTTCTAGCCCCAGTGTTCTCCACGATTCTCACAGGGCTCTCTGTTGCCATACAGTCCGAAGACTGGTATAAAACCCCTCCCTGGAAAGACAGAGTAGACCATACCCTTTGATTAATACAATAAAGGCCGCCATCATTCATTGGGAGCACATATGGAAAGCAATACTACTTAAGAAAGAAACATCCGTCACAGGCAACCAATCCGAGTAAATTTTGGTTTTAGCATAATGTACTGAATGACGTACTAGATAAACATTATACCTATAGTGGCCACACACACGCGCACGCGCACACACGCACACGCACACGCACACGCAAGCACACAACACACCAAAACTTAGACAATGTTGTTGCCAGAAAAGACAGATAGTCGAAATCAATGTAGCACTACAATCTGATTCTGAAAGTTAGAACCTACACCTAACTTACCCACAACATGGGATAAACAACAGTAAACACAAAGTTGATTCAGTCAAACACTATGCCTCTCAAACCAGTCAGCCTCTAGTAACAAGATGGAAGAATAACATGAACAGCAAAAAATGACGGGATTTAAGCCATCAAGATGCTCTATTTATCTCAAGCCAAGGCAGAATATATATAAATGTATTCATTCGGACGTATCAAAAGGCTCAGACAGTCAGCAGAATTTACTCGTCATCCAAGACTGTACGGAGAAATAGCATAACCTTTGGCAAAATCCAACTCCAGCGGGAAAAAAAAGGCACATAGCTCAAAGAACAAATGAATTCAGGTCAGAGAATGGTTTTAGGGTTTAACAAGAAAAAAGAAACAATCTTTTAGCAACATCATATGAATACAACCGGGAGAGAAAAAAAAATTACCCATTTTTTTCCACAAAACAGGGCATATGAGAGACTGAAAAGGAATGAATTCATTTATTTTGCAGAAACAACAAAAAAAGCAGCGACTTGCAGCAACATCGTATTCAAAAAAAACTAAAGTTACTCATACGAATAATCATGCAGAGAGACCAACCACAAGGCAACCATTGACCAGCCCAAATGAATGAAATGAATCAAAAGTCAACACTGAAGAAAAGCACAAAACTTTGAAGCTAAAACTGCGGAAGAACTTGAGTAAGTAGCAGACTGAATTAACTAAACTGGAACGTGATCAAGGAAAACAAGACAAAGTGATCAAGAAAACAAAGAAAAGATTGGAAAAGAGATGGAGGGAATTGCTTAGTGCTTACCTAGAACCCTAAGAGACTCTGTCTGGTAAGAGTAAAAAAGTAGGAAGAGGTGGATGGACCAAAAGACCAACAAGTGGGGTGCTGCAATTGGAAATTGGGAATTGGAAGCTCCGATGAGTTCTGAAAATTCTGGTACAATGAAATGAAAAATGGCATTAGAGAGAGTGGAATATAAAAATAGGAAAAGAGGGGGGTTTGGGTTTTTGTACATAAACTAAGAAAATGGCTCGATTGTTGAATATATAAACATATTTTTGGTATACAAATTACAAATGTCACTTCCACAATTCAAATAGTCGAAAGGAGACCCCAGCCTCTTAAGTCTTAACACAAACAACACATACACGAGCTCACCACACCAGCTCAGTCCCCCAAAAAAACAGAAAAGGTCCAGTTACCCAACCAAAAAAAAAAGAAAAAGAAAACTTGATAAGCCTTCTTGATCGATTGATCAACAGCATTAAGCGGGTTGGTGCTTGCTTCTGAGTTGTTTATCTGCTAGTATATTTGCTTCGGGGCCTTTAGTTTTTTCTCTACTCTTTACCCAGTTTATAAAGAGGAACAAAAAAATACTAGGTGGGATGGTGTTTCTTCCCTCCCCATCCCAAAAACCATTCCAGTTCCAGGTTTTCAGTGTTTGTTCGTTCCAGATTGTATAGGTTCAGGTACTGGATTGATTTTTTTAACCACTTACACACATACTGTGCATCCTCATTCAACTTGGATCCTCACAGCACATCTTAATATTTTCAGAATTTGTAAACTTTGTCTTTCAGCATCAACAATTTAGTTCAAAATGGGTTTAGAAGAATTCCAGCAAGAACCTACGTAATTAGTTTCATAATCATCTAGCAACAACGATCTAAGCAGGTTTCCAACCGAGGGCAATGGTTTGGTGCGATGACTAGCAAAATTCCGAACCAAACCAGAACCGATAAACTACCTACCAGTGCCTGATGACTCAAACCAGTGAATCAACCAGAACAGAATTACAACCATACCATCATGATATTGCAGTAAGATGGTTGATTAAGAAGAAAACCTAGTATTAACTAGCAATCTTTGTCTCATATTGAATTTTGAAGGTGAAGTAAACAAGCTAGGGCCTGTTTCTATCAGTCTCCAGACTCCCAGGTGGTAGCCATCCCCGAGTAATTAGTGAGCATTTTACTACTCTTTCACCTATTAACTAGGAAACAACATAGGGGAGGGGTCTCTCCGGAGCTTGTCGCCATTCAAGTCAATCTTTTTCATCTTTTCTTCGCACCAAAACAGCTGCTCCTTGCTCATTTTGACCATTCTCATAACCCTCAACAATACCTTCACATCAATAGTGGCCAGCAATAGATCCTCGTCTTCACGTACCGTTGGCCATGCATTCTTTTTCCACCTTCTCGTCTTCTTTCGCAGCTCTTTCAGTTTCAAAGCTTTCTGTACTTCAGAGAATTAGTAAACGATCCATGAAGCAGATACATCATCATATGTGTACATATAATCAATAACCGGAGGAATTCACAGAAACATGGAATTTGTGGAGGAGAGTGCGTAGGAGAACAGCAAGATAGATTTACAGGTTAAGAGCACTCGGAAGTCGGAAAAGTATAAAAGATCACATGGTTTGATGAGCATTTCTTAAGTAGATCACCAGGGTGCTGATGGTGCACTATTTAGTGTCCGTGACAGCTTAAGCAAACATACATTTTCAGGGTAAATAGTCAAACTTACTACAAGAAAACATCAACTTTCAATGTGAAAATAAACGAGGCAAAAGCAATAGAAACAAAGGAGCCTCACTTTCTCAAAAGAAGCCTGCACCTGTTGTAGAGGAGTAGCCATCTGGCTCTGAGTAACGAATATATTCCGCACACCCCCAGATCTTTTCTTGTCCATCTTCACAAATTGATAAAATGTAAGGATTGAGCTCTCCATTATGGTAATCAGCTCTGGTGCAAGCATCAGCAAATTTGATTCTTCTTCTTCTTCTATAGTTCTGTTATCATTACCTACAATTGGTGTAAAAACAGCCTCAGAGAAACTAAACCCCCACCAAAACAAGCATCATTCAGACACGCAAGTTACTGTACATAGTTGTGTAAAAAAAAAAAAACATAGTTGGAGAGAGCAGCAAAATTACAAACTGAAAGCAAATCAAAGAGGATGAATGACAAAACTATCATATCTTATCTAACAGAAGTTATCTGAAGCTATCAGTATTGATCAATGTACCTTGGACCTTAGGAACCTGAAGCAGTTTTGGCAAAGAGTTCTTTGCTCGTGCATAAATTTCTGGTCGGAAGCCTTGCTCAAAAGGCTCATTTTCTATAAACCTTTGGAGTATAACCTGGAACTGCTGAAATTGCTGAGCACTATGATTGTAAGCAGTGGAACTTTCAAGCGCGTAAGAGATTTTCTGTCTAAGCTGTGTATATTGACAGTGAAGGGCATCCCAAGTCAAGCACAGTTGAGCTACATATGCTGTTTCTAGCTCCTGATAGGGGTCAGTTCCTGGCTGCTTCAAGAACTCTGTTTCATCCACAGGTTCTTTAACCTTTTTCAGAGACAGACACCGAAATGGAGCTGATAACTTTTTGGATGCAGATCGTTCCAAAGGCATAGAAGGAGCATGAGAACCTGCAAGATTATAGTATAAATTACTCAAAGCAAAGAGGTAATCCAGAAACTCAAGAGAAGGGTAATTAATCAAGCACAAAAAAAGTCTAAAGAACTAGAGTAGGTGGTTGCAAATTTGTATAAATGACAGAAGTGGAAGCAAATACATAGAAGCTAAACTGGTCATCGAGAAACCAATAATATTTACAGACAAACCAATACACAAAGCTAAAAGAGAGAATAATTCTGCATTGGCCTTGGTTTTTGCATGGCATATAAGGCTGAAGTTCATTGTGAGCTTGCTGAAGCAGTACATCTACGCTACCACAGACAAATAGCATAAACACGAAAACAAATAGGAACAACTAAACCTTCCTCACCAATTTCACTCAGCTGCTGCGCCATCACACGGTCGAAGAACAGCATTAGATCACGGTAACTATCATAGAAGGCATCAAAACCAGACCAGAAGTGGTGACCTTCGGCTTCTACATCCCTCCACTCGGTGGAGGTGGTCTCTCCCTCGTCCTCCACTTCATCCAACTCATCATCATCCCCAGGAGCCCCCTCCTCGGGTATCAAAGCCATGAAACTATTTCTTTTGAGCTCTTTCAGCCTCCTTTTGACTTCATTTGTAATAAAATCATCATCATCATCCTCAGCATCTGCAGGGGTGGTAGCATCAACCCCAACCGCATTATTATCCAAAGGTTCAGCTTTTTGACCCTTGGGTGGAAGCTGAAGCCCCACAGCTGGGTTATTACACCGCTCCTCGTCGGAATTTGGGGGATCATCCACAGAGCTTGGTTTGTGGGCTGCTCGAACAAACTTCTTAAGTCTCAAGAAATCCATACAAGAGCAATGCAGGGGGGAGGTGGTAGTGAAAAGGCCAAAAGATCCTCTCTTTTAACTCCAACAATACCTAAATCAACAAGCACATAAACATGAATCAGCAGGAAAGTATTAAAATCAATAGGTAGTAGTCACAGCTAGAAGTTAGATCAAAAGTTTCCTTGGTTCCAGAAATAAATCAAAGAGTAAATTAAACAGGCAAACGCAGTTACGAAATCTGAAAACAGAATGAAGAGCAAACAATTCGGATCTTCTTGCACTACACCCGGATATAAGCTAACATTTCCAAAATGGGAGTGAGGCTTGGAGCAGGGGCTTTTTTTACATTTTTTTTCCTATAAAGAAAAAAAAAAAGAAAAAAAGAGGCCTAGGAGATGCTGCACCGAATGAATAAACATGGTAATTGAAAAAGATCAGAAAATTGGAGAGGAGGTAGACGTAAATACCTGGGAAATGCGGAGAAAATAAAGCCCTAAACTTCACCGGAAAAATAAATGGAACGGCAGAATCAGAAGTACTGAAGTAGTGGTGATTAGGAGAAAGGAAGCAGCAGCATTAATGTAAATGTGTGTTGAAGAAAAAACTTCATTCAATTTCATGACATCATCGATGGCTGTGCTTTGCCTTTAATTCCAATCAAAGTTCTCTCTCTCTCTCTCTCTCTCTGTGAGTGTCAGTCAGAATAGTTACACACACTCACACAGTGTCCGGTGGAGTAGTGTGTCGTTGGAAGCCGCGAAAAAAAAAATAAAATAAAACCATTTCATCACCTCCTTTCTCTCTCTCTCTCTCTCTATTAATTTCAATTTTCATTCATTACTTTTGTTTGGGCCCTTCAGATGAGCCTGTCCGATCTTCCAGCCCAAATATATTCAACAGTCCAAATTAAAGCCCACTCCCTTCTCCTCCAAAAGAAATTTTATTTATTTATTTGTTAACCGAAAGGGGGGAAGTAAAACGACATAACCCTGCCTGACAGACGACCAAGAACAAGTGGCGGAGGAGGAGGAAGAAGAAAACTCCAGAAACTCCGACTCGAGATCTTCTGGCTTTCAATCAATCAAAGTTTCTCTGGGTTGATTCCGATTCAAATTTAGGTACGTGTTTATCCTATTCCCTTCATTCTAGGGCTTTTTTTTTTCCTCAGGCGCTAGATTTTCAGCTGTTACGGTTACATCTGACAGAGTAGTCAGTCCGTCCGGGGAATGGGAAACGATGCATACGAGAATGTGGTCGGTGGGAAGCTAAAGCTGAAGGGTAAGGCTTTGGATGTGAAGGCAGCTTCCGGCGGGATTTCTAAAAGGAAGAAGAAGAAGCGTAATAAGGACAAAGAAGATAAGGATCACCACCACCATTCTGACGCCGACACGGGTTAGTTGGTTTTCTTCTTCTTATTATTTTCCTCGTACTTGGGTGTTATCATGGTTGACGCAGTTTACTATTTTTAAGTACTGTATGCTTATTTATTCCTGTAACATACTTGGCTCCGTCCACTTAATTTGTAGTAGAGTCGAACCCAAAACAATCATGGTTGCCCTATGATCCCCATTTTGGAAGTCTGACTGAAATATTTTGGATATATATACTTAATAGTTTTTCACCACGGGTAGCATAAGAACCATACAATGAGCGAGGTATTATTTATACTGGGCTCTTCCTTATTCTACCCGTTGACAGAAAAATTGAGTTGTTTTTCCTCTTTGTGTCTGTCTGTGAACTTTTTGACATCCCCGGCATCAGCAATGTCTGTTAAATCACGCCTTATGCAGGGTCTCGTATGGTTTTCATAGTCTATCATTGTGTTAGAGAGATTTATCTGTCACCAGTTTAAGATGTACTCCGAGTTACGTCAGTTCACTCTACAGAATCAACAGTGGATGCCATCATTACAGTTTCACATGGTGCACAAATTAGGATAAGAAATGAATGTGGTGCGACTTCAGTGTTGTTTTCATACACGTTTCTTGGAATATATCTTGTCTATGTTCAAATTCCAGAGTATCGTTGCTAGACATGATCCAAGGCGTAAAGAATTGTTTTGGTAAACCGTGTTGATTCCGAGCCAGACCGGTCTTTCCTTCATTCCTTGTTCCCTAACCTGCCTGGGTTACTTATTTGGTGTTCTGCTGTAGGTGGAAGCAAGGCACTAGTTTTGTCTGACCCTGTCCAAGATGAAGAAGATGGCAATGCTGAGGGCAAGTCAACCGAAGATAGCGGGGGTCACTGGGATGATAATCTCACCCCTGCTGAGAGACGTTACATTGAACAAAAGACGAAGATTGATATGCATAAGTTGGCAAAGACTGCGAATAAATCTCACCGCGACAGAATCGAGGACTTCAATCAGTATCTAGCTAATATGAGTGAGCACTATGACATTCCTAAAGTCGGACCTGGTTGAAAGGCACACTTTGTACCAAACAAGGCACTTTCAACCCATCTTTATGTGCTTCCTCTGTGTCCTGTGAATGCAGGGAACACTGTGTCTTTGTTTAGAACCGAGAGAAAAAAAGGACTCCAGTGATCTGTTTAAATTGGCTTGCCGTTTGCAAATAGCTATTTTTGTTCCCTGTTGCAATTCGTCTTAGCAGGCAGATTGGAGAAAATGGCTGTAGTTTCTATGGTGATAATTTGCCAAATGTCACACGGATTGTCTGGAAGCGCCACTTGATTTTAGACAAACACTTATTTCATTCCAATATGAGCGGGATGGGTTAACCAATCAAACAAGGATTCAGCAAAGAAGGGATATAAAACTAAAAAAGAAAAATAAAACCCCCATGGTTACGTGAGTTTTTCACTTGTCACTTTGGGCTTGTACCATGTAAGGTAAACATGTAAATACTTCCTGCATTACGGTGGCCTGTGTCACGCCCGTGGGCATTTTTATAGTTTATATTTTAAGGACTAAATTGTAGTAATAGTTGTGTAATAAGGATAAATACGGTTGATATTGTACTGTATGTTTATCGATAATTGTGAAGGCAAAATGCATCTCTGAAATCTGATCTCTCCCCCCAAAGTCCCTTTTGTTCTCCACCTTTCACTCTCATCCCCCAATTCTTTGGGTTCTAATCTCACCTTTTGAAGATCTATACCCTGCACCCTCGATTCTAATTCTCCCCCTTCAACTTCCTTTCTTTTGGTTTTACCTCAAGGGCGTGACAGCCTGTTTTCTCCTATAGCCCAAACAGTGTTTCAAAATATTGCAAAGAATGTAATCACAAGCATAAAGAAAAATGTTTAAATAAATGAAATAACTTCACCAAGTTGAACCATCTCCAAATATACAAAATCATTCGCATGATACAATGCTTTATTGAAGGACGAGTAGAACCCCAAAAAAAAATAAAAATTGCATTGTTACAAGATAATTATTTTGCCGTGTAATCTGCCAAAAACTAATAATTACTGTAATAGAGAGCCTAAGCCGGTCACATCACAAGAAAGTAACAAGAAAAATTACAGTATATAACGCAGGAAATAACCCACATATGGCCAAACAAACAATGCCCGAAGCCTGAAGTCCAACCAGAAACGGCAGACAAATGGATGTTTCTACCAGAAAAGGAGAAACTATCTGCTCATCGAGTTTCATCCTCAAGGTTGCGGAAACCTGCTGTCAAATCATCATTAAGTTTCTTGAATTTTGCAATGAGCACATCCTCGCCTTCAGCTGGATCCTCGAATTTCTGAGAGCTGCATCGCGTTGCGAGATAAAAGAGTTAGCAACAAAAAGCAGCAACAAACAGAACTCAAATGCTGCATAGTGAATGTTCCATTTCAGATCACTGATGAACTAATAAATTCACTTACACTAAACGGTAAAATAGATCTCCTAATCGATGCTTTATAAGGGAGTAAGTGATCTTCTGGCCATCCATGCCAGCTGCACGCTCCACTGCCTGTAAAAAATTAAGTCACGTATAAGAAAAATCCATATCTAAACTCCAAATAAAACAAAAAGAACAGGAGCAGGGATCTGAAAGAATTCAGATGGCCTTGAAAACAGTGATTAAGAGAGAGAACAGAGGGTTTTCATGATGGCACCCACTAATGTTAACATAATAAGCCAAACATTCACCAAATAACTCGCCTGATTGGCCAAATTATAGAAATGAATGATGTTGCGCATCATCCAAACAGACTTGTAGAAAGGACAGAACTTGTCATACCTGTCACCAAACATGCAACACAAATGTTAAAAGTGGAAGACGAAAATCACACCACATAAATGAACTTAATAGACAAATGCAGGCTTACGGAGTAAATGCATTCTGCGCAAGATAGTCTTCCCTCAATAGCTTTGCAGTTTCTAATGTAATTTTATCAGTTTCAGCTAAAGCATCCTTTCCTACTAGCTGCAGAAAGCAAAACAGAAAAACTTCGGTTAACATGCACATGCTAAAAAGAAATCGAAACTACATCATATACGTACATCCCACATCTCAGGCCTCCAACTTGAAGCAAAGGTTTTCTTTTTAAAATTAATTTTTCAATAAACAACTCCAACAAAAAGGCAAAGCAGACAAAGAAAAGTACAGACTCCGAAAACATGGTCACACATGCGAAAGACAAAAGCATCTAGATATGTCCTCAGAGCCACAAAGAACATGACTGCCCAACCAAGAAATTTCATCACAAAATGATTGGCACCAAAAAATATACCTGCACAATTTCATTCAAGTCATCCTCCCTCTGCAGAACCTCACGAGCTTTTGTCCTGATGTCAATAAAATCTGGATCGAACTTCTCATAGAAAGATTCTAATGCCTGAGAAAAGAAGAGTCAGTGAGTAACAGCAGCAATTACATAACTGCTAAAACATAACTTCGACCCAAAAAAAATTTATGAAAACAGATGAAGCTTAATTGAGCACGACAACAACGCACCCCTGAGTATTTTGAATAAGATATAAGCCAATTTACAGATGGAAAATGCTTTCTTTGCGCCAACTTCTTGTCAAGACCCCAGAAAACCTATCCAAACGCAAATAAGAACCAGTCACTACATAGCAGTAATAGAACTGATGGAAGTTGTCATTCAACCTACAGTGGTCATACCTGAACAATGCTGAGGGTTGCGGATGTGACTGGATCTGAAAAATCCCCTCCTGGAGGAGAAACAGCTCCGACGATGGTCACGCTTCCAGTTCTTTCTGGACCTCCAAGGCATTTAACCTTTCCGGCACGCTCATAGAATGACGCCAAACGAGCAGCTAGATATGCAGGATATCCACTATCTGCAGGCATTTCTGCCTGAAAACAACAAAAGACATCCAAATTAGCAGAAGATTGATATTAAACTGCAATTTTCAGACATTCACTTCAAGGAAGTAAATGCATAGTACCGTGTATGTAAACAAAAATTTAAAAACCACAGCAAACCACCATAAAAGTATAGGCCAAAGAATTACCAGTCGGCCAGAAATCTCACGCAATGCTTCTGCCCATCGGGATGTTGAGTCTGCCATCATACTGACATTGTAACCCATGTCTCTGAAATATTCAGCAATTGTAATCCCTAAAAAATGCATAACATTAGAGAAGTAACATCTACAGGGGAGAGAGGGTTGGGTGGGACAGTTAAGGGATTAGGTCGGCGTCTTGTTATCACCAAGAGCAAGCAAACTGAAAATTTACCTGTGTAAATTGAGGCCTCACGAGCTGCCACAGGCATATTTGAAGTGTTAGCCACAAGAGTAGTACGTTTCATAACAGATTCCTCACGACCGTCTGGCAGAGTCATCGTCAATTGAGGGAAGTCCATAAGCACCTGTTATAGGCATTTAAGTACAAAAATCTCAGCAAGCAACCAATAGATTGATCAAGAACCAAAACAACTGTGATGTAGAAAACCCATACCTCAGCCATTTCGTTTCCTCTTTCTCCGCAGCCAACATAAACAACAGTGTCGGAGTTAGAGTACTGCATCAATGGACAGTAATGAATTAGACGATAAAGATCGAATAAAACCCTCCTGAAGGTTTCTCAGATGGATGATCTCAATTACAACTCGTCAGTTCACCTTGGAAAGGGCTTGACTAATGACAGTTTTTCCACAACCAAAAGCACCAGGAATAGCACAAGTACCACCAAGCACCGAAGGGAATAGAGCATCAAGCACGCGCTGACAAAGTAACATTGTTCATAAGCACGGAACCAATTAGAGCATGCCAAAAGACAACTACTATGGTACAGAAATTACCTGTCCAGTAAGAAGTGGTGTATCAGCAGCAAGCTTCGAAGCAACAGGTCTTGGTGTTCGTACGGGCCAAGTCTGCATGCATGCAAGAGACAGAAATCAGATACTTTAACTACAAAAAAATAATTAGCAAATCATCTCCAAAAATACAAAAAGAAATAATAATAATAATTCCCGAATTTGGAAACTTTAATTACCTGAAGCATGGTGAATTGCTTTTTGACTCCTTGGAACTCAAGCTCAAGAACAGTATCCTGCATATGATTGAAAAATCAGGCACAAGAAAATTCTCAGCGGCGTGTATAAGCCAAACAATGACGGCCATTATCTTCTACACATTGATGCTGGAAAATGATAAAAGCAAATGGGTACACGGCGAGAAAGAACAAATATCATCTTATCACCACAGTGATACATATTCATTTTCCATATCGTCATTCTATTTTCTTCCATTGTTGAGGTAATAGTTTTGGATGCATTTGTTGAGATTCGGCATGTAAACCTTCAAAGAATATTGACCAGGAGGTGCGATGTAGGTAATTTTTCCCATAGCATCAGGGGGAAGAGCAACATGGTGTTGCATCAAACTGTTCTCATTCACAATCTGGAAAGACGAAAGATTAAAAGAAGATCAATTGATAGTTACTTAAAAAAAACTAAATGCCCGTAAATGCGATAAGCAGCAACAGAATCAAATGTAACTTACAGCATACAGATCTCCACCAGTCAAAAGATCCCCTTCACCTGTCATGACAGGGCGAGTTTTCAAAAAGTGTCAGTTAATAGGTACATCAAAACATCCATACCAAATTTAGATCAAACAATGAAGTCGAAATATAAGCTAAATGTTAGGGAAATACCTATTTTTTTAGGTTGGAACTCCCAGAGTGTATCTTTATCCAAGGCTGGAACAGCAACCCCGCGAGGAATGTAGACATCACCAGATCTCTTTGCTATGGTCTTCAAAGGCCTCTGAGAAAGGTGATTAACGACTAAGAAAGAGTAACAAGATAAAGGCCCCCCTCCCCCCCTATTCACTCCCAACCGATGGTACTTGTTACGAAAGAAATAACAACCTCTTGAACTAAAAACAAGCTTAAGAAGGACTGAAGGAGGAAAAACCAAAGTTTCACAAACCTGAATACCATCAAAGATGTTGCCCAATATTCCAGGTCCAAGCTCAACAGACAACGGCTGCAAAATTAAGGCAAAATAGATATGAACTTCCTTTAGTATGAAGGGTAAAAAAAGAAAGAAAAAAAAAAAAAAAACTCAAGAGAACAATTTAAATGATGAATTATTTAAAACAGAAACAAAAAAGACATCGAACCTTGTGAGTACGAAGGACAGGATCATTCACCATCAATCCGGCAGTTTCTTCATAAACTGAAATGAAGACATTCCATAAATAGGTCATTGTGAACAATAAACTCCTCAGATCCACGCTTCAGGAACAAAGAAGGTTGTTTAAAACTAGCATACCTTGAATGGTAGCAGAATCTCCTTCGAGACGAATAATTTCCCCAATAAGGTTATCATGCCCAACACGAACCAGTTCATACATAGCAGCTCCAGCCATCCCATCTGCTACAACCACAGGTCCTGATACCTATAACCACAAAATCGATAAGAGAAAAGCTACCAGTTAGATACCATAGTCAATCAAAAATCCCTTAGCTATTATTATTATTATTATTATTATTATTATTATTATTACCCTTAATTAATCAGTTGAAATGTCACTCAACTATCAACTGATCATGATCAACCTGTGTATATCAGTCAGTCATGGGGTATATACATATTTGCTAAGCAAATTTAAGGCAAAACCAATGCAGAGCCTCACAAAAGAAATTAGCTAAAAGGCTAGATCAACTGGATAGTCGACCAAAAATAGAGACAAAGGTCTGAGAACGTCCAATCGAGACTTAGATTTTAGTCTAAAAAGCAGAAACCAAATACAGTACGCACGGGCAGCAACTTTACAGAAGATCGGAAACAAATATAGCATCAGTAAGGAAACAACTAAAAAAAAAAAGGATGAGGCAAAATTCGGAAATCCTAGTAAGATTAATGCAGCAGCGACGTGGTAAGAAAGAAGAAGAACAAGTATCAAAAAAAAAAAAAAGGATCCGAGTAAGGACCTTGCGGACGTAGCCATACTCGCTCTCCTTCTCGGCATCTTCGAAGGTGGTGAGAGGTCCTCCGAACAAAGACGGCATAATTACAGACGGAGTTGGGGGGCAGATCCGATTCAATGCGGAGGGAAGGATAGAGTGGAGGAAGGGATCAGATCGGGTGGAGGAAATCGGGGGGTTTTTATTTTAAGATGTGAAAGACCCAAAATGATGAGACAAAGACAAGGAAGGAAGAAGAAGATGAAAGGAGGAGTGCTTCACCGCGACGTGGAGTAGTATTTGTTTTTTTATTACTAATAATTTATTATTATTTTATATCTGGCCACAGGCTCTGGGGATCTCAATCAACTCGACCGGACTGAATCAACTTAACCGGGAGATTTACGTTTATATCCTAATAATAATAATATATATATATATATATATATATATCAAGACTTTTGTGCCCAAAAAAAAAAAAAAGACGGAAACCGGAACGGAGTTCTAGTTAGTGAAACTTATATTTAAAAAAGTACTCCCTCCGTCCTATAATTATTGTCCAGTTTTACGAAAATGAAATATTTTATTTTTAGTCAAACTTAACTATATTTTACATTGAACAATAGGATATACCCCTACATAAGTAATTGTTTAACCACAAAGATTTTATGGATAATGTTTTTTATTAAGGACAAATGTGTAACTTAATCCATAAAAAGTCAAATTGGACAATAATTTTGGGATAAAATTTTTTAGGCAAAGTAGACAATAATTATGGGCGGAAGGAGTACTAGATGATGGATGATGTATGTGAGAATTTAGTATTGATGAATTGAAGCCGATTTTCTCCTAATGCAATCAACAGTCAATCTCCGGTTAAGGACCTGTAAAACAAGAATTTAACACTTGGACGCTCAAGTTAGTTTTGTATTAGGTGAGAATGAGTCTATTTAATATTACTAGAGAGAGAAATAGGTGATATTAAGTTGGCCATAAATGTAAATCTCAATTTCATTTTACACAAATTTAAAGAGAATAAAATTATTGAGAAATTAATTATTATATATTATATGCTCCTTGACGTCTTTATCATAAGAAGAAGAATATAAAATCATTTTTTAAAATTTGCTTTGGTCTTAGCTCATTTTACAAGCCATTTGATCACTTTTTGATTTTTAAAGATGTATTTTACTTAATTAAAGCAAAAACACTCAGAATACTTGACAACTCCACAATCAATATTTTCTCTCCAAAAAGGTTTTTTTAGTACAAAATCAAGCCCGAGAGTTTCTAAGTTTGATTCGTTCGTACAAACAAAAATCAAAGGGAAGAGAACAACTGGGGGTTGCTTTGTCTGTGACTGTTTGAAGTGAAAGCGCCTTATCTCTTTGGTTTCTTTCATTTTGCAGTCGGGCAGGCACACGGCTTGCTGTGCATCTTTTGTAGATGTTCTTCTTCTTTTTTTTAACAGTTTGTTCTTCGTTTTTAATTCTTTTTCTTTCTCTTTTTTTTTTTTCCTTTCCAATGACTTTCGGTGTCTGTTTCCCCGAATTTCCAAAGGAATGTATGAGACTTATATTTAATAAGATTAGTTGTTTCTGTTAACGCGTGTGTGTGGCCACTATATGTATAAATGTTTATCTAGTACCTCATTCAGTACATTATGCTAAAACCAAAATTTACTCGGATTGGTTGCCTGTGACGGATGTTTCTTTCTTAAGTAGTATTGCTTTCCAATGAATGATGGCGGCCTTTATTTTATTAATCAAAGGGTATGCTCTACTCCGTCTTTCCAGGGAGGGGTTTTATACCAACCAGTCTTCGAACTGTATGGCAACAGAGAGCCCTGTGAGAACACTGGGGCTAGAAAATGGGTCTCGTCTTCAGATGCTGCTTCTTTCACACAACCATTGGATCATTTGGTTGCAGATGAGTTGGGTTTATTTCTTGGCGGGCAGGAGATGGTAAAATTAACGGAGGAATTCTGTTAGTTTTAATTACAAATTCATAAAATGGGTAATCTAGATATTTCATCGAAAAATAACTACTTTAAAGGATTTTTCTTAATTATTTGGGGACTACAACGATCTACAAATTTCAGGGGAAACCATCTAATTTCACCACAATGTCTCGTTCAAACATATTACTATCTTCTTCTCCTTGCAAATAAAACAGAAAACGGAGGGAGCATTGCGCACGGTGCACATGGATTCACAAAACTAAAAAACTAGAGCCGTAGTGTGGCTCTTCGGTTCTGATACAATACATCAACTTCAACCCCAAATGTGGGACCAAGTAAAAGGCGGCAGCATAGCTACATATGCTACCACCACTACTAACACTAACACTAACAACAGGTTCCAGGGCCGAAACCACCTCACCCCAACACCCAATTCTGATCTCAGTAAATTCCTGGGATAATCCGGTAGGGAACCTTCTCGCAATACAGTTTCCAGTATTTTCCGTACCTGCAACAAATTCCAAAATCAGGAACAAATTTTACTTAAACCTAATTTCCAAAATCATGTCAATCTTTCTTCTATTCCTCCATTGCAGAAAATATAGGCTACTAATACTAGTATATTACCATCTACAGTGATGCCAAGCATCTTACTTCTAACAAAAGTAAATTCCAAAGCAATAAACCACTCTCAATCATTCTGACTATTTCCTCATTGCACATATACCTGTTCACACTACACACACAAACTTCTTCTAAACCGATCCTTGCCTATACAAGCCAACCCACTATAACCAGGTTCCCTCTTCACTACCCAGTTCCGTAACTCCGTTGTTTAATGTTTAAGCTCATCTAGAGAAATGAACCCAGGAAAGCACATAAAAGTTCTGTTCTGTTGTAAAGTCCTGATACTCATAAGGTTGTGAAAGCTTGAATTTGCAACAACATTTCTGCTCCATACTATAAATACTACAAAAGTTCTACACACATACAAGTATAAGAGATGCAATAAGACTTTTTTTTTCTTGCTTACTTCGTTTTGCAGCGATCATCATCCCTTTTGGCTCGGTCAAAAAGGAGGATAGTGAGAAAGATTACATAGAAGTAAGGAAGAAACTGCAGAGGACAAAAAATTAACAAAATATGAAATGTTAGTACTTCAACTCTGCCATTTCCAGACATAAGAGAATAATGAGATCATTATTTATTTTCATAAATGTTTTTTGGTATTGTCTTCAAACATGCTTACATGAGTAAACAGTGCTGGTACCGTCCAGAAAAAGGCAGCTAGTATTTCTGGTAGATAATGGAAATGACGAGACAAACCCCACCTGCACAGATGGAAGAAACAATTGTAAATGGCAGAAATTCATTACAATGTGGAACTAATATACTCAAGAAATAAATGCAAATTACACAACCAAATCTTAATCTTAAGGGACCTCTGCAGTTCCCAATTCAGCGGATCTTACCATCCAGAAGTCAGAAGGAGGCTGGTTTTTGTCTCCCCCTTAGTTGTGGTGTAGGAGGCAACAATCTAAAGAAAAACTAAACCAGTTAGGCTTTTGAAAAACAATATTACATAGTAAACCAAAAGGCACAGGCTACATTGGTGTCTCGTCAAAGAGATAGTTTCATACCTTTGATGGGGCTTTTCCCCAGACCAAGCACTTGCCGTTTGTCCGACGGAACTCTTGTCTTTGTCTGTCACAGTCGTAGTTGATATATATGCACAAAATGCCAGCCACGAGGATGTAAAGGGCGAGCTGACAACATCCAGATGTAGAACGGAGAATTAAAGTCAAGAAACATAAGCACTGTCTATCATTACATATGTTATTTTAATTAAGGAGTTATTCTCTCTCAGAAAGTGAAAACGAATGGTATATTGATGCAAATGATTTTCTTTTACATCATGCAAGAAGAGATTGAAGTCAAACACATAATTCATTATCCAGAATCAGCATAACAGATCACTGCGTATGACAAGCTGCAACTTAAAACATACCTGGGTTCCAAGCTCCACCGGATGATTTACAAGGTACATGCCAGGAGAAGTATAAATGGATGGTACCCACACCAAGCAACCCCAGCATATATAAAAGCCAGCTGCAACAACAAAAAAGAAATATAAGCAGATGTGATTGAAAAGAGAATTCTATCAGTATAAGCCAAAGACAAAAACTAGAAAAAAAGAGTAACGCCAAAAAGGATCATGTAAGATACCTCTGTCATGTGCAATATCCATAGTATTCCAGTATCCAGCTTCCCACCAGAAAAACTTGGTGACATATACCAACATCAATGTGGTATTCACAAGCATTGAATCAGCAATTCTACCTTGGGTTTCATACTGCAACAAACAAATAACAAAAAGGCATCATTCCATCAAGCACTGTGTTAGATATCTAAGATTATAGCATGATACAAACACCATCTCAGTAACATTGTCATCAAAGCTAAACGAAAGAAACAATTAAGTATTCTCGGGTAGAACACAAACATTAAAAGAAAAAGAAAAAAAAAAGATTCCAGGGCTCAATAATAATTGTGGTATTCTGGCGGAAATTGCAATCAAAAGATACCTGTTTAATGCAGTATGTCAAAGCAAGAACTGCCCAGGACATCATCCCGAATCTGCAGTTAGTAAAGACTTTTATGTCAAAGTTCTTGCCAATTCTGGGGTACAGCTCCATTCCCTGCAAAAATCAATACGTTGAATGAGATTGCTCAAAATATATCACGTCATTTATTTCCCAAGATGCATCATAACCATAAGAAAAAAAAATAGGCGGAGAAACTGGAAAAACAAATGGTTGCCATGCTACACAACAGTGAAAAGAAAGAGATGTCAGAAGGGTAAAATGAACTTTACGTAAGTATCACAGCAGTAGAGGCCCAATGATTCTTACCCAATAAAAATCAATTATGATGTTTCCAGATGATCCAGAATCAGTGGAAGATGGAGCAACATGACCCTTAAATACACAATCAGAAGAGTTTAGAGCACCGAAACTATACCACATGTAATAGAAAATCCAATGACTGCATCACTCACTTTTATGTACAAGAGCACACAAAACACTAAGCTACCAAAAATTAGAGCCGAAAATATTTCTCCCAGATGATCATAGACAAGCACAGGGTTGAATATCTCAAACCTGAAAATGAGCACAGAGGTAAGAAAACAGGACCATCAGTTAATTTCAACAATTGGACGATGAAAAAGGTTGGCATGACAAGGGTGTGTAAAGCACTATTAAAACATAAAGTGAAAAGCACAACAAGCGTAGGTTAGGCGAGGCCAAAAGCTTACCCAACAGAGGCCAAGGCTACTCACATTTCAACACAAAGATTGCAATCATACCACTCAGATGCAACAGGAAAAAGAGAAATCCAACAAACAAATCTCCAAGATCACATTTCAATATATAATAATAACAATAAGCAAGCCTCATAATTTCTTAAGGAACCATCATAGATAAACCTTCAGTCCATGAATCCAGAAAGCTTGACCGCCAAAAGTCCAAACGAATTTTAAAGGTAAACAATGAGAATCAAAAAGAGATCCCAATAATAAATAAAAACCAACCAAATTGCAAATAAATTTTACAGGTAATAAACAGTGAGAAGCAAGAAGAGATCAAAGCTGAGACAAATGAAGTACTACTGCTAGAGCAGCCAATCAAAACTCTTTTGACATCCACATCCCAAAAATATAATACGCGTATATTAAAACCAAAGAACATATTACATTACTTACCACCAAAGGGCAACGTATGTAATCAAAGTGACGGCATATGCTTGCAAACCATTAGCCTGCAAAAAACAAAAAGAAAAGAAAAAAAGAAATGCAAGCTTTAAAAAACAAAGAAAGCTAATACTTTCACTTAAAAAGAAAGAACATGAAAAAGGTGTTTCATTAACCTTGTAAACAGGCCTATTACCAGCCGGAGAAATGGGGCCTTCAACAGTTTTGCCAGGAAGCAAGAGCTGCAATGCAGCCTCGAAAGCAGCATAAACAGAAATGATCTTCCAAGCAATAAGACTTGTGGGTTTGGGCCAAATTAGAAGAAGACCCTGGATACCATTGTCCTTCAAGTAATTGAAGGTCTGCAAGACAGATCCATCAGCATGCACCATGGTGTACCATCTGAAAAAAAAAAGAATTAAAATCAATAAAGATCAAATTTTTTTAACTGATTTGGTTTATTCTTGAAAGGTTGATCTGAAAATGAGAGGGAGGGAAGGACACATACAGAAGAATGACAAAGGGAGGGCAAAGAGAGAGTAAAGAGAGCATGGAAGCATAGGTGAGCCATGGGGAGTGCACCGTCTTGGATTCTTGCTCCTCCTTCCTCATCTCTGATGTTGTTGATTTCGCCTTCCCCATCTGGGTTTTGAGATGATTCTGTGGGTGTAGAAGACTTGGCCACTGGAGTGGAAGAAAGACTTGGAAATTTTTAGTACAGAAGAAGAAGAAGTAGACTCCACTACACAAAAATAAAATAAAAACAAAATAGTACTATGTGCTCTTTTTTTTTTCAGGAAATGCAAATGTGTGTAGACAAATACCAAAAACTGCGATTTTGTAACAAAAACAAATTGGAAACTCACACTTTATTGTAAAAAAAAAACAATTTTTCTTTTTCTTTTTTTGTTGATATATATATAATCACTACAATAGCTTGCGATTTCATGGTAACAAACTCACAACTTATAATGTGTTTGTCATAATAATAAACTTTATAAAAAAATATGGGGACTTGATTTCGAGATAGTTTGGAATTAGTTATCATGTTTCCTACTTAGAAATATCTTTCTGTAAGATATTTGTGTGCTTATTCCATTATGAAATGATTATTTAATTTATTGTTTATTTTTTATTTCAATTTGTATTAATAAAGTTAAAAATTGACAGCTATTTTAAAACATAATGAGTAATTTATTTTATTTATTTTTATTATGGAAAAGAAAATTATTGATTGGTATCTAATTTCCAATACTCATTGTGATCTAGTATATTCTACTGTATTTTAAAGTTTTTTCTGTCAGATATTTATAAAATATTTTTGATGAGCTAATTTTTAATTATAGTGTACGTGTCTAATTTGACCTGTACTTGACTTAACTAAATTTTAATGTGACTGGTGTCTAAGTTAACTAATTGTTGATTTGGTTGGTCTTAAAATAATTATTAAGTTTCGAAAAATAATTATTTATGCATCATATAAGACACAAATTTATTAGGACACGAGAAAGTAATACTCCTTCAGTCTCAAAATTTTTATTTTTTTAGTTTAGCTTTGTACTAAAAAATGAAAATAAAATTAGATAATAAATTCGGGAGTATTTTACTATCATTACATTTTCAGTAGAGTGTTGTTATATATTATTTTATTATTAATATATATAACAGTCAGGGACGTGATCATTCAGAAGAGATGCAGAAAGACAGATCACATGCAACCTCACGTGACTGATCTGGATACAGTTTGATCTTGCTGGATCCATTCTCTTTCTGTGGCAAACTCTGTGATCCAACAGATTCCGCTTAAATCATTAGCATTGGGCCTGTTATTATTATTTTTTTTTTCTTTTGTTTTGTTTGGTGTGTGAGAAGTTGGACCATGGGAACCAGTAAAGAGAATGACTTGCTTGATGGAGTTTTGAGTCTTATCGTGGAGAAAAACAGCCCGTCGCAGGTATTATTTTTATCAGTTAACTGCAGCATCAAAGCAGAAAAAAAGGCAGCATCAAATAACGATTTGCGGGATGGATTGCAAAAATGGAGCGCAAAGTCTAACACATCATTTATGCCTTTCTCATTTGATGATGGCTGACTGTTTGGTGTTTTTAGTACAGTTCATTCACTATCTCTTAATTAACAACTACCTAAAACTACATTCATCAGAGTCATACCTGCATTTCAACTCCTCCCCCATCATCATCAACCTTAACCTCAACCTGCTGCTAAAATGTCTTTAGATATGCACTTACACCTCCAATGGCTTCTGGCCCTCCCTCCTCATTCCAAATTAACACCCACCCTCCTCAACTAGCAACCAGCACCATGTCACTCCTTCATACTAATCCTAGCATTGAACCCGATTTCGGGAATGGGGAGCCTCATCTTTGTCCCTCCCCACCAATATCTCCTCCACTTCCCATCAGTATCGGACCAGGCTATCAATACTACCACTTTTCCCCTTCTTCTTCATCTCCCACGCCACCCTCTTCCCCCCTCCAAAACAACACCACCCTGCCTCCATTCCATTCCGTTATTAAAACTTCTTTTTCAGTGCAACGTTCTAATAATAATTTGAACCAGAATCACCATCACCATGCCTGCCTCGGTGACCCTGCAGCCATTCATGCTAACACCACCTCCTCATCCTCCTGCCTCAAAGATCTGTAAGCTCTTCCTCCAATTACCTGTAATATTTCAACTGTACCTACCAATATATGCCTGATTACCATCCCAATTGCAGGTTGCAGTGGCTGCTGCTCAAATGTTGCAGGCAACGCTACCTGTGTTTCTCGTGACTCGCTCTTCTCCACCCTTGCATTACATCACATGTTTAGATTACACCTCACCTTTGTATGACTGTTAACTTGCAGTACTAGAAGGTACTTTAGTTCCTAATCTCATAATGTTAAAAAAATTTATAAGCATGTGTCTAGAATCATTTGAGAACAATACATTTTAACTTGAAAAAGCATCAAATCCACAGTACTCAACTTTTTAACCATAACTGACGCTTAATACACTACTTCTTGACGCTAAAACTTGGGAAAAATATGGACATATCATATGCAATGAAAATCACATAGAGTAACATTGTAAAATCCTCAACAGTTCTCTAACTCGCAAATCATCATCTATTAGTTTTGTGGTCTCTGCTGCTGAAAATTTGTATGATTCTGAGGCGTGTTTTGGAGCACCATATTTGGTTGTAGGTTCTGCATGTTCTGCGCCATGTTACCAAACGCACCCTGCGAACCATGTTGTTGTTGCTGCTGCTGCTGCTGCTGAATAGGCATCATACTTCCCGCATTTGTGGCTCCCATGCTAAACACTGCAAAAGATATTCTGATTTCAACCTAGAAGAATCTCTCACAAAAAGCAAGACCAGTAATCATACAAATACTAGATGCAGGAGAACCCCTCGTGCTGCAATCAAAAGCACAAATTGAAAACTAAAACAAGTGTTTGTGAAGTGAAGATATATAATAAAACAGTTCATACTTTGATCACTCAAGTTTTGTGACGACAGACCCCGATTGCCCCCGGACATTCCATACTGAAAGAAGTAAATCCAATGTGAGAGCAGTTCGTAGAGAAAATGAATATTTCTTATACAACATTGAAATTACAAGAAAACAAATGTTATGCTCATCAATAATATTAATAACAGACATTCAAGAATGTATCGTATTTAATAGTGTCATGCAAACAGACATCATATTAAGAACATTATGATGCCCAATAAAACACATTGCTTTGTGATTTTCACAATACTTTCAGAAATCAACATCCAAAAGTACAGGAAATTTTAAATCTAACCTGCACCCTGGGCATAAGTGATTGTGACTGCATCATAGCAGACATGTTTGGAATCTGACATTAAACACGTAACTGTAAGAATAAAATCGGCACATAGATCCTTGTAGACATGCAAGGACATGCGGAGTAAACACGTAACTAAGGAACACATAGGCTACTTCCCCAGCATGAAAATGCAAGATTCGCATGCTATGGCAAATTTCAAGAATTTTTGTACAAGAGTTCCAGACCAAAAAAGTGGAAAGTACAAAAGAAATCAACAACAAATAGAAATGAAAAGAAATGCTTCACGAGTAGGCAAGGTGAAGGAAGGGATATAATGCGGACAATGAAAGGCCTAGGAACTCTATCACTAGGATATTCTATATTTATGCCAAGGATCAGCATGATCCAAGGTAGGAACCAAAGTGTTAGAAACTTGGTTAAGTTAATCCTCTACTAAGAAGCACTTTAATTATTATTCCCAATAATAATTTTTAGGAAAGGGTATTTTAGTATTTCAGCTATGCTGCAGGATTTTGTGGAATAAAAAGGAAATTAGGTGTCTTTTGTTTAGGTTAAGTTTTAGGCCTATAAATAATGTACCTCATACGAGGAGAGTTTACAGTTTATCAGATTAATAAAAATTCCTGCGAGCTTTTGCTTTCAACAACAGTTGCGTGATTCAACTAAACCCTTGGTGTGATGCCTAGGATTCCTGCGGTGTGACGCCAAAGGGTTTTATTCTTGTGTTATCTCTGTTTTCCTGCGATTTCTCTACCTTGCTTCCCTACAGATTCTTTTAGTTGTCCGCTGCGTACTACTCAATAATCAGCCTACAGTCTGATTTCTTAACCACCACGTTTGGTGTTGCGTCAGGATAAGTTAGCAATATAAACCCATAACTTCAAGAAATAAAACCACTACGAAGTAAGATGATTAACATGTGGAGAAAGGAAAAAAGAAACATATACGAGCTTCTCCTCTCACCATCTGGGAGGTGGCTGTCATCTGAGCAGCACTAAACAGGGCACTATTTGCAGAATTTGAAAATTGGTTCAACTGACGATTAAGCTGGTTTCCTTGATTGAGTTGGTTTTGACCCAAACCATGTTGAATTGCGCCAGAAGTAAGCTGCCTACCCTGAAACTGCTGCCCCCCCAAGGATTGAGAGAACTGCATCGGATGCTGCCCATGTAACTAGTAAAAGCACATTTTTGGTCAGCAAATAACAAGTATAATACAAGCAAATCAATTGTACATAGAGATTTACACAAAAGGGATTGGGAATCATGACTTTGCATGTGTTCAACCATCTTATCCACAGGGAATAAAGTGACAGTAAGATTTCATGCACAGACATCAGCTGAAAAAAACTGTATTGAATGATTGGAAACAGGGAAAAAGAATGCAAGAATAGAAGAGTTTGACAGATTACCTGCTGAAACTTTTGCTGAGACTGGCCTTGAAGTTCATGCAGCTGCCCTTGTTGGGTCTGCAGCATTATGAAATTGACAATTCAGCTATTACATGATTTAAAAGGGGGAAAAAAAGGGAAAAAGAAAAAAGTAAATAACTGGGCCTCTTAAATAGTTATACGATGAACAGTATGACGGAAGCTAACAAAGATGAAAATGAAATAGCAGAGGATGAGAGGTAGACAAAATGAAGATTCCCTAACAAATGGTACGAAACAGAACAATTATTTTTAAGTTTATTTTCACTTCATAAGGTTTTCAGTTTGCTGCGTCGCAAAAATCAATCCTAATTATACTTGTCCCATGACATCAGCATCAGTCAAGTGTATAGCCTATACACGTTACCTGTCCCACTCCAGATAAAGGGGTCTGCCTTAATTGCTGTGCCGCCAAGAGTTGCTGCTGTTGTGATACTTGCGGCATCATTTTCTGCCTTTGCTGCAACTGTTGTTGTTGTTGTTGCTGCTGCTGCTGCTGCTGTTGAGGAGATGGAGTATTCATCATACTAGCACCACCAGACCTCGGTGAATTAGCATATGGTAATGGAGATGTATTTTCAAAAGTACTACTCGCTGTGGTCCCAGGAGAAGCAACCACCCTTCCAAGGTTAGGGGTTCCAGAAGCCTACAGGAGAAGAGAAAGAGGAAATGGTAAATGGCAGAGAAAAGAACAATCATACGCAAAATGCTAACATAACTTTTTTTTTTTGGGGGGGTGGATAAGGTCTCTAAAATGGCATGCCTTAACGGTCTAGAATAGGTCGGGGGAAAGTGGGGAACTCCTATTGATCCCATTTTTAAAAAGGAAAAAAAAGAAGAAAATGGTCTAGACGAGGCCCATAGCATGCAGATTTGAGGGAAGTACAAAACAACAAGAAGAAGACAATTGCAAAAAACGCCAACACCCCTCGCACAACAGCAACAAGAAGAAGCCTTTGTCCCACATCATCATTTATTTAAATATGGATCTTATGCAGCCATCGTGCCTGATCACTACACACATCATCATTTATTTAAATATTTTAAGTCATTTTTTATAGTTTCTTTCCGAGTTCTCTTAGATCTACTCCTACCACTCTTGATTTGAGTTCTTGACTCTAGAATTTTACCTTTCTAACCAGGGCATCTATTGATCTCCTATGCACATGCCTGAACCATCTTAGGCGTGATTCTCTCTTCTCATCTATCAGCGTTACTCCTACCTTCTAATACACTCATTTCTAATTTTATCTAATCTAGTATGCCTTACTCACATTTTTTGTTCATTTTCATATTAGTAACCCAACACGCATTGCTGATCGAACGTCAGTTCGACAGAACTTGGTCGAATGTCAATTCAATAGAACTTACCCTTTAAACTCAGTGGCGCCTTACAATAACGAAGTATCGACGACAGGTATCGATGACACGTTCTGCCATTTGCTCGACCCACTTTGGTTAAAGTTTGGCGTGTTATACCGCTATCAATATTTTCATTTTCTTCTATAACGAATCCTAAATATTAAAAATTTATAGATGTATTTAATTCATATTTGTCAATATTAACATTTACTGTATGATTATTCCGACAGTTACAAAAATTACATTCCATACATTCTACTATTTTAGCCTTAGTTATTGTAAAACATTTAGACTTTAATGCTAGCTTCCAGGTTTCTAACTTTGCATTCACCCCCTTTCTCATCTCATCTATTAATGCTATGTTATCCGCGAACAACATACATTTAGGAGTAGCTATTTGCAAACGCATGCCTCCAACATACATTCATCCTAACATAAGTAAGGAAATGAAGGAGCTAAAAATGGCACGATCGGGAGGTAAAAATTGGAACCTCAGAAGTTCATATTTAAGAGTATTTCTTAAGGGATTAGATTAAAGAAGAATGCAGAGCACCCACCGGTAACAAGGTTCCCTGATTGCTATTGTTTACCAGGGGAGGAGTGCCTTTCACGTATATTCCTGAAACAAAAGGTCATATTGGAGAAATTCACAACAACTCCAGAAGGTGTGATGTACAAGAATTACTAGAACAGTACCAGATAAATCTGTAAAAGTTGGGGCAGCGTCACCAATTATATCTACCAAATGAACTGGGAGAGAAGATGTCATCTGTCTTTGGTCTACCGGTATTCGCAGACCTGCAACATTTCATTTTTTTTTTGGGTCAAACTGCAGAACGAAATATATGCATTCAAAATTTTCAACACTGCCAGGTTCTGAAGCTCAGAAGCGGAGAACGGTTTCCGTCTTTTCCCAAAATAGCGGCAACAAGACTTGTAGCACAAAATTGAAGCAAGAAGAGAAACTTTCAAGTTATAATTGTCAAGCAAGAGGAAAAGCATGAATGTGATCATTTTATGCCATTACTCGCCAATAAAATAGTATAGCCAAGATTATTGTCAAAATGTTGGCAAGACGTTGAAGGCATTGACAGTAAGACCTTCGCCGTGATTTACAGCCTGTCGAAGTAAATTCTCTTGGTCTTGTATTTTAGCAGCTTGAACCTTGTCCAGGGTTGGAAGAAGTGTAGGCCCCTGTCTAGTGCCAAAGAACGCTTTCCTTGTATCAGCTATGACTTTCTCAGCACTCTCACAGGCTGCCCCAATCATGTCTATTCTAGCCTACACGAAAAAAAAAAAAATTAAGAAAAGGGACGGTAAAGCAGGAGAAAAAGACGGTTTGTGCAGCAATCAGAATGAATGTAAGCTAGTGAGTCACCTTTAATTTATCGATTTGCACAGCCACAGGCTGGTTCTGCATTCCAAGCAACAGCTGCTCTCTTTTTGAGTTGTCTTCCATTTCCATTTCGGGTAGCAGTTTTGAAGACAACATCACAGGTAGAACTGCACATGAGAGAAAACAGATGAATGCATTCCCGGATGAAAAAGAAAAAGGAATGACTAGTTGACTAGGATCTCTTTGTGGAATGAGCTAACGCCAGGCGTACATGGGAGTTGATATTAATTGTTCATCACAGATAATTTCACCTTATATTTATCATTATTTATTGGGAGCTTTGTTTTGATTCACAAGATGAGTAGAAAAGGGAAGCAACGGTAAATGAAAACCCTAACAGAAACATCAGAGGATGGCATAAAGAAAAGGCTGAAATTCATTCAATCACGAAAACCATGTTAAAATTCATTCCACACACACATTCAATAAATGGGAAGGCAAAAATGATACTCAGACAACAAAAAATAAAACAGAAGGACAAGATAAATATATCAATGGAGCAATGAAGAGAGAATATGACAAGCTAGCAAAAATATAGAAGAGAAAAAAAGAGAAAGAAGAGATGATGAGGAAGGAAATTACTGGCAGCATTCTCAGCATTGACATTCTTAGGATGTACAACAAAAGCCTTGGAAACTTTCTTTATATCCTCCACAATGTTATACAGTTCCAAATTCACCATTGAAAATTGCCCCAGTGTATCCTGCCTGAAAAATTGAATACACTCGCGTAATCAATTAAAAAAAAAGGTGAAGGGGGAAAAGGCAAACATTAAGAAGAAGGAGAAGAAGGCAAACCATTTGGGAACAGAATTGGTGCGAGAAATTAGGTCAAAGTCTTCAAGGATTCGAGAGATGGCTTTGAATAAACTGATGGCTCTAGTCTTGACAGACTCTAGGTTAAGCTGCTGCTGAACAGCCGGATTAAGCCTCTCAACAACTCGGGTAGTGGCGGAGGCATCAGCTGGCGGCGGTGGTGGTGCTTGGTTACCGACCCCTCCACCACCTCCCACAATCATACCTTCCATTACTCCTCCTCCTCCTCTGGATTTTGCCCCCTTTTAATATCTCCTATATATGTTTGCAAGACCAGTCCTTAAAATTATGGGAGTAATTAGTACTATCATCAAAGCCTCCGATTTAACCCGTTAGAGGGGAGGGGATATAACATTGACAAAGACAAAACATTCATAAATCAATCACTCACTGACTCTCCAGTAAAGTTAGCGGTATCGTCCGATTTCGGGATTCTTACTTTCAGTTTAGGGCTGAGAAAAAGGAAGTTGGAAATTTGGAATCCAATCGGAATACTGGTAGTATTCTTCAGGTCCCACCCAAAATACTCCTCCTCCTCCTAATTATAAATTGCACAGTTTTTCTTCTTTTTTTTTTAAGAAAAACAAAAAACTTATAAATCGTGTGTTAGAACCGTCAAAATTTATTAATCTAAAAAATTGTTAAATAATTAATAAATTATTAATTTAAAAAATTTGCTTAAAAAAAACCCTAACCAAATTACCTCATTATCAATTATGTATACAACCCCAATCAAGTAAGTGTTAAGAATATTTGGATAATGATTCGTACATGAAAAAATGACAAGGAATTGATTATAACTATTCATTTTTAATACTTTTCATTTAGAGTTTAAGCATTTAAGATTATGGCATAGTTTAGATGATTGATAAATCATTCTTTATAAATTTTCCTTGTAAATTTTTACTATATTGTACGTATCATTATTCTTAAAATTATATGCAGTTCAAAATTATTAAGGGATGTTCTGTTCTACTGTACATTATTTAAAACTTATTCATTCTTTAATTTAGTGTATAAATTTATCAATTTTCATTTTCAATAAACAATTAAATTAATTGCTCTGATTAGCTTTGAGTTTTGACTATATGATTATTGTATGTCGTATAAATACTACTAGTAATAATATGGTGGGACGGAGTTACTAGTAGTAAATACGTAGAATATCACCTGCTCTGGTGGGAGCCTGTAACAAATCACAATTGTCAAACCCTCCCAAAACGTTTTTTTGTTTCTTGTTTCTTCTTTCTTTTTGAAAACTTCTTTTTGTATTATTACGTACAAATAATAATAATAATAACAATAATAATAATTCATTAAATGAATAATGGCCGGGTGAGGAGGCGACTGCCGACGAGATCAACCTTCAATTCAATCTCCCTCTTCCATTTCTAAATCATATATATATATATGTATTGAAGATTTCAATCATTTCATCCTGCCCTTTTCATATTTGATTTTTGTATTTGTTCCTGAAATTTGTATTCTCTTCTTTGTTGGTTGGTTGGTTGGTTTTACATCCTCTTCTTCTCTTTGTGTTTTTTTCTGGTTATTGTTTTCTTCACCAAAGACTAGGACTTTTTTGTTTCCATATACTTGTTCCCCTCCCGTGAGCCGAGGCGGTGTAAGCCAAAGGTGCTCGTCGTACATACACATCCAACGACAAACCCCAGGGGCGCAGAGACGGCCGTGTACCAAATGCATTTGTCCTTTGACTCTCTCCTTGTATTGCCATTGCTCAATTTTGGGTCAGTTTCTTTTCTTTTTCCTCCAAAAATCTCCATCCTGTTCTTGATTTTGTTTATGTTTCTGTTGACTATCTTCCCCCCAACAATTAAGTCATTGTTTTCTCCAATCCGGTCTTGAATGCAACTCTTTAGTTTGTTGTTTATACTACAGATGAGCGAAATTTCTTTGTTTTAACTATCTATTCAGGGGGGTTGACTTCCCAAAAAAACTCTTTTCCCAATGTTTCAATCCCTTTTTAACTTAAAACATTTGTTTCCTAGACTTAAATAGGTTATAGGATCATTCTTTCTTTTTTTTTTCTTTTTTTTTTTGCATCAGCTATCTCTTTGTAGTTATGGTTGCTGTTTAAGCTGCTCGCTATGGGATCTCTCAAACTCTCTAACTTGAATTTTTGCCACTGCCTCTTTAGAATCTATTTTAGCTGTGATGGGAATGACTAATTGTGTGTGGTTACTTGCATAGATGAGGTGTGCTGATTAAAATGGAGTTGCTTCACTAAGTTAAACCGTAAATTAGTATCCAACTGCTCTGCTAATTGCTGCACTTTCTCCACTCTATTTCGGTTTGTTTCCCTTATGATGCATCAAGGCACGGGTCACTTAGTTCTGGTTTTGAAATTTTAACTTGCTTTCCAGGAATTCGGATTTATCTTGAGATGGTCTTTAGGAACAACACTGTTTTCGGATATGACTTCTTCGGTTTAGTTTGGATTCAATACTTTCTGCAATGCAATTAGTGTCACATGATAGTCGCACGGAGGATTTTTCAGAAACGGAGCCCATCTTATCTCATCAGTCTTACTCGGATGCAGAGAGGTCTGAGGAGTCGTCGACGCGTTCAATTGAAATAACTGTCAGCGGTGACGTTTCTGTAACTTTAAATGAATCGCCGAATCCTGATCCCGATGAGAACTGTTCCCTTGTACCTGCGGACCAACCCATTTGTCGCATATGCCTTGATACTGGAGGTTTCTGGAATATATTTTTCATTAATGTTTACTTTTTAGGGACTACTTGTTTTGCCAAAAATATCCTGAATTATTTTACTAAGGCATAGTTGTTAATCATTCAGGAGAGGATTTGATTGCACCTTGCCATTGCAAAGGCACTCAGAAGTACGTCCACAGATCGTGCCTTGATAATTGGAGATCAACTAAGGTTCTGTCTATCCAAGTCTCTTCTATTTTATGCTGCTAATTTATACTAAAGGAAGTTAATTAAACTAACTTAAGAATCAATAATGTTCCATGATTGACCTATCGATTGGTGGTGAGAATCATTAAGTCCCTGTTTTGCCTTACTTAATTCGGTATTCAGTTGGTTGATGAAATGTTCTGTAATAATTTTTACAGCATGATTGCGGACTTCTGAAATCCACTACTAATTACGAATTCCTTCTTGTTATTTCAGGAGGGGTTTGCTTTTGCTCACTGTACAGAGTGCAGGGCAGTATTTATATTACGGGCAAATGTTCCACCTGATCGATGGTGGCTGAGGTTAAAGTTCCAGTTCCTCGTCGCAAGAGACCATGCCTTCATATTCATTACTGTTCAGCTGGTATGATATGATTACTGCCTTTGCAAAATGTGTTCCTTGTTCTTACGTCTTATCTGATTCCTGTAACCAGATTTAGCCAAGTCACTCCATTCATTGTTGTAGATCTAGTTTGTTACTTCACTTATTCCATCTTCTTAGTCCCCAGTAATTTGAGAAAATTTACAAATTGAAATCTATGTTTGATAATCAATTTCATTCTTTTTGGCTGTTTGCACGCTCCACAGATTGTTGCATTTTTAGGGGTGCTGGTCTATAAGTTCTATGGGGAGGAACTAAGGGAGATGTTTGGTTACGAAGAACATCCATATGGCTTTTATACCATGGCAGGTTAGTTTTATAGAGCAACTTGTGACTGACTGATCTGACCTAACTATTAAAGAGGCACAAAACTGAAAGTTAAAACTTTTTTGTCACGTGGTATCCTTTTTATGTCTGCCTGGGACATTAATTACAGTGACTTCAGCTGAAATATTTCCTTTCTTTGCCATTTTGCTAATTAATTTTCTGCTTGGCTTTTTCACAGTCCTGGCGGTTGTGTTGGTTGGCTTGCTTTACGGTTTCTTCATAGCGATAATATGTGGACAGAGGATCAATGAACGCCACTACCACGTACTTGCCAAACAAGAGTTGACAAAGGTTGTATATCCGACAAATCTAGGAATAAGAATACGTTTAGGGTTCAGGGTTGGGATTTGCTTGAGATGTTTTTTCTCTGCTGGCTTATTTCCGTGAACTGCACATATTATATGTTAAAATTTGGAGTTGTATGTGTTCTTTTTTTGTAGCAGTGTTCTCCCTGTCTGATTATATATATGGCCAGGGAAAAAGCTGTCTAGTCTTACGTTAGATATTGTGGTTACAGGAGTACATAGTGGAAGACCGGGAATCTAATAAGAACATCCCGGAACTTGATCCCAGCCATGTCACCGAACTACGGATGCTGGGTCTTTATTAAGGTGATAAATTATACCCACATATGCTCCCTCGTCTTATTTGCATCCTGTTATAGGAAAGTCGTGCTTAGTGATTTCTGGCTCTTATCCTGGCCAACTCTTATTTCAGAATCAACTTTCTGAATATCTCTTTGAATCTGATGAAAACCTATGATTCTGCAGCAATATAAGAATTGTAGATAGTGTCCTTTTTTTTTACCTCAGATTGAAATTCAAAGTAATCAAGTTTTTAAAGTAGCAAGAGAAAGTAGGATGAGATACGAGCTTTGAATGTTCTATGTATCCTTTCTAACTTTCAACTGGGAAAATATTGCATTGTTTTCAGGTTCTTTGGATTGTGATTATAGATGTTTGAAATTCACACAAAGCAAGATCTCAAGGTGGGTTCCTAGTGCAACTTATTGCTACATAGTTCATATCATACCAGTGACCCGTGATGCCGATATTCCTGTTTATGTAAACCCTGGCTGTCTTAAGGAAAAATCCTCAACATGGCCTGCATAGTTTCCAGTTTAAATTTCCTTCCCCCCCCCCCCCCCCCCCCAACAAAATACACACGCCGGGGTTATGTGAATTCTGTTATTTGGTGATATTTTTTATCTGAATTCTTTTCCAACTTTTTACGACAATACACCTCATAGTTGTACCTGGAGGCTTCTTTCCTGGTGTCTGTGTTCATCAGTTTTGTTCTCATAGTTGTACATTGAGGCTTCTCTCGTGGGTGTCTTCACAGACATCTTTTCAGCCGTTATCTGGGGTCTACAGTTTTCAGACAAGGTGTTGATGTATTGTGATTGTAGCTGTTGTATTGTTTTTCAGTTCTTATGTTTAGCAAGGTAGACTTGCTGAGCATCTTACAGAATTGAAAGTGAAATTTGCAGAGTAAATTCAGTCAAGTTCCTTTGATTCGAACAGAGTTTGTGCTTCATTGATCATGGTGTGGTGATCTCAGATTTCAAAGAGATTGTAGTAAAAGATTGTAGTAAAATATGCAGTGGAAGTTAGCTCAGGAACTCCAGTAAATTTTTGTGTTTAAAATCAAAATGATCATGATTTTTCATTCCATAAGGTACACAAGATGGTGTTCTTAGCATTCCTATGTTATGAACAAATCTAAATTTTACATTCATATATTTACAACATGATCCATTATAAATGTACACCTAAACCTTGGCCTCAGTGTCAACTCCCATCAGTGAGTTCATCAGGATAAAGCACCTGTACAATGATGTGCACCTGTACAATGATGTTATAATCTTTAATCATCACCCAAGTCAATAGCAAAATCACTGCCGGTCCATTCATTTCAACATTCCAGGTCTTCTGAAGATAACTCCTCTTCTGCTTCAGCTTCACTTTCATCAGGAGAGTCTAAAACCAAAAAAAAAAAAAACTACATCATCAGAACCAAAAGAACGAGTTTGTTTTGAACAAAGGGGGAAAAAATAAAAACAGAGAGGGCTATCATGTCATATACAAACATGGAACTGCAGTTCTTGAGTCAGATCACATATTTTCCTCAAAAATTATTCAGACAGGGATAACTGTGATTCATTCAGACTCATCATCCACAAGAATGCAGTGTTCGATAACAAAGTCTCCTGCAATAAAATACTTCTTAAAAAAAAAATTTTGATTTAGATTTGGTTCTCTATGGAAGGACAAGGAGAAATGCCTGCAGAATATTTAGGGTCAGAATACAAGTTTCATCCATCAATATCAGACAGGGATAACTGTAATTGTAGTTATCATCATACTTAAACTGCAGCATTCAATAGCCCCCATGAAGGAGACAATTCATCCCCCACCATACACCAAAAAAAAAAAATCAAAGAAAAAAAATTGTGGTGAAAAAAAAAAAAAGAGAGTTGGAGCCAGGGATGGGGACTCCATGCTCAGAGGTGAGGTTGGAGAATTAGTAATAGCCTCAGACCGTCCTAGTAAAAATGATGTCAACACAATAGCAAGCTCTTTTTGAACTCAGCCATTTCACGTTTCAACCATTTGAAAGAGTCATCATTGGCAGAGCACTACAGCATATGTATAAAACTGCAATGCAAACATAAAATGGTAACACGCGCACACAGAGACACAGAACAGACGCCAAGTCACAAATGACACAGAAATACAGGTCCAAGTACATCACAGACACAAAAAAAGTAGGAACATTGACGAAAACAAAAGCTTAAGTGAAAGGGTAAACGAATTGGGACGAGAAAGGGAGCATCAGATCTTCCTATACAGTTGAGCATCATAAAACCCAGACATATAATCAGGGAATTCAACTCATAAAAAAAAGACATCATTTGCCATCCATGACTTCAAAAAATAAAAATATAACTGTTAATAAATGGGAAAACACAACGAGAGAAATAAAAGACTAAAAAGGGGGAGACAATAACAATAAATAATACCGGAGGTGGATTGGCGGAGGTAGAAATCAGAGGAAGGCCAGGAGCGGCGGGAAGTGATAAGGGAGAAGAGGTGGTCATGGTGAACATCGTGAAGATGGGCGTTGCGGAGGCTGCGGAGGAGCTGAGCAACTCCATAGTCACGGCGCTTGGGAGGGACCCAATAGGAAGCACCGGGAACCAAAGGCAACCAAGTAGGAGTAGATCGGCTAACAATCACTCCGTGCACCGCATCTTCAATAACCCTAACGACCAAGGCCTCCACCTGAGACGAGGAGTCGGCATCGGCAGGGAAGGGCGGGGAGAAATCTGGGACCGAGGAGAACCACTGGCAGTTTCGACATGGTAACTGGTTGAAGCCACCAACGGCGGATTTAAAGAGGCGAGAGGAGGAGGAGGAGAAGTTGCGAATTAGGGTTTGGGAAGCAGACATGGATGCCCCTATTAACACACACATTATACTACTCTGTCCTGGGGATGGAGGTTTATCAATAACTTTTTGGCGGCGGCGGTTTCGTTTATTAGCCCGGTTTAAGCCTAGGGCTTCACTCATGTGTGGTTTTATAAACTATGCAGACTTTAGGCCCAAAGATTTGTGGGCAAAGCCCTCCCCATTTGGACCTTCTTCATAAAGCCCCACAAAGCCCGATTATCAGTGCCCCAATATCTTTCTTCTTTCTTCTTTACCGTTAAGTGGTTGTGGTGGAATGAAAATCCTTAACCATAAGTCGAGAATTCGAATCTCGTCATGGGCATAAAGCAACATTAAATACTTTGGTCAGTTGTTCCACCTATTGAGATTCCTACCATTCAGCGTGAGGGATTAATCACTGTTGTCGTCGGTGAACATCCTGCAAATATGGGGGGAAAAAAAAAAATACTCCCTCAACAACTTGTAATCTTTTTTAGATAGTACAACTTTAATCAAGAGAAGAGTAATCCATGTTATTATAACAGTAGACAGTTGCAATAGGAAAGGAGGAGAAGAAATAAAAATAAAATCGAATAGCCTGATAACAATATTATTAGTACAATATGATTTGAGTTATTCTGACCGTAGTAAGCAACCAAAACCATATCGATTTAACAACATTTCCTTTTCAAGGTTTGGAAAGACCATATCCTGGCTGATTCCCATGGATTGCTGTTATGTTATTCCACTTTTTCTTTTCTTTTCTTTTCTTTTCTCTTTTTGGAGTGGGTTGGCAGAGGAGTTAAGACTGTTCATGCAGCTCTTGCAAATTACAGAAATACTTAACACATGGACTACACCTAAAATCCTGAATTCATCTAAATCTATAATGTTAAGGTCCAAATATTAGATTACCAATTTACCACCACTTCGAGAGAAGGAAGAATTCTTACTCTTTTTCAGTGTCAACCATCCCCAAAATCAAACTCTAACTACGCAAAATGTTAGCCCAAAACTCGCGTGTAATAAACTCACCCCTCGAGCTCCAGCATACTCAACTAAGCCAACTACCCCTCTATTTTAAGCTCAAACTTCAACTCGGTTCCATCGTGAATAGTTCAGCCAGGAATTACAACAAACTAGCTCGGATCTTTTGGAATCTTTACCCATATAGCTCCCTCCGTCCCATTTTAGGACTATTAAAAGTGAGACTAATCTAGTCCTAAAATGGAGCCGGAGTGAGTAGGAATTTCTCAAATTCATACACAAAAACTTTCATCACCCCGGAATGAATCGGTTGTAATCAAAGTGCGCATAGCAAATTCAGTTGCTAGATATAGTCAAAAGTAACATTGTCTGTGCAAACAAATTATTTCTCAAAAAGTTCAGATTCCTTGCTTTGCCAGAGTATCTAACCAGAGCACAGTGACACAAATAAACAAAGATCTTCAGTGCTTAAGCCTCAAAGAATCAGCTACTCCCATGGACTTGGCTGAAACTGCAAGTCATAGAGCAAAGAACGGATCAGATAATGAGTAAACAAACTCAGTTATGACATTTCAACAACTGGGCTATATTATGCAGGCAACATTGAACCCCCTTCCCCACAAGAAAAAAGGAAAAGAAAACTGACTTCCATCTTTGAAGGTCAGGTATTCTTTAAGTACATGGAACGAGTTCCGACTTAGCAAAGAAACAGATATCGATTATGACTTGTAACTCACTCAAAAGTATGCAAACGGCCGACATTTAATCAACAAAATGGTGAAGACTACAACAGGCATCTGGTAATAATGAACATTTACCATAAGGAACTTTAGATTATCCTGGGAAAAAACTTCACTACAAATGAGTAACACTTCATACATTTGGAATACTATGTTCATATTCAAGATAAACTTTTGTTTCACAAGGTATATAGTAGCTTAAGAGATGCTACTGTAAGCTGCAGTATCACACTCTTGCCGAAAGGCCTAAACTAAAGATTTTTCCTTATTCAAACTCCCAAATGCACAATAATTCCCATCAGCAATAAGCCACGTCAAAGACCATGCCCAGTTCATGACAAAAATAGTGCACATGAGCCACAACAAGCACAATAATTCTAGGTATCAAAATTAAAACAGATATTTTTGTTAGAAACATTCAAGCATGATGAGCACTTTGCACACCAGAGCAAAACTATTCCATTTGACAAATGGCAGTCATCAAAAGGGAGCAACAAATACAACAATAAAAGGGATTCTATGGGTAAAATCTCAGTTGGAAGGTAAATTTAGATTTTCAGGTAGCAAAACAAATGGGAATGTCAACAGGGAAAACAAAATCAAGTCCCATAGAAAAAATTGAAAGGCTGCAGAGATTATTTTACACGAATTTCATCAAACCAAGCAACAAATTATCAAAAACAAATATATTCTCACAGGAAACCACCTCAAATCGTCGCACAATCAAATGAACAGATGTATCAGCAATCACATTATAACAAAAAAATACTAACAAATAAAAGGTTAAAAGCAGAGCATTTCAATCTAACTAGTGGCGAAATGACATTATCAGAAATTTAAGTGCGATAATACAACAAAATATTTAAAGCTTCTTAAAACGAAAAGAACGACCTTACTAACAAAAGAAAAGGCAAAAAATAATAATAATAACAATAAAACTGATGAGAAACAAAATGAATTGAAACGATAGAAAGAAAGATGAAAAGGCAGAAATCGGGAACAACCTTATTTAAGCAAAAGGGAGCATAGAAGATAGATAAAAACATCAGTGAGCGGCGGGGGCGCCATGTTGCTTGGCGTGCTCCTGGTGCGCGAGATGACGACGCTCCTCGGGGAGAGCGACGAGGTAAGAGAAGATCATGCCGCCGAAGCAGATGTGATAGAGAGGCTGGACGGAATCGGTGAGGATGTACTTTTGGTGGTAATTGTCCAAACCCCTTTGGAAGGAGCCCTTGAGGTAATCCAGGCTGAGCATCGGCTTCAGCTTCGCCGGCACCTCCTTCACCTTCAGTCCCTTGATCTCTTTGTAAACGTTCCTCATCGCCATTTCTATCTAATGATTCGACCTTCCTTACCCTCACCGGTGGAGATCCAGAAAGAAGGAGTTTTATGGGCGCGGGTGGAAGATTATTTGATTTGCAGATCCGGAACCCTAACTGTGTGGTTGAATGAAACCCGACCACGACTGTGAGCTGAATTGATGAATTAGGAGTTATGCTCCCCTATTTTTTTCCCTTTTATTTTCCTTTTCTGTTTTTTATTTTTTTTCACCTAATATTTTATTTGGGAAAATTCTAATTTAAGAGTAGTTTTTTCTTTTTGGTCCTGTAAATTTTAATTGTTAAATAAATATTACTGCTATAAGGACAAAAATCCCCCGAAATATATCCCAAAGACTATTACCTCCCCGAGATTTTTTATAAGGACCAAAATCCCACTTGACCGTCAAAAGTTTGAAGTCAATAGTCCATAATGGTGAAATGACTTAAAAACCGCAGTAATTCCGGCAAAGTTTGAACGGATAAAAGTCAAGAAATTTCGAACCTTCAACTCCTTTTTATTGTTTTTCTATTCAAAGGGGGGAGAAAAAGTGATGACAATGACAAATAAAGAAAAACAAAGAAATGGTGTTGGACGGATTAGATATAGCAGCGATACTGCAACGTTCGAACAGAGACACTAGTAGTCGCAGGGAGTTACGAACAATAGTGACTAATTTAATTACGAGTTTCATTTTTTTTCCTCTCCTTTTGGATTTGAACAATGGGAAGTTAATGTTTTTGTGTCGTCGATGCTAATAGTGATTGGAATTTCTTTTTTGTTGTGTTTTTCAATAATTCAATTTCATGGATATTTGTTGGTGACTTAACTGTTTTTCATTAAATAATGCGACAATAATACATATATATATGTATAACTGTATATGATGTTGGATCAATTGCTTTAAATATTAATGTTGACGATATTTCTTTCAACTGGGAAAGGAATTGACAGTGGTGCCAATCAACTTAGAGGCAGAGACATTGGTTGTTGTGGTGGCTAGTCGAAACAATGGTGGTGGTGACTGGTGGGAACAATGGTGGAGTTGACTGGTGCATATGGTTGTTGTATAGGTGACAAGGAGGGCATTTTCGTCTACCCAATCTATTTTTTGTCTGCATCATTATTTTTGTTTTACCATTCTTTCGTTAGAGGGTCTAAATTGTCCGCTAACCTAACATTCAGGGGGTATTTGTCCTTAGGAAAAATATCGAGAAGGCATTAGTTTTTGGGACATATCTCAGAAGAATTTTTGTCCTTTTTCTCATAATATAATTAAATGGGTTAGAAAACTTGTTCATTGCTTAATCTCGATTAATATTGGGTATTTATGAAAATATTTTATATTCATTCATGTAAAGCAGTCGGCTAAGGATAAGTTTATAGAATCTCTCGGCTCTCTCTTTGGCCGCCTCTCTTCTCCTTAAACCCTATAAATCAAAATCAATCTTTCCCCATCTTTTCACTATGGAAGAATGAGGGAAATAATTTTTTTCATATCTTTTAAATTGTTTATTATATTTCAATTTATTTTCAATAAAAATGAGATCATAATTGTAGATTATGATCTATGCTACTGAGACAACATCCTTGTTAATGTTTGCTAGTATGGTGGCGTCATCTTTGTCCATCTTTGTTAGTATGGCAGTGGATTCCTTAGGGATGTTCGCTAGTATGGTGGAGGTTTCAATAGTGACGTTTGCAGGTATGACGGCGACGGATTTATTTAAGGGGTACGTCGGTTTGGTAGATTTGGACCAAGAAGATTCAGTCATAATTGATCTAATTATTATGTTTATGTTTTGTGAGTTTCAACAGATAGTTAGTGTTGTATCCTTGATCAGATTTCAGATGTAGCACGTGGTACAATCATTATTTTATGAAAAATACAACAATGATATTATGACCGATTGTAAATTGCGTGTTTCTGATTGTATCTTGCTTTTGTTAATCGTTGTTGGATGATTTTCAACAAACTAATGAAATTGTCTTTTATTTCTCAATTAAAAAAAAAAAGAGTAAAGCAGTCACCTATAATGATGATTTACTGAGTTACTAACTATTACTTTTATTTGAAATAACCTTTTCATCAATACATGGACATTCTTATGCACACGACTGTAATTCGATTTAATTGTGAAAATGACTACTTAGTACGTAGAAAGTTGAAACATACAAACTCAAACTACGAATTTTAAACTAAAATTATTAAGAATTTAATTGGGATTTACAACGAATTTAGATTTTCGTAACAGTTTGAGAACTGATTTTAGTGAGTTACTCAACCGTAATAGGCATCTAGTTGTAGAAATATATTCTTTGTTAAAAAAGATACGGTAACGGATATTCTAACAAAATTTAAATACTCTTATTTTGTCAATGCTTATCTTAGTATTCGTCTATCAATTGATAATTTGATATGCTATCCTCGTCTCAAAACTAACGGGATTTGCTACAGTCAAACTTTCGACTTCCTATTTTCCTCTACATACGTAGAAAATGAAAACTGAAAAAATTCAACTAATGAACTCACTCATTTCTAAAGAAGACCAAAAGAGATAAGGAAGGGAAAAAGAAACTTAAAAAGGAAAAAAAAAGGTAAACTGTTGGAAAATGACAAATTGACAGAACCAAAACAGCTCATCCCCTCACGTTGTTGTTCAAATAGAGTGATTGATTTTATTTTTGGCAAATGTGGTTTTGGGTTGTCAAATTGGTCAACCCATATGTATGGTGTGTTTTTCTTTTGTTATTAATATTTTAATTGTAACCTCTTTGACACTTTTATTTTAATAACATTTGGAAGATTATTGACCCGGAAATTTAAAAGCGTTACAGTTGGAAGCCAACAAATTCTAACGCACAACAGCAATGTACATACTCCCAATAGCAACAAATTATAATACTCGATTTCAAAAAAATAAAAAAATTATACTAATAATAATTATTTATTAGTATTTCCTTTTTTTTCCCCCTCAATAAAAGAAGCACGACAAAGATTATGTAGTACTTTTATTTGAATAGAACACAATCATTTTCAGATGAAATTGCAGTATGATTTGGTATTCTATCGAAGGCCCGGACGGAAACGGAGGGCTCGGCTCGGATGTGGATTAACTTGATTTTGGAATTCATTCATTGTATTAATCTTTTTTTTTATTGTTGGTTTCTAAAATTCCAAACACAAACAAGTTTCATTTACAACTTAATCACATAAATTTCATTTCAGCCCTTTTTTCTTGCTTTTTTGATCAATTTGTAAAAAGCGAGGAAGCTAGCAATAAAAAAAAAAAAGAAAAGAAAAAGGGGTAGGAGATAATTTGTGAAATTAACCTAAATAGTAGTAGTAGTAGTAGTAGTAATAATAAAGCATCTGTATGTGCTGTTGCTGCCTTTGCTTCATGACTTGAGTAATAAGCATGCATCACTCACTGTGTGCTGCTGTGTATAACTAACCCACCGAAAATCCTTTTTCTCCCACCCCCAATTTGGTGGACTATTTTATTTTCTTTGTCCTTTCATTTCGTTCCTGATGATGAAGAAAGAACAAAACCATCTGATCCAGAGTGATTCCGTTAAAATTCGTAAAATATGGCTTTGTTCCTTATTATTATTACTAGTGTTTGCTAACGTGCGGTTGTTTAACATATATATGAGTTTAATAATTAAAAAATTATATGACATTTCCAACAAAGTGATATATGCGGAAAAATAATATTAATAATATAAATTGCAATTGTACAATTTTTAATGTCATTTTATTTTTTAAATTTTAATTAAATTTGAAATAATTTTCAATATTTGATCTAATGTAACTTATTATCCATCATTTTCGTCTCATGAATTTATGGATTTATATTTTTTAAAAGTAAGTCTCTCTAAATATTTGTACATGTGTCATATTTTTAAACTCTTCACTACATAAAATTCTCTTATTATTTTATTCCATAAATTTAACTTTATTTTTCATCTCTTTATATAACTTTCTTATCTTTATTTTTTCTTCTTGGTTGCATAATTTTCACCTTTCCTTCCTTATTTGATGACCTCAAGTTTCATTTCTTCAAAAATTTGTAACAGTTAGTTCATTTTTCACTATTGTCTCGGTTTCTTATTCATATTTTCTTATTCCTTACTTAATTTTTTTCTCATATAATTATTTTTAATTTTTTAAATATGTTTTTCTTATATTGTTTGTCACTCACAAAGGTCTTTATTATTTTTCTCGTTTTGAAAAATTTTCTCCCTATCATCATAATGTCAAAATTTTCTACCATTATATCATATGAAATTTTTTTTAATGAATCATGTAATTATTTTTTTTATAAAGTTTACTGCAAATTACAAATCTTCATCGTGTATAGTTAGAAGATTTATCGATGAAAATCGCATGTCACATTTGAATTCCAAGATACATACGCAAAGAAAAAAAATATTTAGCACCGGCATGACATGTTCCCGCACAACGTGAATGGAATTGAATTTATTAATGATTAGCGATTCATCATCATTATGTTCGTGATATAAAAATAAGACTGGATTTTATTATGATGGCAATCATTTGTGCGATTAATGACAAAAAAAATTAACAATATAAAATTGGTTATTTATAGGTTTTCAGGATTGATAAATAAAATTGAGCCTTTTTTTTTCCCTTCAAAACAATAACCGATTTTGATAAGTGTAATAACTTTATTTTATTGTACCAACTTAATCATCGAATGCAATTAGTAATGTTTCAGAGAGATTGGAATAATCCAAAAAATAACAACTATTGTGTTTCTTCAATTTCATGTTTAGCCATCTTGATTCTTAAATTGAGAATAAAAAATTTTGTGTTTTTCTTCTTGCTTATTAATTGCCAGAGGAAGCAGCCAAGTTTAGTGTTTTCTTTTTTATTGGTTTTAGAATTTTAATTTGTATTTCAATAGGTTTTTTAATGTTAATGAACGCTAGAATAAGGAAATAAAAGAGTGTTTTGTAGTGACCTCAATAGTGGATTTAATAATTAATACTTGAAAGTATGTGTAGACTCGCATCTTCGTGGTTTTTTCATTGGCATTTTTAAAACATTTTTGTACTATTATATACCAAAAAAATCGGAAAATAAATTTGGGCTAAAAAGTAAAACTGAAATAATAAAAAGGCTTGATATTAAAATTTTTCATCTATGAAGGTGTTATTCTAATTTTTTAAAAATCGGGTAAAATTTATTATTTATAGATTTTATGGGTTTACAAATAAAAAGTTACATTAAATGATAGAGTGACGTGATTGTGACATGTGGACTTGGCTATCTAGTTTTTTGCCATGATCCAGAATAACCTTATCTAACTTTACGCTGTGTGTCCGATTAAAGCTCTCTTTTAATATATAATAACTAGATTATTAGTAAACGAGTTGCGAGTTTCTTGACTTTCTTCAATACTTCCAAAGAATGTGTGCACGTATTTTCGGGCTATTCGTAGTAAGTAGTATTACTAGTCGATGACTACACATTTGTTTTTTTTTTTTAATCATTGTTAATAAAAACAAAATAATTCCTTCTGTTCTAAAACTAAAAATTAAACTAATTTATTTCTTGTTTTGGGGTTAGGTTAGGGGTGGTGTTTTTAAAGTTTAAAATGTTAAATTCCTTTTGAATTTAAAAATAAGTGAAAGACACTCGTCAACCCTAAATTGATAATGGTAATCCAACTTGATCAATTTACATACTGTGTATTACTCCTGGCATTATAAATAATTGTTAATTTTATTTTTTTAATGGTATTTTAAAATTAATTTATTTATAATTATGTTACTCCAACATATATTTTTCATTTTTAATATACAATTTTACATTTTCAATACAAAAAATACGTTAAAATGATCTCAGATGTGAACTTGTACGGACCTTGAACATAAACAAGGTGGAAAAGGCAACCCAGCGCACTTAACCTCTTTTTTTTTTTTTGCTCTGATCCGTATTGCGGTTCTCTGAAGATTCATCCCAATCCCACTTTGTTTTTCCCCATTTTCTTAGTATTTCAGTAGTATTTTTATTATTAAAGAAATTATTTTTTTTCTTGCACCCCCTTTTAGAGAGAGAAAGAAACAGAGAGTATCGTAAAAAAAAAAAAAAAAGCAAAAAACAAATGGTAGTAATAAGTAAATATATAGAGAGAGAAAGGGAGAAGTAGTAGTAAGTAAAAAGCAGTAGTAGTAGTAGATTGATGGTGATGGGATCTTCACACCAGAAGGAACATCAACAACAACAACAACAGCAGCAACACCACCACCGCCATCACCACCAACAAGAAGGAGAAGAACCAACTTCATAATACCCACCACAACAATTCCTCCTCTGCATCCACAACTGTCTTTTGCAGCTCCACCGCCGCCCCCTCCCCCTTATTTGTGAGTATCCCTTTTCAATTTCTTTCATTTCTCTCTTTTGGGGTTTCATTTTTCTTTTTCTTTCTGCTTGTTTCTCCTGCCTACTTCCCAGATCTATACCTTTTTGCTATGCCTCCCCAGGTTGTTGCTTCATTTTCACTCTTCTGGGTGTGATTGTTCTTCGCATTTTCAGGTACTACTTCTTCTTGATCTCTCCCTCCCTCCCCTTTGTTCTTCTTTCTGATCTAAATGCCGCTCCTCCTTTTTGTGTTTTGCATGCTCTCAACTCACTTCCCTCTATTTGTGTTCTCTGCCGCCTTGATTATTTATTTATTTTTCTTTTTTTTTTAAACAAAATATTTTGTTGGTTTCTTTGGTTCCAATCTAGTCACTTTCTTTCCATTTGATGTTATGTTACGGTGTGGGTTTGCATTGGATGGTGACCTGCTTAGTTTGATTTTAGTTTTTCAAACCTTTACTGGGGTCTTGTCTCTTGTTGTGTTGTGGGTAAACTGTTTTCTTTTCAATTTTTTTTTTTAAACAATCTATCTGATTTTCTTTAATCAGTGTGGATTTTTGGGATTTTTTTCACTCCCGATTCTTCTGATGGAACTCAAATGGATGTGCTTTTCCTCCCTCCACACCCCCATATATCTCCTATTGATTTATATGTCTATTTGTGGAAAGTTTTAGTTTTAGCATTTCATTAGAGTTTTGGTTTGTCATACACATTCTCCGAGCTTGTTTAATCTACAAAGGGTATTCAGCTCATTTGTCTTCCTTGTTTTGTTTTCTGAGACCAGCTTTATTATGATTTCCGCATTAAGACTCGGTTATTTCTTCCGAAAGTCTTGGGATTCTTGTTGCTCCTTTCGAATATCCCTTATTTTTATCCATAGGCATCTTTGTGGAACCTTTTCTTTTCTTTCTAAGTTGTGATTATCAGAGAGGTCCTTGGATTCTTGCTGATGCTTTCTCATCTGTCGTATTGTTGTTATCTGCCTGCGCTGATGTGAAGTCGATATGGCATACTTCCCCTCTCTTTTCAACTTGCGTGTGTGTGGTACGCCTCCAGACTTGTTTTATCTGCATTTGTAACATCCATATTGAATTTGATCACTGTGCCATTGGCGGGTACCATGAAGAATAACCGAAAGGGGGAGTGTTGCATAGATATTATTTTATTTATGCATATGTTTGAAAATATACGCGCGGTCCTGATCTGTTCAGATAGCATGTTGTTTGTCGTTACCTTTTTGTCTATATTTGCAACTCTGAAAAGAACAGCATAAGCATTTTCTTGTAAACCTCTTACTCTAGAAAAGGAATAAAGTAGAAAGTTTTATTCTTTATTAGTATGTCGAGTTATGGGAACTCCTTAAGTGGTTAGCCGTAAGCTTATTTGCATCACACCTTTATGAGGTGCGAATTTGCACACTTTGCAATGTGGGAGAACAGTTTCTGCTGCCACGTAGTGCTATATGAGTGGTTCGTCCTGTCTCAATCTCTCCCTGGTTGTTATTTATAACTGACATCTATCTTAGCGTGTCATGCTTTTAATTTCGATAATCTAGTCAGTCATTATTATTAGTTCACATCCGTCATCTTTCACGTGCTGCTCTTGTTTCAATGATTTTGTCGTATTTAACTGCCCCTGTGAAACATGTTTTTCACTGACACAGTTTTTTTTGGCATTTGTTGCCGCAGGGGGGCATTAAATTCTGCAGTTTCTCAGAGGATCTCTTACAAAACTTCCTCTTCAGAGTGCATGCTCATTAGAAAACTGCATGGGTTCTAGATTTCCATCTCATCAGCTCAGCAATGGCCTCTATGTATCGGGCCGGCCAGAGCAGCCGAAGGAAAGGACACCGACCATGAGCTCAGTGGCAATGCCATACACTGGCGGTGATATCAAGAAGTCCGGAGAGCTTGGAAAGATGTTTGATATTCCTGGCGCTGGAGGCTCAAATTCTAGAAAATCTGGGCCTGTAACCAACGCTCCTTCTCGGACTGGATCATTTGCTGGTGCTGCCTCGCATTCTGGACCAATCAATCCTAATTCCGCTGGAAGGTCGAGCTATTCTACCTCTGGTCCAGTATCATCCTCAGGAGTATCTGGTTCGTCTTCAATGAAGAAATCAAATTCTGGCCCATTGAGTAAGCACGGGGAACCCTTAAAGAAATCCTCTGGTCCTCAATCTGGTGGAGTGACTCCCAGTGGACGCCAAAACTCTGGTCCACTCGCGCCAGTTCTTCCAGCGACAGGACTGATTACTTCAGGACCTATATCTTCTGGGCCTCTTAATTCATCTGGTGCACCGCGCAAGGTTTCTGGTCCATTGGACTCTATGGGTTCCATTAAATTACATGGCCCAATCCCATCCGTTGCTAACAATCCAGCCGTGACTACTCTTAGTCAAGAAGATGACTATTCTTTCAAGAGGAACTTCCCAAAGCCAATTCTGTGGGCTATGATTCTGCTATTTGTGATGGGCTTCATCGCTGGCGGCTTTATACTTGGAGCTGTGCACAATGCTATCTTACTTATTGTTGTTGTTATCCTATTTGCCATCGTAACTGCTTTATTCATCTGGAATTCTTGTTGGGGGAAAAAAGCTATAATTGGCTTCATAAATAGATATCCCGATGCTGAACTCCGAACTGCGAAGAATGGACAGTATGTTAAGGTTTCAGGGGTAAGTGTTACATTTGCTGCCAAATGAATAATAAACTACGGGTGCTTACCGTGCTGCTGTTTTTTCCAACATATGTGAGGTTTTAGTGGAGTTACGTCTTTAGATTGCTATAGGTTTTTTTCTTCCTAATTATTTTTCTTTCTTGGTAGGAAGATGTTTGTTGGTTTTTTTTTCCTGTCTTACTAGGTCATTTGTGTTTTGAACTTGATAATTTGTGTTGCTGTTGCAAACTCGTGGTCATTGTTAAAATTTTTGTGAAGGTGGTAACCTGTGGAAATGTTCCCCTGGAGTCTTCCTTCCAAAAAGTGCCAAGATGTGTCTATACCTCAACATCTTTATATGAATATCGGGGATGGGATTCCAAGGCCGCAAATCCTACCCACCGTCGATTTACATGGGGACTTAGGTCATCAGAGGTCAGTTTGTACATTACATTTTTTATTTACCTCTGTGTACATGCTCTTGATGCCCTTAACTTACTAGATTTTGTAAACCCTTGGATTCACAAGGTTGGATTTTTTTATTAAGAAGTTAGTAACTTTTTGTCATTTTATTCCCCTTCCTTCCTACTTTCTGGCAGAGGCATGTAGTCGACTTCTACATCTCTGATTTTCAGTCGGGATTGAGAGCATTGGTTAAGACTGGTTATGGTGCTAGGGTGACACCCTATGTGGAGGAATCCGTTGTTGTTGATGTCAATCCTGTAAATAAAGAACTGTCTCCTGATTTTATCAGGTGGTTAGGGGAAAGGAACCTTTCAAGCGATAATCGTGTCATGCGGCTCAAGGAAGGGTAAGTAGTAAGCTTTTGTTTTTTATTTATAATAGTATTAAAAAAAAGGGGGCTTTTGTTTGCTCACCTAACTCAAGTCTATTTGGGCGAGGAAAAATATTATAACTGCCCCTTTTAAAACCGAAAGTTGGACTTGTGTTCTGAATCTGAATACAAAGCCTTTGGTTTGTATCTTTTCTTTGTTTCACTTTGGGGGGTTTGGTGAAATAGGTACATCAAAGAAGGAAGCACCGTGAGCGTGATGGGAGTTGTGCAGAGGAACGAGAATGTGCTGATGATAGTACCCCCACCAGAGCCCTTCACCACAGGATGCCAGTGGAGTAAAAGCATCTTCCCGGCAAGCTTAGAAGGCGTTGTTTTGAGCTGTGAGGATGCGTCTAAGATAGACGTGATCCCGGTATAAAATAGAGCACAGGAAGCATGTGAGGGGGTTGTCTTTTTTCCCAGCTGTGAGATGGCATTCAAAATGGTAGCCTGCGTTTGTAATTGGGTAAATTTGTGAAAGTTTGTGGGTGTTTGGGAATATATAGGGTTAGTGTGGGTTTTGTAGAGAGGTGTTTGGATGAATGAATGTTAGTAGAAAAGAGTCAACTACAGAAAGTGTTATATATAAATATATATATGTAGTTGGTGGCTGGTGGTTTGAGTTGTTAGTTTGTGCATCCTGTTTATTTTTTTGCTTCTTCTTGGGCTTCTTTGTAGCAAAGGGGTTTTTTTGTTCATCTTCTTCAATGGAAAGTATCTGTTTATTCTTCTTTTTTGTGGGTCCATTTGTTGTCCATTAATTCATTACTGGAACTGGAATGCAATTGATTCATTTGTAGCAGCTGTGGATATAATAATTGAAAGCTTCAATCACAGGAACACAAATCTTCTCATCTGGCATCTGCAGAAGACTGTATTGTGATTATAATTTGGGTATTCCTATTCTTAAACTATATTTTCTTTCTTGTGAAATGATTTTTCAATTTAGGTTTTCATATTTAGTTCAAATTGTATTAAAAGTAAAAATTTTAAATTAACAATTATTGTGAGACAAAGGTGGTAACTCCAACATTTAAAATAGAGCATCATCTTTGGGTTATATCTTTTAGAAATTTGCTTTTGCCTTTTGCTCCGAGAGTACTAATAATAGTACAGTATAACTGTACTAGTCAATCTTTGTTCTATGGAAAATTTGGAAGGAGCGAAATAATCAAGTTTGACGTCCACAACAGGAGATCGACAGGAAGATTATACAAGGATGTGGAATACAATCAAACAAGATTACAACCTTCATCTCAATTTTTGTAAGAAAGAATGGAACCGAAATCGGGGCAATTTGATCCAAACAGAGGAGATAGTAGGGATGGATGACTTCAACAGAGCTTCACATGGACATACTATCATGCTAGATGGACTTTTCTTTCCGATATCAATGCAAGCGGCGGGAGCATGGAAAATCACCACAAATTAGGAGATGATTCAGCAAATTAAATCTTGAAAATTCTCTGCATTTACTCCTCTACAAGCAGAAGTCCAGACACTGCTTTATGCCATACAAGAAGCTGCAAGTATGGAATCCAGCACATCCTTGTGCTTATGGATTGTGGGTTCTTAGTAAACAAATTGTGCTTATGGATTGTGAGTTTTTAGCAAACAAATTGATTCCTGATCAATCACAGGTTGAAGTTTAGGAATTAATTGCTGAGATTAGTACCATTTCCAAGTCTTTCTTTTCTTTTTCTATAACTAAAGTTCCTAGGGATGTAGTAGTTGAGATGCATAATATAGCATATAATCTAGCTAAATGTAATAGTTTAGACTCTCTTTAAATATAAGCACGTACACTTTTCAAAAAAAAAAAAAAACTGTACTAGTAATAATAATAATAATAGTGAAGTTATGGGAATATAAAATGGGCGTGTGGGACTGAGGCTAATCTATACGGTAATACGTACTACTACGACTAAAAAGGTTTCCTACAAAAACAAACGGCGGCACCGACATGGTGTTCCGGTGGCTGATCTGGACCCCCTGCCTGATTTCTTTCCTTGTCACTAAAATAATATGAAATCTTCCTATAATATATATTATATCCTTTTTCCTGACTAAAATAAAATTCTTCTGCTTTTTTTTGTTTAATAATTCACATGAATAAAATAAATTAAAAAAAAAATCCCTTTAACGTGTACTGCCGCCGCTTGGATCGAATTGAAGGCCGTGGGCGGTTGCCGTGGCCGGAAGTTTTCCCAAGATCCCCTTCTTTATTTCTTCTTCTTCTTCTTCAGATCCCACGCCCATATTTTCCCGCCATTTCTTTCACGGTCCTAACTTAAGAAGGAAGCAAGAAACACCGCCACATAATGAGTTGATGAGATGAGGACGGGAAGGCAGTTCTTAGCATCCGCCGGGAAGAACAGAGCCGCCGCCACCGCCACCGTTAGTAGATTGGCGTTGTTATGCCTCGGGCTCTTGGTTATTGGTTTATTTGCAAATCTGTTCTGGGCTATTAGTCCCTCTTCTATCTTAGCTAACGCCGTTCATTATTATTCCCCCACCCGAATCTTCTTCGTTCCTTCTTCTCCTAACGCAAACACAGCTACTCCTTCCCAGGTATTTCTTTTCCCCCTTTCTTTCGTTTTTTTCTAGCTTTTGCTTCCTTGGTGTGGTTTTAGGTTATTCACTGATGACTTGTATAAAGTCGCTAATCAATTTAACCTGCTATGAAAGTCCAATCTTCTTTATATTGTTGAATCATGCTTGTTTGTAGATTCTTCAATTTCCTGACCAACTGCTTTACCTTTCTTCCTTTCATTCGGTTGGCATGCTATAATGATGACTATAATTTTAATGTGTCATGGTTTAAGTTTGATTTTTCTTTTTTGAGCTTGCTGCTTCTTTTTTTATGGTACTGCCGAAGCTTCCAGTTTTAGCATTTCATATGCTGCTCCTCCGTTAGAAGCTAGTCCTGATCCCAGATTGGATTAAAAGAGGATGCTTCGTTTGGTAAACCAGCTTTCTACATTGAAAATTTGGATGAGTAAGGAATGTGTACTGATGGAACACTGTTGATGAGAAATGATCCATTTGACCTCATTCCATCTCATATAATTGGATAAAAACTCCATCACTGATGTTGTCACTCAATGAATGTGTTTGAACTTTCTCTCCGGTATTTTCATCTCATGTGATCATGTTTCTCCTTTCCCAGGAGGGTAAATCTAAGACTTCTGGGAAGAGGGTTCTATCAGCCACATTTGCTGATTTGCCAGCTCCCCAGTTGAAATGGGAACAGATGGCCTCTGCTCCCGTGCCCCGTCTTGATGGTGCTGCCATTCAAATTAAGAATCTTCTTTACGTATTTGCTGGTTATGGAACCATTAACTATGTTAGTTCTCCCTTTCCTACATCGTTCGTTCAAGTTTGATATATGTTCTGTTGGTTACTAGATCGATGAAAATCTTTATTTTCTGTTTTTGGCTCTTACAGGTCCACTCTCATGTGAACGTTTACAACTTCTCGGATAATTCTTGGGGAGGAAGATTTGACATGCCGAAAGAAATGGCCCACTCGCATTTGGGCATGGCAACAGATGGGAGGTACATCTATGTAGTTACCGGACAATATGGTCCTCAATGTAGGGGGCCTACAGCACGAAATTTTGTGCTTGATACAGAGTCCAAGCAGTGGGAGGGTTTGCCTCCTCTACCGGTTCCTAGGTATAGTCGAATGCTTTAAACATCTACTCTGCGTACAATCTTACTCTTAATCGTTCCTTATGGTGATCACTTTTGTTGTCTTTTTATTTTTCCCCAAGAGATTAGTCCAGAGCTCTTGGCCACTTTTGTTATTTCTGTTCTGGTTCAAATAAGAAATTCGTATGCACGTCTTAAGAGTTAAGACATTACAGAAATACTTTTTCGGTTGCCTGGAATTCGTATTTGAGGTTACTGATGTGATTTCTACCTCCGTTGAATCTCTTTCTTACGTTCCAGTCAAAAGGAAAGGCACATTTAAAAGTATGGATTAGATCTGTGTTTCTGGTTTTTGTCGTAGAGTATGATTTTGATGTGCCGCGATAGCATTTACTTTATATATCATTTTTTGTGGAATGTTTAATAAGATCTGTTTACAGGTACGCACCCGCTACACAACTCTGGAGAGGAAGACTTCATGTGATGGGTGGGAGCAAAGAGAATCGGCACACACCTGGATTGGAGCACTGGAGTATTGCAGTAAAAGATGGAAAAGCTTTAGAAAAGGAGTGGAGATCTGAGATTCCTATCCCCCGCGGTGGACCCCATAGGTCGGGTTTTTTATTTTTTGGTTTTTATTTTTTTGGTGGTTCATTCTTCTCCTGTTTTAAACATGGCTCTTTCATGCAGAGCTTGTGTTGTTGTGGATGACCGACTGTATGTCATTGGTGGCCAGGAGGGTGACTTTATGGCGAAACCTGGATCACCTATCTTTAAATGCTCCCGTAGAAACGAGGTACTATATCTTTCTCCTAAAAGTAGCTGATATTACAGGTGAGAAAACTTGTAAAGTTCAGCCTTGCTATCTTATCAACTTTCAGCTGTGAATGCTCCCATGTCTTTCTGGTTCATCATTGCAAATGTAACTTTTTACTAAGTTCACGAGATTTTAATTGTTTTGCTGCATCATATCTAAACTTACCGTGCCACCTGATCCCAATCTTGTGTAATTTTGAGCTAATCTGTGTCTAGCCCTTCTTGGTTTGTCCAAACTTCATTAGTGCTATTAATGTCAGTTTGACGTTTTGGAAGCCTCTAGATTTGTTCTGAAGCTTGGAGATTGACTATTGCAGGTTGTTTACAGTGACGTATACATGTTAGATGACGACATGAAATGGAAGATTTTACCACCTATGCCCAAGCCTGATTCTCATATAGAGTTTGCATGGCACATTGTTAACAATTCTATTGTTATTGTTGGCGGCACAACAGAAAAGCACCCGGAAACAAAAAAGATGACACTTGTTGGTGAAATATTTCAGTTTCAACTTGATATGCAGGTATTCTTTATTTCTCACGGACCTGTTTGGACTACTGCTTTTTTTTTTTTTTTGGCTCAATCTTTATTTCTTTGAAGTTTGTTTTAAAGTTGCATTGTTAAATTTAAACCCTGACGCTGAAATCGGGCTCTATGTTCCATCGAGTCTACCATGATATGGCTGGGTGAACCCTAACTCTCGTGTAACTGGTCTACATCACCCCAGATGCAAACAGTGCTCTTATGATATGATTTCTAGGTCTTATACTAAATTTGTTTACTTTTCCCTGTTCATATCTAATCAACTTGTCATTATTTCCGGTACTGGTTTTGGAACCTGGTAAAGAAATGGGCTGTTATTGGGAAGCTCCCTTATCGAGTGAAAACTACGCTTGCCGGGTATTGGGACGGATGGTTATACTTCACATCAGGGCAGCGAGACAGGGGACCTGATGACCCAGCACCAAGGAAAGTCATTGGAGAAATGTGGAGAACTAAGTTACAACTTGTGCTGTGAAATAATCTTTTCTGTTTATTTAGTCTTTAGATGATTCTTTCTTTTTCCCTCTGGGTTGGGAATATGTAATCTTCAATACTAGTGTTAGGAATTGAGCCGAAACTAAACAATCCATTTTGTGTTTGGCAAAAGCTTTATAAAATTACAATTTGTACTGCTCAACGCTGCTATTCAATCTTAACCAAATTGACAAGTTATATCAAGAGATGATTTCCAGAATCCCCCAGATCTACAGACATAAACCTCACTTTCATACCAGGGAGGCCTAGGTGCTGCCTGCATTTCCGCAGTTGAGAATTTCCAACATTAAAAATTGTCGTAAACAGTCGCACCACAACTGGATGTCGGTTATGCATTAGTAAAACCACACCTGCAATAGCTTATTTAAAGGGCTACAATATACATGACTGTACCACAATCTTTGCTATACTTGAAAAACACAGGATAAATATGCTTCATTCCAGAGCTACCGATTTTACAAGCTTTACATATCAACAGCTCAATCTGCACTGCCCAGTCAGCTTTAGCATTCTATTCAACTTTACAGGATGATGACGACGGCTCCTCAAAGCAAAAGCTCCACAAGGAACAGCCCAGAATCAAACCTCAGTCCTACTGCTTCACCAGGATGAAGCAAGCCATCCACCATCCCACCAAGCACATACAAGTACCTTCCTGAATCATCAGCGCAAGCTCGATGGAATGACCTACACATAGGTTTATTCCCTGTTGCTTTCCATCTCTTCCACATTTTGAGACTGATGGTGGGGTGCATTTTAATGTCCAATACCCAAAAGTCATCCTTTCTATGCCTGTATGAATCTTCGCCACCATAAATAAGCAGCCGGCCGCCTAATATAAGCGTGGCTGAGTGACCAACTCGCGGGAGGGATAATCCTTGTGGGATGCTCTGCAAGTCAAAAACTATATGCCTCCATCTCCATTGACCCGGATATCCTCCTTCAAATAGCCACACATCTTCGAGCACATCGTAACGTGATCCCCTCCCTCCAAATAAGATAGAATTTTCTCCACCAATGTGAGTTAAAGTGTGTCCAGACCGTGAAGGGGGAGATGGGCAAGCCATGATTTGAAGCCAAGTTCCACATGACAGGTTTTCTGAGAGTTCTAACATCCAGGTATCCCCAAGCCGGGTGCCAGAGGGGCCAATCCCTCCAAAAATGAGCATTTTCTTCTTGTCGATGGAACATGCAGCATGGGCGCCACGTGGTGGTGGCACCACTGAATTTTCCACATCTAGCAGCCTCCAAGACAATGTGACAGCAAATGTGTCAGCCTGCAACATAAGTTTTCCGATCCAGGTATCATTTTTCCTAATTCCTAAGTCACTGATCCCACCAAACAGTACAAGAGCATCGCCAACTACAACACAGGAATGCCCAAAACGCCCAGTAGGAATGCCAGAACCAACCTTTTGCCACTTTAATATTTTCTTAAAGTCATCCCCCATGTAAGCTACCCATGTATCATCAAGATGCCGACCTGAATTGAAGAAAACAAAGGAAAATAAGAATGCTGGGCTAATCAAACCAGCCATGATAATAAAGCAGGAAGAAGGGCCATAATACAGACTAGACTATAGTTTATGACCATCATCTCGGTTGAAAGAGTTAGCAAGTCAACCCAAGTTAATGCACAAAGAAACAGAAAACTTCTCTCTTGGTTTTTAATAATGTCAATACTATAAGAACAATCATAAATCTTCAACCAGTTCTATGAACTCGGCTATATCAATCATATTATTGATGACATTTAAAATGCATTCAGTGAATCAAAAGCAGATACTTGTGTTGGGGTTTCGCCAGGTTTGTCATTGTCAATAAACCATGCTGAACCAGTAGGTCTTAAATCTTAATATCAGAATTTTTACTGTAACAGCTTTGGCAAACAAGTGCCATTAGCCAAGGCGAATGCATAAGCTAAAAACTCTACAAACTCATATCACATGTACCACTTCTTTCCAATATAAAGAAAAAGCAACCAAAATCAGCAAAAACTAATAGAATAAGAATAAGATCAAAGGAAAATATTTGTATCCAAGGGGAAGTTAACAAGAACTGCTCAAAAGAGACTGATATTATTGTGAAGCAGGTCAAAGATATCGTCCTTATAATCAATGAACACTAACAATCAAACAGTGGATATCTAAACAAGAACGAAAGGATCCTAGACACCACTGTCCTCGGTGCCTTATTTCGGTAAGAACTGAGAGAGTTAAAGAAAGAACTTTTGAAAAAAAGAAGCAATATAGTACCTCCCTCGCAGCCACCACCAAAGAGAACTAGAAATCCAGAAACAAAATTCAAGGAGTGAGAAGCTCTAGGGCTAGGCACATCCTTGTCCAAGAGGCTGCCATGACAGTAGACAGAATCCAACCGATAAACTTGCTGATAGAGCTTCTTCCATTGGATGTTGGTGTTGGTGGTATTGATAAGAACATCTACAAAAGAAGCACCCCAATCTCTCCTGCAGATGGATTCCCAAAGGGCATCAGATTGAGTAATCAGAGACCTCAGTTTTTTGCAGGTTATCCCAAAGCAGAGTATGGAGTCTACAGGCAAATGTAACAGTATTGACAAGAGCTGGTCTTCTGGTAATCTACAGATGTTGTCCGCAGCTGATGAAGAAGAAGAAGAAGAAGAAGAAGATGATCCGTTGCTGCTTCCAGCCATTGGTGGGAGCTTTTGTCCAAACCTAAAGCTATGCAAGCGCTACTAGATTGGTCTACTCAGTGACCCTCTGAGGATGGGCAGCTGCCCCCAAGTCCCTTGTTTTCCTTTTCTCTTTGCTTCCTTCCAATCCAATCAAGGTGTGTTTTTAGTGTTTGCTTCTTCATTTTCCTGTTTGACCATTGATTGATTTTTATTTTATTTGTCTTGGTTGGGGATTTACAGCTCACCAACTCAGCAGCTTTAGAGAGAGTGATTTTCACTTTAGCAATCTTTATTACAGTACTTACTTTTATAGTACAAGGTAAAAAGCCCGAAAATGTTAAAAAGTAAAATAAAATGTACATTGAAAACAAGACAGACAAAACCAAAATCAAATCACAATACTCCCTCCGTCCCATAATTATTATTCAACTTGGGTTTTCATTTCTAGTTCAAATTGTACTTATGATAATTTTAGGACAGAGGAAGTAACGTAAATGAATGATGCAGAGAAAATTGTGACAGAGACAGATAAGTAAAAACAGTCGCGCAGAGTGATTATGAGGAAGAATGGAAAATAATGCTAAGATGAGGAAAGATATTTACATATAAAAAGGTTCCTATCTAATGAGACAGTAGAGGCGACTCAAATGAAGAGTTTACTGTGTAGTTGAGGACTGAGAAAGAGAAATGTGGGTGCCTATTTGAGCTGCATCTCTTTCATAATAACAGCAACGATAGAAATTCCGAAGCTTGCAGAGATAATTGTGCCCACATCTCAAACTCATCATCATCAACAAAATGCCAACTTCCATTGATAGCTACTTTTCTCTCTACATCTTTTTTGCATTAACATATCATATTGTTTTGAGTATTATAATGCATCATGGCATACACACTCCATACTGAGACTCCTGGTGGTCAATACCATCAGGATATTAAGGCTCAAACCAAACCTTCATTTGCTGTCACAAAAAAAAAAAAAAAAACAATAACATAATGGTAAAATAGCAACAACACATTTTCTCCAGACTCGTGGGAAGAAAAACCAAAATATAACTATCCCATATCGAATCATTTCTGGTTTTTCCCAGCTAGATGAACACAGGCCAATATTCATAATGACTTCAGCAGTTCAAACTTCATTTTTCCGTCAACAAAGCATTATTCAAACCATCCACCATCACCATGGATTCCGCAGAAACAATCCATAATCTCTGTCCATCCCTCCCAACAAAATTTAAGAATAAGCAAGCTCTCTTCAGGCTATTCTGGTTTCAATTTAAGGCCAGCGTTTCTCTGCAGTTTCTGAATAATTCTGCTCTAAAACCTACTGAAACAACTAAAGCTAAGAAAGTTTACCAGTTTATTTTACATGAAAATTTTGCAAAACTGGGTGTCGCTACACTTTTCTCTTAACCTCACAAACTGTTACAGTATGGGCTATATCTTTGACCCAAAATGCAGCTATTCATTTCTGCAAATTATACACACAACCTTTCTTTATTAATTTCCATAGGGCTTCCTTGGCCTCCTCTAGGGTTTCAACTGACTGTCCTCCTTCAAAAGAAATCCTTTGTATGTTGAACTGCATTACGATAAGCGACATTAGCTCTTAAGAAGGCAAGACAATTCAAGAATTCAAAAGAGGCACAAACTGAAGCCAGAGATGAAAGAACCTGTGCACCCTGGCGTACACGGATATCAATTCCCTTACTATCGATAGAAATAAGAGCCGCATCGTCGACTTCAATTTCTTGTGACAACAGCTCTTTCAAGGGCTTTGAAAACGTAACATTCAGCTCCTGTTCATGCATAGAACTTCAATTCTTAACAAATAAACAGGTAATGGGCCACCAAAAGAGACATATCACACATGACTTGCCTCCAAAAAGTGCTTCAAATTAAACAAGACAAAGCAACAGCAACAATAAGTAGTGAACGATGCACCAAATTCAGCGTATAACATAACAAAATCAACGGCAGATTCTTCCGCAGTTTTTCAGGTTCTTAGGCAGCACAAACTGAACTAAAGACTTAAGAAAATCTCATGACAAGCAGTATGATGGGTAACTGTCTCCAGTGATTTGAAGAGGACTTGGGTATTAGTTACTCTGCCCCTTGGCTTGTTTCCAGGGTGGACCCTTACACTCTATTTTATTAGACATGCTTAGCAAAAAGAGTGTTTTCTGATACACCTAGAACATGGTTTTCTAAATGTATCAATGGGTCGTGACAAGTCGTTACTCATCAAATCGCACTCAGTTAATATCTTTAAGTTCGATCATTGACAGGATTCAAAGACAGGGTGGGTGGATGCCGATTAGTGGTTGCTAGTTTCAACAGTGCAGGAAAAATGAAGACATCTAATAATCACTCTTACAATCCCTGGCATCAGACCCAAACAAATTTGAGACTCACAACTGCTGATAAGACAAAACTATCGCATGAAATTTTAATGACTGAAATTTGTAGGTACATTAGGAGGATGCCTGGATTAATAAGCAATCTCCTCTACAAGAGGCTCCTAGGTACAATTTTGTCTTGCCTCCTATTAATTCACGGCCAACGCGAACTTATAGTCGGCAAATCCTCAAAAAGAACTCAGGAACACTTAAGAATAACCGTAATACTGATTTTCTTGTAATCATTCTTGTCAGCTTCAGTAATGCTTCAAAAACGTGAGAATGGAGCAAGAGATACCTTCAAGTTTTGCTCGCCACCATCAACAGCAATCTTGTCTGGCTGAAGAGTTTCGTATTCTTTCACATCAACCCAAGCAACAGTACCAAATCCACCAATGAAATATATGTCACTGATGAAAAAAAGGTGATATGTTACTCTTAACGCTTGATGACAAAAGTTAGGAAGTCACTAGTAGTGTATTTTTAACCTTATAGTTTGCATCCTAAAATAGTAGAAGTTTAACACTATTTTTAACCTTAATAGTGTTTTTTAACCGAGCCATATTCAATTCCTACGGAACAATTTCTGGTTGATGCAGATTAATAATAGTGTATTTTTAACCTTATAGTTTGCATCCTAAAATAGTAGAAGTTTCCCCACTGCTGCGATGGTCCTTGCTGATGCTTTGCTATGTACTGTTTGTGAGCCCACTCCTGATAATCAAAACAGAAAAGGCCAAAGGCATGATGATCAATAAAGTGAAAAGTGATTGCAAATTAACCATTTAAAAATATCAAATATGAGCCCGAAAAAAAGGAGAAACTGTAGAACAAAAGTTCACAAGAATTGACAGGGAAATAACAAGCAAAGGTAGCAGTGCTCAAATCTAAGCAACTAAAGATAAACTATCTAAACTTAAAACTTTGATGAAAGACATCAAATCGATCAACTAATAACAGTAGGAGACATAAAACACCGTAATGACACGACTAATAATAGGACAGAACCTATTTCTGGACATCCGAAGTTCTAATCAGTAGGTTACCTGCTGGTCTTCTGCGAGAGGGTAAACATCACCAAAGATTGTCACCCTGGCATTTGAGAGACCACTCCAACCAGGAATCTACAAGGTGAAGAACATCAGAAAAGACGTTGGGAAGTTAAGGACAGATACTGAAACGTTTAAGTGAAAGGTTACTGACCTGCACAACCAATGTGCACCTTGGATCAGCCAACAAATTCCGTGTATGTATGGCCAATGGTGAAAATGAGAATATAGGATCTACAAACAAAAACAAAAGTACAATTTTAACAATTCATTAAGGAGTATAAGAGTCCAGTGAGGTAGGACCCATAGATTTCTACGAAATCTTCTTAAGTACTCATTGCAAAGGGTCAAGAGAGTTGAAACAATACAGTAATCTAAGATGGCAAATAAGAAATCGACTTACGTCCCATTGAATCTGGAGCAAAATCCACTAGGGAACCAAAGGGATAACCTTCTCTTCTATGGTGCATCCGTGACATCACAGTACATAAGTGAGCAAACCTAGCCTTCAATTAGTCACGTGGAAGGGGAATTAAACAAGGATTACAATTTCAAGTAGAAAAAATGAGAGACACACTCTGACAAACGCTAAAAGTATAGATATCACTTGAACGAGCTTCCTTTGTAATCGACGAAATGTCGACTCACCTGTTCCATGAGATTTCTAACAGCTAAAGCTGGTCTCGGTAAGCCGTGAGCAGAGGTGGCACTTTGCACTCCCCCAGATATGGGAGTACGAAAAAGTCCAGCTCTTGTGCCTCCCCCAGCCATGTTGGCATGCGGAATCATAACAGGTGTAATGACATCTGATTTTCGATCAATATGGTCTTCTCGAGCTTGTTTATCAACTGAATCAATCTTCAGAAAGACGAAGAGGGCAACGGCACAAAGTTTTAGACAGAATTTGAACACAATTCTCATGCGGAAGGGAGCATTAAAAGTAACAAACAGAATGTATAAAATTTTCCACGTATGCCTAAGGAGTAGTAAATAGTAAACTCCCCTCAACCCCCGCAAAAAATGCACGCGCACAAACCTGACTTGAACACTAACAGAATGGAACAAAAGCTAGGTCTAATTTGTAATGTTCCTGAATTGTGATAATGAACGTTCAAAGAGAAGTCCCAACTTGAATTTCCACCAAAATAAATAAATAAACTTTTACAAAATGAATTACATAGTTCCTTATGCCTACAGGGGATCAATTTCCACAAATCCAAAACTCTATATTTTAATTCATCTCCAGAATGAGAAAAGAATGTAGGATTTTACCTGAGGCAATGAAAGAGAGTCAGGAGAAGCTAATTGGAAGCCATTATTATTCTGATTGTCCAACGGAGGAGGAGAGGCAGCAGCTCCTTCATCTTCCTGCGGGTGATGGGATGAGGAGGATGACGATGGTTTACGAGCTGCAAACGCCACAAGTTGAGGAGGAGGAGGATGCCTAGAAGAAGAGGAAGAAAAAGAAGGGGTTTTTTTAAGGTGAAGAGAAGATCTTAGGGAGGTAATGGGAGGAACCGATAAGAAACTATTGTTATTGACAGTTGCGGGGAGGAGATTAGAAAGAGCAGCGTCCATGGAAGAAGGAGGAAGGGAAGCAAAGGAAGAAGAAGAAGCCATGGCCATGGATGTTGAAAAAACCAAACCAAAACCCAAAAAAGTAGTGTAATTATTATTGGCAAGGGTGTGGGGTGATTGTAAGAATGAGGAGAAGGAAATGATAGAAGAGATTTTGGGGAGAAACCACCATTTTTTTTTTTTTTTATTTTTGAGGGGGATTTTATGTATTTGGAGAGAAGAAGAATCTTGTCATGGAGATAGATTGGAAGCAGCAGAATCGGAATGGTGGAGTTGTGGGGTGGGAGGAGGCGGAGGCGCGGCCTTTTTCCTTTTTAGGCTTTTGTCAAAGACGTTTGCTTTATAGTGTCCGGCTTTAATTAAATTTTTTGTGAACAGTTGATTTTTTAAAATTTTTTTTGGACATAAATACATCCAGAGTTCAATTATTAATATTAAAAAGTCGAATTTCAGAAATCCAAAGGTCCTATCGGAAATCACCTTACTTCTGTCTACTCCCGCTCCAACCGAATATAGTTGTGTCTAAACCTTCCTATGAGAATATATTTCGGTAAAAAGTCCAGGCTTCAAAAACTCAAAACAATACATATGAAGTATTTGTGTTTTGAAAGATGTACATTGAGTATTCTATTATTTCCAAACAAACAAAACATAAAATATACATGTAATATGTCAGATTACAGGCAAACTTGGCTACTACCAGCTCAAAATTTATCTTTGATAATTATTGACTTTTCCTATACAATTTTTACTTTATTTTTTCAGGCCCCTTTTCCTTCCATGTAAACCCTAATTTATTTGTCAATTTTACAATTTTCCTACATAAAAAATAGACTTTTTTTTCTTTTTCTTTTTTTTTTTTTTTAATTTTGGTAGTTGCTCTAAACAGTTGGTGTTTGGTATATAAGCTAGTCCCAATCGAGGGATTCAAATCCAGCAACAATATTCTATCGTTGGTCGAAGTTTGGAATGTACAAGCTGCTCGATAATGCTTCATAGTGGTCGTCAACCAGAGTGGAAAAAATGACAACAAAATTAAATGTATTCCAACCCCAAAAATTGGTGTTTCGATGATTAATATTAAGTTCAGTGGCTTGCAAGTTGGACTTCGATCGCTTCGGGACGGAAGCCAAAACCATATATACCAGAAAAATTTCCAAGAGATGTTAGCAATAATCAATGTCTCTCCAGTGCACCATTCCAGATTCCAGAACAAAAAATGACTCTAGTTTCAGGTCATCTTATGTCCTCGTAGACCCTTTCTAGCCTTGCGGGATGCCAAAATCGACAACTGTCTTCAAGAGCTTACTTCCTTCCAGTGGGGTTCAAGTTCATCTCATGGAGATTGAGCAACAGATTGTCTGAATTTAGATAGACCTTGTTGGCAGAGCCAGAGAGAATGGCAGAAATTTCCCTTGATGCTTCAATTCTCCTCAGCGAGATGAAGGCGGGATTGTTGGAAATTGCTTCACCAATCAACTGGGCACTCTTAGCCTCTCCCTGGACACCAAAACGATAAAAGATGATACAAGTTAGCATGTTCTTTTAAAACAGAGTAACTACAACTCGAAACAAACTCTTCTGCCAAACAGGAAAATGTGAAGGTCTGGTAAACAAAACCCATTTCAGTACATGAGAAATGCATTCATAGTGCTTGTATACACACAGAATTTACGGCAGCTTTAGAATGGAAAATTTTCTCACCTGAGCTCTAATAATTGCACTTTTCTTGTCTTGCTCAGCTTTTTCAACAACAAACTTGGCCCTTTCAGCCTCTTGAGCAGCCACTTGTTTGGCTTCGATAGCTGCTGTAAATTCTCTCCCAAAAGTAAGGCTAGTAATGGAAACATCATCCAACGCAATGTTAAAGTTGGATGCCCTTTCAGTCAGGATCTTCCTTATCTCCCTACTCACAGCCTACAAATAAAATTTACAAACTTAGTTGCAGCTAAAAGTTCCAAAAATTCCATACTTACCCATCAAACTGCAAGTGATATTTTTAAACAACCACCAGACAAAAAGAATATACTAGATGACAAGATTCTGGAAGCTAAACATTATAGGAACAGAGCACGTGTCACCTCAACTGGGCTAGATATATGCAAATAAGCAATCAATAGTCAAGCATGAGAATCAATAATGTACCTCTCTCTGGGTAATGAGCTGGCTAGCATTGTACTGAGCAACAACAGCTTTCAGTGTTTCATGGATGATAGAAGGTAGAACTCTTTCATTATAATTCTCACCAAGGGTCCGATAGATCGTGGGTAATTGATCTGGAACTGGACGGGTAAGAACTCGAAGACCAATTTTCACCTGCACAGTAAAACCATAGTCAAGCAACATACAATGGTTTCTTCAGTTACTTCCAATAGATTCAAAGAATGAATCCATATACAGGAAAAGCTAATGCAGCAACAGAAATCAGAACCCCATTTTTATGTGTGATTATGCTAGAGGGTTATGACCGACAAACTAAACTATCAGCACAAACATCATACTTTCTTCCAGGATATTGGCAGAGTAAACACAACGACGAGTATAATTACAACTGTGTCCAAGTTTATATAACCATCCGGATCAGTCAGAAAAGTAGACCATAATGCTGAAGGAAAAATTTTACTCAATTGAAGTTCACAATGGTAGAGATTCCATGAAGGAATTACATACTTTCTACCTAAACATAACCAAATGGTATGCAAATAAGACATTACAAGAAACACAACAAAAACTAATAACAGCACAATATAAATGTTTATGAGAGAACATCCCAACTCAATACAACTTACTATATGACATTTATCAACAGCTTGCAAAATAGGCATGTCAAACTAACATATCTGCCTGATTGAGAAACTTAAAAAATTACTGCATTGAGGTTTACCAATGCAGTTTTTACTAGAAAAAGGCTTCTTAAAATAATATCAAAATATAAGGAAAACATCAATTCAATTGTATTCATCCAGAATATAAACGAATGAATGCTTATTACCATTTTCATCTAAAGAACACATGGAAAGCCTAACTTCAGTAGTATTCATTCAGAATCTATACAAATGAAGGCTTGTTACCCTATTCATCAAAAGGAACTTAAATTATGCCAAACATTGTCAGAGAACTAGATATCTAATGAAATGCAACAAGAGTTTGCTTATTTACCATTTGCAGGTCACGACTACCAGAAGTGCTCTCAACGAGATTAGGCTTAGCACGAACATCATAGATGATAGGCCTGTCAAACCAGGGGACCATCAAGTGTGTGCCTTCAGGGTAAACCTAAATAAGAGGGAAGTCTGAGTCAGAAAAGAAATAAGAAACACATTTGTACTAAAAGGAGCTATAGCCATCCATAGCCATAAAACAGGGATTACATCACTAATGATAAATTATCAGAAAGGAGATATAATCTCAGAACAAGATTTCAGGAGCTCCTGCTTACATGAGCATATCAACATAAGATGATCATAAATTACTCCACCAATCTCCCATATACCAGCATCTGAAATGTAAACACATCTATACAGAGAAAAACTTTCTAAAACATCTATACCTCATTGCCCAGTTCCAAAAGAACTGCCTAATTGCTAACATTGATACCATTATATAGATAATGAAAACCAAACGCTCTACAGATTTCCTATATCAAGGAGCAATGATCAGGGCAACAGAATTTCAACAGTTTCCAAGCTACGGATAATGTCTAACCTTCTCTCTGATGCCAGAAATTCGGTTAAAAACAATAGCACGATGCCCTCCTTCAACATTGTAGAGACTGTTAGCAACTCCATATACTCCAAGCCCAGCGACAATCCCCAACTTAATCAAGGCAGAAGGGACACCACCACCAGGAACCTTAGGAACCTTCATGTCTTTGAAATTCATCCTCACAAATGCTACAAATTGAACAGGTTGTCAGAATTCATACCACGCTTAACCAGTAATAAATGCACAGAAAGGCATAATCAATTAAGAGGGTGTTAATACGGGCGGTTGGGGCGGTTCAGGGCTTATTCGTTTCGTGTAACTCGATTTTTCATCCTTAAGAAACCCACACACAAACTGAACCGAAAAATGTGCAAACCCCACCAAACCGGCCGCTTATAAGATCGGGTTTTTCGGTTCGGGTTGCAATTAACCGAATTTTTTTGCCTTCAACACTAAAACTACACAATCTTTTTCTGAAAAAAAATCCCTGCAAATCCAGCCAAAAAAAAGGACAGAATGGCACCAATAAATCAGCCAACTGCCTACCAGCAACGGGGTTCAAATGGCACAAAACTAATCATGCATATTTTAACTACAGGATAACAAAAGAATACCAAAATCAGCAACTAGGTTGACAAGTATGATTAATAAAACATAAGAGAAGAAAACCTTGTTGGAGCTCCATCCCTACCTCTTAACTGATAATCACATTTCCGAAAATACTACTATTTTCCTTTTGTGACTAAGGTTTAGTCATATTCATTGCCACTCTATTTTGTGTTACATCCGTTTAGCTCAACAGAAAGACAATTTGCCTTTAGGTTGTACATCCCTAAAGGAAATGATAACACATATTGGATGAGAGTGAGGCCATGTAATCAAACAAGATGTCATACAAAACAAGTAAGGTGTTTTTATTTTTAGTTTCTTTTGCTTCATGGCCCAAAAGAACCATACAACAACAGAACGTGTAAACTTTGGTTGAAGTTTTCAAAATATGCACCCCACATGGAGCAAATTTTTGCCTCCCAACAGGCTCCAGGGAAATTTAGGCACGAAATCACAAACGGAATATTTTTCTTCACCGAGTTTACATTGAAAATTCAGGTAGGCATAAAATCAAACATCTAATATGCAATGAACAGACTTTCTGTAACTGCAAACCCAACAATATAGCAAATGGAATCAATCAATTGCAAGACATCTAAAGATGCGAAAACATGAATTGATTAAATATATGACCTCTTTTTCTTTCGAAAAACACAGAGAAAGCAGACGAAGTTTTTATAGGACTAATTACCAGATAAGATGCCGGTGAAGTTTTTGTGATATGTAGTGAGAGTAAAACCTCTTCAAGTTTGGCTTAGGGTTTTACTTCGAACAAACTGGAATAGTATTTGGGAGAGAGCTGTCGAACTATTTACAATATCAGCCCTTCAATTTACAAGTAAAATCAGAACAACCTCATTTACATAAAAGTTGACTTACGAAAGGTCAACCCTGATCTAAATAAGTTTGGTCAACCGTGACCTTTCCCGCAAATGTCCGAGGCACGGTTTTTTTAAAAAAAACAAAAATAAACTAGAATAAAAATGAGTGATCTCAACGAAAAATAAAACTCTCGACTTTACGGTAAGAACTTATAATTAATAGTATGATTTTTATGTCCGTAAAGTTAGGACTTGAGCACGTTTTTAAAATATATATATATAAATAAATGAATGACTTCAACGGAAATAAAACTTTCAATTTTCCAATAATAATCATCTTCATTATAATCTCTTAACTATCGCATCAAACCTCTTCCTAAGAAGCGCAACCTTTTTCTTTTACACTTTCGTCAAAAACTTTTGTTTATGTCACACACCCCCGTATTAGTGTTCGACTTCGAATTCTCAATATAATAGTCAATACCTAAAGTATATGTGTTGTGAAAGATGTAATGCGTTGACTAGTATTACTACAAAACATATATATATATATATATATTTTTATCCGTCTTGAAATTATTATCCAGTTTAAATATTTTTTTAATACAAATTTTTTAAAAAGTTAAATTGAACAATAATTTTTGAGATACCAAAGTATATACATTAATGTAAAATTACAAACAAACTTCCCGAACATTGCAACCTTATGAGCCACCATCCCCCTTGCCCCTCCCTCCTTGTAAACCCCAATTTATTTGTCAATTTTACAATTTTCTCTGTGCTAGCTCTTAAAATCATCACCACCATCTGTGTTTGGTATATAAGCTAACCCTAATCGACCGAATTTTGTTGTTAAACGTACATGAAAAGTGTTAATGGCCAAAAGAAAAAAATTAGTATTATAAAATGTAAGGGACAATTTTAACCAAATATCAATTGTAGAGTTAAAAAATGAGCATATGTAGAGGTATATAAATTAGATTAATTAAAATTTGAGGTACGGAATATTTTTTCTAAAAAAAAAATATTGAAGATGAGTTTGTTACCAAAGTTTATGTTTTGCAATATTAGGAAGATATGCAGTTCTAAAAAAAAAAAAAAAAAAAACAAATATCAGGAAATCATGTAACAAGTGCTCTTTTTTTTTTTCCTTCTTTAGCTCCAAACCTCCAATTATCTTCGATCCAAAAAGCGGCCATTTTCCTTTCATCAAGGTTTAAAATTAAAAAAAAAAAAAGGAGATTAAACAAGAAGAAAAAAGAAAATTGTGTTAAAGGAATTTTGAAGATGTGCTGGGTTGGTTAGTTCAACCATCATTATTATTGTACCCAAAATTTAGTTCAAACAACAAAATTGCTTCTCTAAAAGTCTTTTCCGTCTCTCTGGTGGTTGGAATTTCCAACTATTTTCCCATTTTCCGACTTCGGTCCTTCTGTTGGTGAAGGCCGGCCGGAGATCGGATTCTTCTTGATCCCCTCCCCCCGTTGTTGAATTACGCGATTGACTTGCACATTATTCATCTCAATCAAAAAAAAAAAAAAATCCAAACTTTTTTTGGATCATTGCACAGAACCTTTTCCACCATCAATTTGAAATCAATCATGGGCAGGAGCCGATCATCGTCTCCCAGCAGTAGCTGGAAGAGATACTTCAATCCAGCTTATTATTTGAAACGTCCCAAAAGGCTGGCTTTGCTCTTTATCCTCTTCGTCTGCGCCACTTTGCTCGTTTGGGATCGCCAAACCCTTGTCCGGGAGCACCAGGTTTGTTTTTTGCATTTTGTTTTCACTTTTCCCCCCCTCGCCCCTCGACCATTTTCCCCGTTTGTGAATAATGAGCGATCTGAATGGCGTGAGTAGATATCATTGGAAAATGGGTTTGTTGGATTTATCCACTCTCAGTTATTTCTTCATCTACTTTCGTTCACTTTTATTGTCAATTTGCTTATGCTTCCTCGCTCCTTTTGTTTTTTGAATAATGATTTGAATGCTCGAGCAAAGGAAGTATGGGGAAGTGGGTTATTGGCAAATCCCTAACCTTTGTTGCGTTTTTTTATCTGCGTTTGGAATTTTTTTTGTTTATCTGTTTTTAGAGTTTTGATTTCTATGGATCTTCCCTTGAGTTCCCGTGTCAATGAATGCGTTGGCTCAGCTGCACATGTAAAACTTGTTTTGTTCGACCTTGATCTATTGCATCCGTGTTTCCCGTGAAGGAAATAATTAATTGGCCGACATTATTGCCCCTTTAGATTGTTCTTTCCCCCAGTTTAATTTTTTAAGGGAGTTTGTTACTTGCTAGAAATTGGGATTATGATATACTAATTAGCTCTTATAGTATCGTGATTATGGTTAAATTGCATTTAGTCCGTGCATTGCGTCAGATAATTCGTTTGAAGTTGGGAGAAAGATAAATCCTTTTGGTTGTAGTCTCTAGAAAACTTTTTTTTTTTTTGGCTAAATCGGGTTGCTTCTTTGATAAATTCAATTTATGTACTTACTAGAAAGACTAATCCTTTTGGTTGTAGTCTCTAGAGAACTTTTTTTTATTTTTTTTTGGCTAAATCTCTGTTTGGTTGCTTCTTTGATAAATTCAATTTATGTACTTCCTAGGAGTTGGTACAAAGATCACCTTTTTATGTTACATTGTCTATTAAATTGTAATAAAACTTATTTTTAGTTGGTGTCTTTGTCTGTATTTATCAATGATTCTGTCGTTGGGATTATATTTGATCTTCTAAGCTTCTGATTGGACTGTTTATGTTTTCCTAGGAAGAGGTCTCCAAGTTGAACGAAGAGGTCGTTCATCTTCAAAATCTGGTAAGGTTTGTCTTAAGTTTCTTTCTGTATAATGTATTTGTTCTTAGTTAGCGATGCTGTTCAAATTTTCTGGTTAGACATAGCCTTTGCTTTTTCCCTAATTTGAGTTAGCTCATGTTTAGGGTTTTGAGTTGTTCCTCCAGTTTCCTTGAAGATGTTCAATAATAAAGAATCAAACACTTCTAATCGCACTTTAAGCCTGATGCTTCTCAAGTAAAGTTAGACATGCTTGTTGTCTTCATTCTAATGTTACAGAGATTGCGTATACAGTTCTGTGGGATTTTTTTTCCCCCAGTGTTGTTCATTCTTGATGCCCATGCATTTCAGTAAGGATTCTCTTACCATTTCGTCATCATTGGACCTTTCATGGGTATATGCAGTTAGAAGAATTAAAGACCGGCCAAGGTGTTCACAGTGAAGGTGTCATCATCTCTAAAGGAAAAATCAGCAGGGCAAGAAGAGATGATTCCCCAGACGACCCTGTAACTCTTCAGCGAAGAGAAAAAGTGAAAGATGCTATGCTCCATGCTTGGACCTCGTACGAAAAATATGCGTGGGGCCATGATGAACTTCAGGTTTTTTTTTTTTTTGAAGGTTCATGGGTTTTCTCCTCAGGGTAGATTGGTCTTGTTTGCTTATTTGACCGATAGGGGAAAAATTATCGAACATGTTTCTTTGTATAGAAAAATTGTGTAACATGCTGTTTCTTTCCAATGTATCAGCCGCAAACCAAGAGTGGTGTCGACAGCTTCGGTGGTCTTGGAGCCACTCTAATAGACGCTCTTGATACTCTATACATAATGGGATTGGATGAACAATTCCAGAAAGCCAGAGAGTAAGTTTATATCTTTTCAAAAAAGTCAGGTCTAGGTTGATTGGAAACCTCCTTCTGGGGCTTGTATCTTTAAAGTGCTATAAATGTTTTTGTCTCTCTCATAGAACCAGTTCTATTAGTTTGATCGCTTTTTCAAATACTAGGGGTTAATGATTATGATTAGCACCTTTCTCAAATTTGGAAAATTTCTTTCTTCTGTTCAAATTATTATTCTTGGTGTTTTCGTAATTTTACACTCTCCCTTTTCTTTTTTGGCTATACTAAGGAGCTTTGTTTTGTTTATTGTGAGCCTTGTCATACAATCCCCTCTGTTGGCGTTCTTGATTTGAAAAAAAAGGAACTATTTTATTCCTTTGAAATTTACTTTAACACTATTAATCTCGTGGCAGGTGGGTGGCGAACTCCTTGGATTTTAACAAGAATTATGATGCAAGTGTGTTTGAGACAACCATAAGGTTGCTTTGTAAGGTTTAATATGTTATTGTATCATTTGTCTTTGATCATCTATTTTCACGGGTATAAATGCTAAAACCGCTGTCCGCTATCTTTGAAAGAACTGGCCGAATGCACTAGGATACTGAACTTTTCTTTACAATTCAGGGTTGTTGGCGGACTTCTAAGTGCTTACGATCTTTCTGGAGACAAGGTTTTCCTGGATAAGGCTGTAGACATTGCTGATAGACTGCTGCCTGCATGGGATACGCCTTCTGGCATCCCTTATAACATTATTAACTTGGCTCATGGAAATCCGCATAATCCAGGATGGACTGGGGTGAGTTGTTGTTAAATAATTTCATTTCTTTGCTCAATAATGTGAGGATTGGTGAGAAAAAGCCTTTGTTCAATGAGTTAATATGTTAGAGTTGTTTGTTTTAGTCCTGTGCTTATTCTCAACCATATTCTAGTTGGTACCGTTACAAAGTTGCTCACTACTTAGTTTTATTTATTTGATATGTCAGTTTGTATGGCAGCGTTGTACAATTTGTATAATTTTGACAAAAATCAGGACATTGAAGAGTTTTATGTTCATCGTTAGAAAATACTTATTAACTATACTTAGAAGGATGGAACTCACTCTGTCATTAGTAACATAAATTTAGTGATTTATATCAATCCAGAAAAATGATCTCCCTAAGCTTTTGATTTGCTAATTTAACTTCATACATGCTGCTTGTTGTGTCTGTATTACAAGGATGTCTTATTCTCTAATACCTAAAAAATGATCAGAATTGATGATTTGGTGAACCTCCTTGGGGGTAATCTTGTAAATCAAAAAGAACTTCGTTGTTGTAAATCAAAAAGAACTTTGTCGCTGCTTGTTCGAGAATGCTAAACTTCCGCGGACACTTCTTTTGACAACCGAGAAATTTCTCCTCAATTTGTAAATCAAAAAGAAACCTGCTGCTTGTTCGAGGATGCTAAACTTCTGTGGTCGCTTTCTTTTGACAACCGAGATACTTCTCAATTTTCTGAAAACTTAACTATTTCATGTAGATTGAGTTTATTGTTTATAAGTACATTATACTTTTCTTCATGGTTTTGGAGTTTGTCCATCGACCTGTAGTTTCTGAATTTCTTCCCTCGTTTTTAGGGTAATAGTATACTGGCTGATTCTGGCACAGAGCAGCTAGAATTTATCGCTCTTTCTGAAAGGACGGGAAATCCGAAGTATCAACAGAAGGTATTGTGATGAAACTATCCTGTACACACTGAAGGCGTTGTAGGTTTACACCTAGATAGAGTAGACTAACTTGCATGCATCAAGGGAAAAGATAAGGAATATTTTAGCAAAGCATATGTTTTAGTGATAATCTTCTGACTTCATTTGATGTTATACTTCGGTACTTACAGGTTGAGAATACTATTTTGGAGTTCAATAAAACCTTTCCTGCTGATGGTTTGCTTCCCATTTATATTAATCCCGAAAGAGGAACAACAGCATACTCCACGATTACATTTGGGGCTATGGGAGACAGGTACTGTTTCTTTATTTTGGTTACATCACTATGTTATGAATGTACTTGCTTCCCTGGTACATGCTTATTGTAGCTGTTTGCTTTACATATACACGACTGCTTTTCCTTTCTGTATATTGCTGTTCTTAAGATAAAAAAAATATATCTATGGTCATGATGTGTGAAACCTTTTACTTTGTAGTTTTTACGAGTATTTATTGAAGGCCTGGATTCAGGGAAATAAAACTGCTGCCGTCAAGCATTACAGGTGAGAAAACTGTCCTTGTTTTCAAAATTTTCCACCTTTCCCAGAAGGTAACTTAAGCAAGCATATCTGCTTGTGAAATGTGGCAGCATCACTAACTGTGTCCATCCAAAATTTTGACAAACCCTGGATTTTCTATCTGAAATTTGGTTTTTTGCATGGTTAAATGAAAACAGAGAAATGTGGGAGACTTCAATGAAGGGTCTCTTGAGCTTGGTTAAGAGGACTACTCCTTCATCTTTTGCATATATCTGTGAGAAGATTGGAAATTCGCTAACTGATAAGGTGTTGTATTGAATAACAACTATCTACGAATAGTGCCTTCTTATAGTTGATGGTATATAAATTATTTTTCTGCTGAAATCTTTGCAGATGGATGAATTAGCATGTTTTGCTCCTGGGATGATAGCGTTAGGGTCTACTGGTTATCCATCTGATGAATCCCAGAAATTCCTCTCCCTAGCTGAAGAGGTGAAGTGAAAAATCTTTCCTTTTCGAGACATTTATATCTTCTTAAACTGTCTAGAAGCATTGTGAAGCTTTTTTACTTTGCTATATTTTGCAATGATGCTCTGATATTATGAGAGGTCATTTTCGCGTGAAAAAATGATTGAAATATAAAACTATTAATCTTTGTTTCTCCCTTTGGCTATACTGTTTTGCAAAGTTAATCAAAACTGAATCAGTGTTCTGCTCTTCCTTTTTGTGGGTCATTTTGACGCAGCTTGCATGGACATGCTATAATTTCTACCAGTCGACTCCAACAAAATTGGCTGGGGAGAACTATTTTTTCAATGCTGGACAGGTTCCCTTTTATAGTCATTGATGATCATTGTTAATTATACATATAATAGTACGATGTATCTTTAGGAAGAAATAGATTATGATGATATTCATTATTTTTACTGATCTAACATCCAAAGGATATGAGCGTTGGAACTTCATGGAATATACTGAGGCCCGAGACAGTTGAATCGCTCTTCTATCTCTGGCGACTTACTGGTAACAAGACATATCAAGAGTGGGGTTGGAACATATTTGAAGCATTTGAGAAGAACTCTAGGATAGAGTCCGGATATGTTGGACTAAAGGATGTACGGACTCTGCAACCATTACTTGATTTTTGTTAGATCAGATTAGCTCCTATATTTGTTATATTTTTGCCTTTGGATGATTAGAACTTGGATGTACTTGCTTATTTTCCTTGTCAAATCTCAGGTTAATACCGGCGTCAAAGACAACATGATGCAGAGCTTCTTTCTTGCAGAAACACTCAAATACCTTTATCTTCTTTTCTCACCTTCTTCAGTCATTTCCTTGGATGAGTGGGTTTTCAATACAGAAGCTCACCCTATAAAAATTGTTACTCGGAGAGACACACTTTGGAAGTTTGGAGGATCAGATAGTCGATCACGTACTAGGAAAGAAGGTCGTTTTGGCGGGAACTAAAGTTTCTCAATTTGGTGAAAGTAACTTTTTACAGTGATCAATGAATCAAGCACCTTCTGATGGCCAAGATTTTGAGCATCAGAGCAGCAATGTTGTGGTCAGAATATAAACCAAATGTTGTGGCCAGAATCTAAACCAATTCCTATAGCCTTGCTCTATACTAGGTTTAAGATCATCTAAGGGGATTACTTGTACAATAGTTGACCCTAAGGTTTTTATAGTTGTTGAACTGTGTAAAATATACATTGTTAGGCTATTTCACTCTTACATTGAGTACCTCTAGTGCGGCGATGGTTCTTTACGGGGAAAATGCAGGGGGTTTTCCCTATAAAATGTATTGCATGGTAGCGGGAATGCTCTTCAAGCTTTTATTGTTCTTTTAGGACACCAAAAATCAGTCCCCCTCCGGTTAGACAAAAATTTTGGGGTGGACTGATTATATATGTATTTTTTGTTGTAATTTTTGGAGAAGGGACATTGCTATCAATTTTCACGAGATAAGGGTAGTGCTTATAGGCATGTCAAGCTTTGCATTTGTGGAATTTGTTATTTTGTATGATCAATTACTTGTTGGTTCCGTTCTATTTTGAGGGCAAAGGAATGCTCCGGTTATGCATTTTGTGGTGATGGAAGAGGGAATGTCAATCATGATTGCAGGATTTGATAAGTAATAAGAAGCTATTGTACTTGCAAAAGAATAAAGAGATTCAGTTGAATGGTAGCTGCAGTTTTTACATTTGTTTTTGTTTTCAGAAGGCACAATATAGTCATTTTTGCTCAAACAGCTTCAAAATTCACTATAAACGTTTTTGACTTAGATATCACGTTCCTGGTCCGCAATAAAATCTGATGAAGACCCTCTAAGATTATAATTCCTAAAGAAATCAGCTTTTGTCCAATTCCTTACAAGTACTTGTAAACTGTCCGTTTTACGACAATAAATGACCGTAGCTGACTATTTACCCACTGTTTCCATCTGCTATGCCGAATTGGCATTGCTGTTTTCTCTAGCGAGCGTGAGTGGCTGCCCGATATACAATACAAAACCACATCTTAACCATCATTTCTATTGATGCCAGCCAAGACTAATCCAAAAGTCTTGCGGGAGCAAAAACACCAATTTTGTTCCCAGCAACCAATTGTAACGCCTGTATTCTATAGAGTGACCTACTTATCGTCATCTGCGACATTCGTACCACAAGATTCAGTGGAGAGAATAATTTGAAATGTCTACACTTATATTAAAAGCTAGTGAATCGAATAACTTACCATTTGTCGGATCAACATGTACAAAGAAACTAGCAGCAACAATGAGGTAACACAGGATGAGCATCAGCCCTTTAAAATAGTTAGATGTCCCTTCCTGCGAAAAAGAGGGGGAGGCAAAGAATTTCTGAGCCAATGCTGATAGCCAAAACTAATACTCTCAAGGTTTGTCAAATGTTTGGTGAGGTGTAGTGTAATTTGCCTAAAATGCAGTTCAACTAGCCGTCCATTCTTTTCTTCTTTTCTTTTTCCACCTTCCAAATTATATGCTTGAATTGATACTCTAGGGTCAGGCATGACTGATGGTAAAAAGAACTAATAGTAGTACAGGTTAACACGCACCTGCAACATAAACGCCACCACCAACACTGTGATAAAGAGTGTTGCGGTCTCGAAGAGCTGAAAATTCAAGTCCATCCGTTGCCCCATAAACCATCCGACAACTACACAAAATGGGATCTGCAAATCAGCAGCACAAGTTTTTTAAGCTTATTGCAAATCTATAAAACAGTGTAATAGTTACAGTTTTCTAGGCAATATCAGCTCAGCAATCAGATGGGAATCATGGCATTAACTAGAAGGGATCAGTCATACACTCACCACAAACATCGATATCTGGGTGGAAGAACCTATAGCAACTCCAAGTGTTATGTCCTGTAAACAAAAAAGATAATGTCAACTCAAATGATCCACCATAGCCAAAATGTCATCAAACCAGTAGTTACCGACTCACAAGCTTATCCTTCATCGCAAACATAATAGCACTGGCATGTTCTGCAGCATTCCCCACAATTGGAAGCAAGATTACGCTAATAAATGCCATAGGCATATTTAGCGTGTCAGAAGCTCCCTGGAGAGAGAGAGAGAGACAGTCAGACAGACAGAGAGAGTATTACAATTACAACTCCAATATCACACATGATAGCTTAAACTTCTGTCCATCAGTCATCACGATGCACACAGAAACACAAAATTGATACAGTGGAAACCAATAACATCAACTGTCACCAGTTATAACAGGCTATTTCTCCCTTCTGAAACTAAGTTCTGTTGGCTTAATAATGATAAAAATGAATATCCAAAGTGTTCTCATGACATTAATAGGTGGCACTAGCTAATATGACATAAGCAACAGAGTTCTAAACAGCCTTTGAAAAGAAAATGTTCATGAGTCATGCAAAGAGGTGGTTGAGCATATAAATCAAGTGATTCGGCAGTACTGTATTGAAATATCAAGATGTAGGTTTCAAAAGGTTATTAAGAGACAGCAGGTCAAAATAATTCTACGAACTAGACACCATTTATTTTAGGAACTTGAGTCATTGTTGTTTCAACCTAAGCCACACAATAAAATAAAAAAAAATAAAAAATAAAATGGATAAACAATGTAGAGGCTACTACCTGTATGGCATCGACAAGGTATCCAGATAGTATAGAGATCCATAAAGTCAAAATTGCTAGCCAGCCGATAGCTTCCCACATAGTAATTTCAGCTTCCTCATCTTCATCGGAATCTTCATTGTTAACCCCCTGCTCCTACATATGACAACAAATTACGGTTGAAAGCCACATAAAAATCATTCAACATAATTGACATTAGACATTCAGGAACAAGTAGAGACAAATGTATTACATGACAAGTATCGTTAGCATGACAAAAAAGCAAAGACCCAAGTCATCACATGCACGCACCTGGTCAATAGAGTCGTATAAACTCCTATGACTCCTTAACTGGAAAAAAAGATAGCTTGCATATGCCACCAACATAATGCAGCTGCTAAATCTGGAAAGCGCCAGTTCTGACTTCCCAGAATGCAGCTCTGTGTGGGTAAAGTGAAGCACAGCAGGAAACAGTAAGCCCATAACAGCCATCAGCAATAATCCTGAATTCACCAAGGCAGTTGCCTTAAGAAAAATTCAACCAAACATTAGCGTTTCTTCACACAGGTTGCAGAAAGCACCAAAAGAAGCAGTTTTCCATTTTCACCCCACCATAAAATTGATTTTAAAAATTGAGGATACATGCATGGAAAAACATGCATTTAAAGCAATGGAAAAATAGTTAACCTTATTGAATTCCTGATCTTTTTGACGATGTACAATCCCACCACAAAAGAAGGCACATCCAAGCACTAGTAGCATATTTGATAAAACAGAGCCAAGTAGAGATTGTTGAACAACTCTAATCATCCCATTCTTCAAAGCATATATGGAAATTATCATCTCCGTAGCATTACCGAATGTAGCATTTAGAAGACCACCCACTGCATTTCCAAACAAAATGTGTACGTGAGGATAAAGCGCGTGAGAAACAATAAGTGCTATGGAGCTCCCAACATAGCATTTATGGGCAAAACTACAAAACCAAACTCTACCTGTAGGTCCAGTAAAAAATGCCAGTTGCCTGCATTATGGCAAAGGAAATTATTTGAATCTGCTATCCCTAAATATTGAAAATCGGAACGGAAGAAGCAGGTAGGTCAAAGGTGGCAAAGATAATACTTACTCAGTCGCATAACCCAAACGCTCGGCCAGTGGTGTGATTCCCACCAAGCTGAACAGAAAGACCCACCCCTGAAAAACAAAGAAAAAGCTCATCATAAAAATATGATGAAGACCAAAAGAAAATTGCATTCTTCTCCATGTGTTGAAGCAAAATGAGAAACTCATTTCAGGGAGAAAAGGAAAAAAAAAAACTCACCTGTTTTCCTGTCAAGTAATGCAGCAAAATCGCTAGGGGTCCGAAAGGAAGCAGCACGTTGATCTTTGCTTTAACTAAGACAACGTAAATACTTCTGAGAGCGGTAATGTGGTTTATCTTTCTCAAGGTCAAGGCCCACGGATGAGAGACATGTCTTGGAGATGCAATTCGAGACGTCTCAACGTTCATGGGACGAATTTTCCCGTTTGCACTGTTAGATAAACTAAATGGAATCTCTTCATCAGAATCCAAGTCTACCTTCTCCTCAGTAGATCCCATCTAAATCTTTTTACCTTAGCAAATAGTGACCGGCTGATGAAGCAAAAACAAAAAAAATAAAAAAAACAAGAAACAGAAGACAACATGATCAGTTCAGAATGTAGCCCCAGTGAGCAGCACTAGAATCATGCATTTATCGGAACAAAATTACTAAGCTGACTCACTTCAGTTAAAATAGCAAACGGATGCCTCAAGCATAGAGGCCCTGCATCCACTTCTACAGACACAAACATAATTCAGTGAAAGGGTCAGACTTTTCACTCTGTAGTGAAAGCATTCCAGATGAAGTTTCATAAACATTCACATGGTCAAACTCATTTTCATATCCTAAAATGCAGCTAAATACAGAGGTGCCCAAGTTTGTTGTGTTACTCCTGAATCTGGATAATCCCTCCAAATGAAGTCTAACTCGGAAAATGGGGGAAAAAAAGAGCAATGATTTAGGACAAAAATTAATGAAGATCCAATGTTGATGCTTCCAGATCGAAATCCCCCAAGCGTGGAAGTACAAAACTAGATCGACAAAACAAGATGCAGAACCAGCATATGAATCTGAACTTGAAAGAACACCACTAAACCTCGTAAACAAACAAAACGAAAATTTGCAGGTATAAAATATACCTTGATGATTGGTGAGGAAGATCAGCCCAGTTGATTACAGACTTGATCCAAACCCACAGAATCCAACTTAATTAAATTGAAGAAGATGGGCTGCATGAATTTGCAGCTAAGAAAACTTCAAACCCCCAAAATAAATTAGTTTCTATTCTTCTTTTTACTCCTAAAAAAAAAAAAAACCTTCTTGGAATTGTAAAACCGGAAAAAAGAAATGGAAAGTGAAGGGATAATGGGAATGGGATGGTTGGGAGTTGGGAAGAGGGAAGAATAGGAAAGGAGGATGGACGGCGTTAATAGCGGCCGGCAAGTGGAGGAGGAGGAGGAGGAGCAGGATCACGACGAAGCTTCTGCGAAGCAGCCATGGCCCTGGGGTTTATTATTATTATTACTTCTGTTCAATGGTTGATAAGTCTATCATTATTATTTCTCTTTTTTTTAAAAAAAAAAAATCTAATTAGTTATAGGAAAATGATACTATTAGTGAAATAATTTAGTGAGAAAATATAATAATTGATGTGTATCTCTATTTTATTGCCATTTTGCCGTTTCGTTCCCCCCAAATTATCATTTTACCCTTAATTACTATTGACACATCAGTTACTATGTATTTTTACTATTTTTTCTCACTATATGTATAATTGCTTTTTCTTTTTGACAAGACCAACTTACAAAAGCTTAGACGATTATATGGGTGGGCTCTATGGAGAAGAGGATAATACTATTACGGATTATATGGGTGGGATCTATGGAGAAGAGGATAATACTACTACGGATAAACTCCATGCTTAGACGATTATATGAGTAGGGTCTATGGAAAAGAAAATAATACTATTACGGATAGACTCCACACGTACATGTCCAATCTACTTGCGCTTTCTTTTGCCGCTACTGCCTCCTATCCTGCAAGAAATATCATTACTCTTAGTTATACTAGTACTTCTTAGTGGTAATTTATCCACAAATGTTTTGTGCAATCAATTATCCCCAATAATTTACATTTTTTCCCACTAAAAAATAAAGGTTTTTCTTTATCCTCCTCCCTTCCGAAGGAAAAAAAAAAAAAACAAGAAAATAAAAAAAATAAAGCGCACAAACATACAAAAGGAAAGAAGATTTTTGAAGTGGTGGAGGTGGTGGACATGGCAACCATGTATGATAGGATGGGCAAAGAGAAGTATTTTACTGTGTCAATTAGAGTTCTGATATTACTATATTTTATCCGTTTCAAAATTATTATTTAATTTGATACTAAAATAGTGAGATATTAAATTAGACAATAATTTTGAGATATAGAGAGTATTACAACTCTTGCTATTATGAACTTTATTTACGATATAAATTGTTATAATAGAAACCCTGAAAATCTAGAATATTAGACTACTGGAAAAAACCGAATAATAATAAATAAAAAAAAACACTACTTCTAAAAAGGTTAGGCAATCTGGAATTCGTCATTATCACCCATAAATAAATTAGGTTACATGGATAGATTAATAAGTGGTGGTCAACAATGGCCACTTACAACCCATTAATGTTATTTTGGCTACTCTGAACTGAAAGCACACTTGTAGTGCTTTCCCTACACGGGTTCCCCTTTCATTTCGTTTTTTTTTTTTTTTTTTCCTGCAAATCAAATTAGACTGATGGGCTGAACGGAAGTATATGTAATGATTGGGAATGGTGTGTAGTTTGAGTGTGAAACCCAGACCCAAAGAAATTTTATGGCACTCTTTGAGTGGTTAATTAGCAGCGATTTATATGAAAAAAAAAAGAACAAAACACCCACCCAAAAAGAAAGAAAAGACAAGTGAATAACCTATTACCCAAAAGAGGCCTACCCATCTCTCTTACAGGGTCTCGCGTAGCCCAAAAGACCCGTCAGAAATCAGTCAGCCCACCCAATCCATCCTCCTTCAACAGCTGTTTCAACATTTTCTAATAAGCTTCTCTATATTACTGTCTTACTGTATAAAAATCAGCTTCTCTGCTTTCAAGCTCTATGGTTCATTCAATTTGTAATTGTACGCTTTGAGACTTGCAACTTCAATACCAACAATACAAAGATTCACGGGTACTTTGTTAACCAACCATTAGAAATTAAAAAAAAAAAAAAAAAAAAATTCATCCTTGTAGAAGTTCTGTAATGCCTAGTTTGATAAAAGGGAAAAAAAAAATTAAAAATCATCTTGCTGTAAATAGTACAAAAAATTAGCTATGGATAATTAAATTAAGGAGTCGAGTTCAAGCTCAGCTCGAGCACAAAAATTTTTACTGAGTTTGAGCAGGATAACTTGCACTGAGAACAAAAAATATACGAGTTCAAGTAGTCTCACTCAGCTCAAATACAAACCCCTGATAGCATGTTTTTACTTCCACAACGCTTATAGGTGAGTCTGAACAAGTCATTAACATTGACTAGGTCATTTTCTAAAACAAACATCATTCACTACAAGTCAACCCTTTCAAATCGTGAATACTTCGGTTGAACTAGAGGCATTTACTTACCTGCTCTTTTCATTTTCTCATGATATGGTGCCCAAAAAAATCTATACAATAATACCATCTCCACTTAATTTCAACACGACAGTTCAAATATCTCATCTACAATGTCAACTACAAAGTAAGCTAATGGTAGAATAGTTCACCTCATTTGCAGAATGAAGAATTCCTACAACAAATGTTACAGCCATGAGCAAGTCACCAATACTGACTTGATAAAAGACTTTCTTTCTAGTTTCCCCTCCACGACCCGAACAAGATGTTTTCAGGCTCCTCAAAACATGAGATGAGCAATTAAAAACAACATTAACAAAGACACTGGGCTCACAATGACACCTGAATACATTACTCATGTCACCATGAGGCCAAAAGTCATTATGCCGCCAAAACATGCACTCATCTTATCAGGAAAATGAGAAAAGAGGAACAAACAGTCACAATTCATCTCTATATTTGGGTATTCGGAACTGCTCTTTCATTTCTAATTACACTCAAACCATCATCCCAAGAAACACAGCATAAATGATTCTACAAGGGTTTCTCCACATTTCACACACTGGGATTTTCAGTGAGGATCATCCAAATAAAGGATACAACTCCTGGTTTTTCAGTAAAGATCATCCAAATATAGGATACAAGTTTTAATGGCATGATATGATCAGTAAGGATCATCCAAATAAAGAATACAACTCCTGGATTTTCAGTAAAGATTATCCAAATATAGGATACAACTCCTAACAATCTACACAAGCTTGCCCAAAAAGGCAAAAACCAACCAAGTCGAACATGAACAAAACTCTACCAAACCAAAGCTCCACAATTGAAGGATTGAAAGCTTGGCAACTGCTTCACCTTTACAAACACTTCAAATTTGGTATTTGCAACACTAACACAATTTGCTAACTCTAATACAGAAATCCCATAGCTTCCATCCAGTAAACACATAAGGGCCTTGCAAAGTAGCAACCAATTTAAAGTTTAAAAAAGGAAGGAAAAAAAAAAAGCAGTCCAATCATGAAACAAGGATACACAACAAACTAAACATTTCGACTGCTGAAGATTTCCAGTATGAAAAAAGGCAACATGCAATTAATTTAGATCTAATACTAGCGCGATAGACCTAATTCCAAGTGTGAAAGTTAGCCATTTATCGCTGATCACTTCCCATTCCTTCTTGTGACAAACAAAAACTAAACTACTACCATAATACAGCATATCCACCCATCTATCACGCAACTGTTCTCCATTCCACAACAGAGCAGCAAAGTAGCAAAAAATTACAGGAAAATAAATGGCACAAAAGAAAAAAAAAAGAAAAAAGAAAAGAGGAGAAAACTGACAAGTGAATATAAATTAACAAAGGAACTTTTCTTCTTTCCAGAACAAGTGCTATACTAGAAATAGATAGACAATGTAGAAAAGGAACAAAATTTCATGAAGAAAAATGAGGCCGTGGTGGGGGCAACAATTGGTGGGTCTTATGATTAAGCACCTGATTATGATTATTACTAATTTTATTATTGATAGCACCACCACCGGACGTCAAGGATAAGGAGGAGATGGACGGAGGCACAACCGAGCCGGGAGGAGGGGAGTTGTAAGCCATAACAAAAGGATGACGCAACAACTGAGCAGCCGTCCACCTTTTTGCCGGATCCCTCTGGAGACAACAGGAAATGAAATCCCTAAACTCGGGAGAAGCCAGGCGGGGGGCTTCGGGCGGTTCCGACATACAAATGGCGCACATTAGGGTAGCCCAATCGCCTTGCCTACCGACAGCAAACGGAAAGCGGCCCAGATAGAATTCCAATATACTAACCCCAAAACTCCAAATATCTCCGGCGTATCCGTCGTACTTGCCGTGATTCAGATCGGTGTTAATCCTCTCTGGACTCATGTAAGCGATGGTCCCCACGGAAGAATTGCAAGGGTCCATGGTCTGGGCCAGGATCCGGGAAACCCCAAAATCCGCAATCTTGACGGCCCGCTTGGAATTAATCAATAAATTGGAGGGCTTTATGTCACGGTGAACGATCTTGCGCTTGTGGAGATAGTACAATCCGGAGAGAATCTGGCGGGTGACGTCGGCGAGGGAGGGCTCATGTGGGATGTGAGCCCCTTCCAGCGAACCCTTGTCCATGTATTCCAACAAAACCTGGATTTCGCCGTTGTGATCGTTCATGTCGTGGCAGCGGACCACGTTAGGGTTGCTGACGTCACGGAGGATCTCGATTTCGCGGCAGATCTGGAGGCGAACGGAGTCCTCGTGGTTACCGTAGATGACCTTGAGGGCGTAGAGTTTGCCAGTGGGGCGGTGGAGGACCTTGTAGACGGTGCCGCCGCTGCCGGAGCCGATACGGTTGATGCGTTCGAGCTGGGAGAAATTAAGGGGCGGGGGAGAAAAGGAATTGGAACTAGAGGAGTTGGAATTGGAGGAGGATAATTGGGCGGCGGAGGAGGGGGCGGCAAGGGGAGGGAGAGGAAGCGGGACGGCTTTGTTAGGGTCGCGAGGAGGAAGGGGGAGAGTGAGGTCGACTCGACGGCGACCACCGCGGTTGCTGGTGCTGTTGTTGTTATTGAGGCTGCGGTGGTTAGAGGAGGAGGAGGGGGAAGGGGAAGAGGATGAAGAAGAAGAAGAAGAGGCGGAAGAGGAAGGGGAGGTGGCGGAAGGCGGAGGAGGGGGTTGAATGGGTCGCATGTTTGATGTTTGTTGATTTGTCTGTTTCAGAAATGAAATGAAGAAGGAAGGAAGGAGGAGTAGAAAAGAAAGAAGTACAAAATGGAAAAGAAAAACAAAAAAGAAAGAAAGGCGAGCAATGTGGTAAATATTACCAAAAAGTTTTGGCCAAATTGGCTTTATGCCTTTTTTTTTTTTTTTTCCTTTTTAAATTTTGTGTGTGGGGGTGGCTCCTCTCTTATTGTTCTCCTCATTTTGGTTTGAGCGAGGAAATGAAACAAAATAAAAAAATATACTACTATACTTCTTATGAATTGAATTTGGGTTTTTGTTATTAGCAATATAATAGAGAGTAATGTTTGTTTCGTTTTTTTAGTGTGTGTTTTTAGGTCTTTTTTGTATTAGGAATGTAAAAAAATGTAAAAAAATTATGTTGCGATGAGACAGTTATTATTATATTATTTTGAAAAAAACCATGAAAAAAGGAAACAAACATAGCCTTATGTTTTTAAATAGGTACTATTGTTGATTATGATCGTTTGCCTCTCTTTGGGAAACCACAATGGCTTTTTGCCTTGTATAAATACTAACATATATTACCAACTTTTAACTTTTTATTTTCTTCAAGTAACAAATGAAAACATAGGAGTATATATATTTTACCTAAAATTAAGAAAAGACGATCTAAATTATCACTCAATAAATTTCTTCTTCTTCTTTTTCAACCATGAATTATTAGTACATATAAACCCTATTGCATAAATAAGAAGCCAATTTTTTTGAAGGAAGAAAATACAACAAATGTGGAAACAAAACTGTAGTAGTAGTTCAATGGAAGGGGCTCTTTGGCGATCTATGTATTAGTAATATTATTATCACTCCTTAGCTTTGGCAATTTTTCAAGTCATAAAATCATCAGTTTACATTTACAGTCCAAACATATCCAGGTCTCTTACTGCAAATTTTTGTACAACGTTTGCTCTATCAATCACGACTGTCCATGTATTTTCTTTACCAACCAGAACAGCATTTGTACATTATTACTTGTATCAAATCTCTCCTCTTTTTTTTTTTTTTTCCTTTTTGGCTTCGGCATTATCTGCTGTTTACCAAAACTCTTCTTGTGCATCAAGTACCTAGGTACGGTCCCCGAGTTGAAACAGGCGGACCGTATGAATATCGCCATTCCCCACAAGCCGAGCATCTATCCTTGCCAACAACATTGTCTAGAGTGCAGAACTTGCAAGACCATACCTTCGCTGATTTTGCTGTATTTGATCCACCGGCAACAGCATTACTACCAGCATCACCTTTTTTGGTTCCGCAAACTTCACAACTCACACTTCGGGCCTGCATCAGGAAATTTATGCATCGAACGTAAGTACAATAATTCTTTGTACTTGGGTATAATGGTTATAGTAGCAGGGAAAAGCGTTGACAAGGTCACAAGGTCGCAATGGTGTCCGTGCATTCACAAAAGAAGATATGATGGTTGTTCAAACTATAGCGCATGGAAAACGTTAGCAAAATGTTGTTGTTCTTATGTTAAGGTTCACAACACTTGCCGTGGAATAATGACAACCAAAAGACTCTTCTCAGAATTTTGCCTCAAGATAAACAAGGGCTAGATATGCCCATGTGTTTTCTAGTTTTCCAAATATGGCATACACCATATCGGTGCATGGTTGTAACCTTTCAATCTTTGTTTAAATGTGGTTTTCGATGAGCTGAAGAGGTGATCTGAGCATTAAAACATTCTTAAGAGGACACTCAAGAACCTATAACTTGATTCTTCTACAACTTCTCATCTCATTCTAAAAGTAATTTGACCCTCTTGCAAGTTGCAAGTACAATATAGTAAGAGCAAATGCCTTATGCTTTTAATCCCCACAAGAAAACATAATTTGTCTTTTTCTTTACTTCTCTTTCTCTCCCTACTTTGTTTTGTCATTATTCTTGGTTAGAGCTTGGTTCATTCTCCCAACTACAAGTATAGCAGATTCTTGGTTCGAGCTTCGTTCATTTTCCTTACTAAAAGTATAGCAGATTTCAGAGAAAATGATAAGTCAAGAATTAGATATATACCACGAGATGAAACTAAAGGGAAGGAGGAACAGACCTGATTTAGGAAAGTGCAAGCGCCACACTCCCACAATGTTCCTAAGTCTTCTTCACCAAATTGGATGCGTGAGGAGCCCAGATCATTAGAAGTTGTAGTTGAAGCAGCTGCTTCAGAATCACGTCTCATGATTGGGGGTACAGAACTTTCAGAAGACGATCCTTCAGTTTCCAAAGATTCGGAACCCCCACACCAAACATCATCGTGTAGTCTCCTTTCAGCAGCCATTGCAGCAGCTTGTATTGGGCTCAGAGCTGCCTTGATGCTACTGTCACCTCCCAGCCGCTTTGGTCCAGATGGAAGAAGAGCACCTTGTTTTGCTCTATTTTCAGCAGCAGCCAATGCAGATTGCCGAAGTGATGATAGAGGCGGTTGATTACGAGAAAAGCCCCCTAATCTTCTGCCCGGGAGATCAAATCCTTGCCCTGTGCCAGTAATTCCCCTAGCAATAAGATCTTCACATTCCTGCAACAATACTTAGCTCATTACAATAATCTGCTATAGGGTTCAACATTATTTCAATCCACAGGAAAAACTTTGCACACTCCAAGATGATGCTAAACAGCAAAAGATCACTGGAAAGAACTATCACTTGTTATGATCAGATAATCTAACGAATAAAACCAGTTTCATAATGCCAACATGACCGAATAGTTCACCTTTCTTATTTCATCCCAGAGGCGGTAGAAATCTGCATTATGGGGGCCAACTTCATTGTGGCAAAGCTCGTGAAGCATGGTATCAAGGATTTGGTTGTAGGGAAAGAAATCTAACTCGTTGTTTGGCTGGCGCAGTCTCAGCTTGATTTCTGCACCACCTCCTACGTTTAGACCTAACAAAGATGGATTCGCCGGACTGCATAAAAGCCGAAAGGTACTGAGCACAGATCTAAAAATTACCATAAAATCTTATTGAAGAAAAACCATCAATGATAGGGACTAAATGATACCTGAACTCAGAAAGAAGTCTGACTTTCCACTTGCGCTTGCGCATGATGGGTTGAACCTGCTTAGCAACTCTCTCGAGAATTTCCTTCGCCTCACTTTCTCGAATCCTCCTAAGTGGCTTAATCTCCCAGACCTTGTTAAGATCATTCAAATCCATGCGGAGCAGATTCCTAAAATTACAAATGAAGGTGTAAAAGATTGGAAAGGAAAAGTAAGATTGTTTGGAATTTCAAATACTTCAACAACTTAATCTTCTATGAAAGCAACTTTAAGACTGGAAAAAAAGAAAAATGCATTCGCATCATTTATCCTCATCAGGCAGTCAGCAGGTGAGCAAAGTCTGCTCAATGACCGAAATCGGTGTTATAAACATACTTCGCCTCTAACAGCTAGATGCAATAAGAAAAATTATGAATGTAACAAACTTTTGATTTCTCTCCAAGTTTAAAGTCAAGTTTTCCAAGTTTCTCTCCAACTTCAAAGACACATACTTTACCAGCACCTAGCATCCTCAAAATTCACAAAAACGGTATCCACGCAAGCCAACATGACCCTAGACAGCAAGGCAAGTCATAAACTCAAAATTCTCCAAAATTAATCTAGAATTGGCATATACAAAACAGATTACAGACGACAACAAGAACAAACCTGAACATTTTACAATGTGTTATGGCTTCCTCTTCTGTGATAACAAATCATGATTCCGATATTCTATAAATGGGTTTTTATTCTTACGTGATAAAATTAAGTTTGGCATAAGCACAGACTTAGAAAAACTGGGCAAAAATTGCAGAGAAATGAAAAAGTACCTGAAAGAAGAAGAATGTATGAAACGTCCCAATATGAACTGGATGAAAAATGGGATACGATTTGTTTGAATTATGAATAAATGAAATTTATGAGAATAATTTATAAACGTATGGACAGTTTTTTGGGTGGGAATTTTTCTTGAGGAGCAAGTCGCGATTAAAAAAAAAAATCCATCACCACCGGCCACCGGCCGCCGGTGTTACGAATTTGATGACGACTGATTGACTGACTAATGGGACAGGACCTCAGAAAATGAAGGTAGCAACGGGCCACTAAGAGTTGGGCTTTCCGGCTTGCGATGTAAATGGATCGACCCAGACTTAAAAATTTTGTCATAAACTCATTTTGTGGCTCATAAAAAAGTCTAATCAACACTGAAGTAGCGGACTCACTGGGCTATACATATTTTGGCAACATCCGACTTTATTATTAGTTTATCTACATTTCAATTTTCAATAGCCCAACATCGTTTTTCTGGCAGGTGAAGGTTTTTAGGGGAAGATTGAGGGAAAAAGGCCTTGATGAACATAACAGTGTGTAAAATTGTGAGAATAGTAGCTCCTCTGCAGGCCACATCTCCAGTTCCAGACTTCCTGTAATACAATTTTTTTCATTACTTCTTTAGGAGTTTTTTTTTTTGTTTTTTTTCTGGAAAAAGGACGTCTATATTAGTTATCAAAAAAGTACATGAACTATTACAACACATTCTATGGACTTCTTTTGAGTTTATTACTAAAGAAACAGAATATTTCCATCAACATTTAATTAACACTATAATATAGCATCAATCATATAAAAACATAAAAACTCAGTTCTGCCAATGCTGGCGTTTCTACAAATTACCAAAATCTGGTTAGCCTTTACATTTTAGTATTTTACAAGGCTAATGATTTTGCTACAACAACTTTTAGCATCCAGTGCACGGTCTCGGATCGGCTACCCTCAAACTGGGGTAGCCGGTCCGAAGCCGACTACCCATTCCAGAATTTTTTGATAAAAAAAAACTTACCGGTGTATAGGGTGAACTTCCTTGACATTGTTTGCCTCGATCTGCCATTTTTTCAGTTCCCGAATCTTTATAGATCTAAGTTTAAAGAGTGGATTTTTGGGTTTGAATGTGAAGAAGAAGAAAGGAGAAGGAGGAGGAAGGAGGAAAAGGAGGAAGGAAGGAAAAGGAAATGAGAGAGAAGGACAAAAATGTCCAATCAACTGTAAATGAGTAATTTTTCTGACTGCAAAAAGTAATTCAGTTTATTTGCTGTATGAAGGTTTGTTGGAGGTCATTTTGAAAACTTTTTGCCCCGGTATTGGAGACCATAGTAAAAAGCTTTTACTTGCATTTTCTTTAAGGGAATTTAATATCAATTGATGGATAAAATCGATAATTGTCGATTTTACTACCATTGATGACCGAAGAGCTTGAAAGAGAAACCTGAAGGTTCAAATTGAGAGAATAAAACTCAAGCTTCAATCGGAATTTTTAGCCTAAAAGGGAATTGCGATCAACACCATTTGACTTCTCATCATAGTGGACCAAAATCTCCAAAATTATTAAAAAAAAAAAAAGGAGTTGGTATCTAAAACAGCTCTCAAGAAATCCTCATGTCCAGACCCTCCAAAAAACAAAGATCCTCATATTTTTGGAAGAAATTATTATATCGTATCAGAGGAAATTTCAGAGCAGAAAGGAAGGAGAGAAAAATTTCAGCAGAACTAATGAAAGAGGGAGATGAGAGGTTTGACTCTGATAAGGTCAATTTCGGAAAGTAAAGAAAAAATTGTACTGGATGCTAAATATTGTTCTGGCAGAATCATCACCCATTTTACAAATCAATAACACCCATTTATCACATAACATTACAACAACTTAGCTTAAAATCACCAGGACATGACAGTCAATATTACGTACTCCCTTCGGTTTTTAATATAAGGCATTTTAATTTGTTTTAAATTTTATCTAGTATACATTTTGAATTGATAAAAAAATCTTTAAAAATTTTTATAACAATCAAGAGAACACCACGAATATGTAAATATATTCTTATGTTTTTTTTGTCAATTAAAAATACGTACTATCTGAAACTTAGGACAAATAAAAATAATTTAAATTAAAGACTGAAGGGGATATTATTTTACCTTTGCCAGCAATCATAATGTCCTTAAAAAATGCCAATTGCCATAGCATCGAGCCTTAAGAATTTTCCATGAGTTCCACAACTGTTTGTTCTTTTCAAGTAACCCCACGCAGTATTCTTTTTCCCTTGATCGAGATTTTGTCTCAATAAATTTTCCTGACAAGCTTTTTAACGAGGTAACGCCCCATTTGGAAGTGTACATTTTTCCTTCACTAGAATTTTATCCTAAAGTGTTTTTCTTAGTTAGGTTTTAACGAGACATTATTTCACAACAATGGACATTCAAAAGGGGTGTTATAGAAAATATCTGATTTGATTCGATTTGATTGAATATACACATTAATATCTATTATTTTATTCACAATCAAAGAAATATGATTCTGTAATATTTATCATTAACGATATGTGATTTATTTTCCATAGTTTGCTCCTCTACTTTTTTTTATATATAAATAGAAGCTCATTCATACTTCAAAATACACCTAAGTACAAATTCATTCTATTGTCTCTCTCCCTCAATTTTCCTAACTCTCTTTATTGTTCTTGTATTTAGTTTCATATTGCTAGTTTAGCATTAATTTTACAATAGTAATAGTATTTTAATAGGTATAGAGGTGCATAATTGTCAAAGGGTTGTAATTTTATATTAGCATGATATATTAAGCAGACTATCGGTTAAAAATTGTAATCTTAGACTTCTTAGTGTTTAGCGGAGAAAAAGAAATTAGTATGAGCTATTTTTTTATTTTTATTTTTTTAGCAAGATAGTAGCAAAACTATTGTTACTAATAACTATAAACGTGTCGTAAGGAAAAAGAAGATTGAAGAAGCCATAGTAGGTCCTATATCACGGCCTGAATATGATGGTGAGTACCACTAATAGTACCTTTTTCAGGTTTTAAATATAAAAATACATATTAATGCTAAAATTAGTTTAAATGTCTCTCTTATTTTTATTTATTTATCTATTAACAATACGAGAACTTTTCAGAGGTTCAGCTGCTCTAGTACTATACTGCTCTAGCCCAAATTAAACACACTTAACTTTGGAGTTCTGATGATATCCGATGTACTAATGCGGGTATGATCGTACTCGTTAAATACTTCTCTTACAAGTAAGAGTATTTTTTATGTTTTTCATGGGAGAACTTCAAATAAAAGTGGGTGAAGATGTTGATTGTTATTCCTTGGCTGGGGATATCTATAAATAATATGTACAATTCCAATATTTATGCAAATGGTACTGTGGTCAATCATAAATATTGTGGGGGGTGAGGTCCATTATTAGTAGTTATTATTTCTTTTTCAAAAAAAGAGAACATTAAGTAAAGATTTTTTTTTTCGAGAAAACATACTATATATTATTACACATTACATAAAATTTAAAAACAGTTTATGAAGGGCTCAATAGAACTTTTTGCTGCTTTACTTGTACCGACATCCTATCGACCTTAACAAACTTACAAAAGTTAAAAACATGTTTTAACATACCAATTTCCTCTATGAATGAGACTTTGAATTTCAACTAGTGCAGAATCTGGGAAGTCCAACGCATGAATTAAAGACTGACAATCAGTCCTTATTTGTACCCTTTAGGACTTGAGATTAGTTGGAGGAGTAAGAAAGAAAACAAAAAACAAAATAGAGGGAAACGGCCGATTATTTTATTTATTTATGTAGTATTGTTTTTCAAAAAAAAAAAAAAAAAGAAAGAAAAGAAAGAAAGAAAGCAGCAGCAGCAACACGTGTAGAGGAGGAAGGAAGGATTAAATGACGCATCTATTTAACTTTCACGTCCACATTCATCCTCCCAGCCCCAATTATTTCAATTTCCTACTTTTTCCTTTTTTTTTTAATTTGAATTTCAATTTGATAATTTATTTTATTACTACGTTATTTTAGTTTGGTGCCCCTAACATTATTCGCATTTGGTTTTTGGCGGTGGCGGGAAAATGTTGATTCCCTAGTCAGATTCTCCTGTTCTGAATGACTGTTCTGCCCCTGACTTCATATATTGCTATTAACACAACTATTCGATTCTCTCAAAAGACAAAACAAGTACAGCCTCGTTTTTTTTATATGTCGCTCTAGATTATATAGGAATATTAAGAAAATAATAATGATTGATAATTTAATTTTAAATATAATATTTTTTTATTCCTAATTAAAAGTATTGAAACTCTAAAAAAATTAAAATTAAAGTGAAAGCATAGATAGTTCATTAATTGTTATTAATGTATGTTATTAAGGGTAGAGAGAGATTATGATAAAATTGAAAAAACTATATTTAATTATAACAGATAAAAAAAAATTTGAATTCACTCTAAAATGATAAGAAAAACGAGATAGTAGTTTATATTAAATTGAAATATTGTGCGTTTGACTCTTTGTTTGAGCATGTGATGCTCTTTCCGTCTCAAACAAAAAAAAATAAATAAATAAAGAAAAGTCAATGTTTTAATTTGTAAAAATTGTTGCATAAAAATATTGTAATTTATAAATTTTAATAATGTATACTATTTTTATGGGGTCTTTTCCCTAAAAAATTTAATTAAAATAAAGGTGGACAAATTTCAATTTTTTAGAATATTTGTGGACAGGAATATATCCCACGGATTTTCAAAATCCGAGTTATAATTAAAATTAAACATTCGGATTTCAGAAATCTGAATCTACATTTAATAATGAAATAATAATTAAATAAATTTTGTTGAATAATAGTTTTTAGAAAATCTTACATGAACAGTGCCGTTCGGATTTGCGTAATCCGAGTCCTATTAAAAAATAATAAATTGAGGCGCGAAATATTTGAACTCAAATAAGAAAGGAGTCCAGGACCTGGACTCCTTAAATAAACAGTAGTACTCGAATTTCCGACATCCAAGTTCTCAAAAAAAAATAAATAAATAAAATCAAGGCGCGAAATTTTTGAAATCAAAGAACTGGAATACCGTAATCCGGTTACATGTATTAGTGTTATGTCTTATTTGTACGTACAGTATTATGTAGTACATTAATATTATTACTCATTATACATTATTGGTACTATTGTTATTTTTTACTGTTAAATCTGTTAGTCATTATATATTATCATTAATTCAGTATAATTTATCTGTACTAGTGTAATGTACTATTTGTACGTACTAGTATTATGTAGTACATTAATACTAATCCATAGTACTTAATTAAAGCAGCAAACGAAAATGACATGTGTCAGCGCCACAATGAAAATTTTCCCGCCAAAAGCCATTTTCAGTACAAAATCATTTTTGACACGTGACACTCTAACTAATCAGAAAAAAAGATAGAATAAATAAATACATAAATCCTTTAATTATAACTACATAAAAATATCTTAATTATAGGTATATACTAATCCTTTAAAACCACAATATTTAGTTGATAAAATCAAATACTAGGAAATCTGCTTAAATCAAGGGAAACACCAGTAATGTCTTCCCAATTCTCAATTTCAAAGAATCTCTTCCATTCCGCTCTTCTCTCACACCGGGACCTTTAAATCAGTTACTTAAAATCTGACATCAATTATCAATTCATCTCTTTCTACAACAGAGAAAAAAATAAGCTGTCATGAAAGAAATTTGATTTTTTAAGGATGATCTTTTTTTATTATTCTGTTATAGATATTGGTTTATGATTTATGTAAACCTGGGCATAAATTAACTATTGTAAATTAAATGTTGTAAAGTTGGGCATAGATTTATGTGTAATAGCTCACTTTCTGTCCTTTAAATTGATTTTTTATTCTTCTAATTTTTTTTATTCTTTTAAGAATGATTCGTATTTTTTATTTAATCAATTTAAAAATATAAGCGACACTCCGAGCATTCGCCCGGGGCAAGCATCTAGTACACATTATACATTATTGGTACTATTGTTATTTACACTGTTAAATCTGTTAGTTATTATATATTATCACAAAAACAGTACAATTTATCTGTACTAGTGTTATATACTATTTGTACGTACTAGTATTATGTAGTACATTAATACTAATACCCATTATACATTATTGGTACTAGTGTTATTTATTACTGTTAAATCTATTAGTTATCAGATATTATCATAAATTCAGTATAATTCATATGTACTAGTGTTATGTACTATTTGTACGTACTAGTATTATGCAGTACATTAATACTAATACCCATCATTATTGGTACTAGTGTTACTTATAACTGTTAAATCTATTAGTTATTAGATATTATCATAAATTCAATATAATTCATTTGTATTAATGTTATGTACTATTTGTACGTACTAGTATGATGTAGTACATTAATACTATTACCCATTATACATTATTGATACTAGTGTTACTTATTACTGTTACATCTATTAATTATTAGATATTTTCATTAATTTAGTATAATTTATCTGTATTAGTGTTATGTATTATTTGTACGTACTAGTATTATGTAATACATTAATACTATTACCCATTATACATTACTGGTACTAGTGTTACTTATTACCGTTACATCTATTAGTTATTAGATATTATCATTAATTTAGTATAATTTATCTGTATTAGTGTTATGTACTATTTGTACGTGCTAGTATTATGTAATATATTAATACTATTATCCCTGGTACTAGTGTTACTTATTACTATTACATCTATTCTTGATTAGATATTATCATTAATTTAGTATAATTTATCTGTATTAGTGTTATCTACTATTTGTACGTACTAGTATTATGTAATACATTAATACCATTATCCATTATACATTACTGGTACTAGTGTTACTTATTATTGTTAAATCTATTAGTTATTAGATATTATCATTAATTCAGTATAATTAATCTGTATTAGTATTATGTACTATTTGTACGTACTAGTATTATGTAGTACATTAATACTAATACTCATTATACATTAGTGGTATTACTGTTATTTATTATTATTAAATCTGTTAGTTATTAAATATTATCATTAATTCAGTATAATCTATCTGTACTACTGTTATGTACTTTTTAAGCAAATAATCGCATTTTCAGAATCTGAGTCAAGCAAAAAATTAGATTTCCAAAATAAGGCCATAGGGTTTAGGGTTTAACTTCGGATTTCCCAAATCCGAGTGTTACTTATACTCAGATTACCAAACTCCGAGTGTAACCTATAAACGGATTACCAAAATCCGAGTGCAACATATACTCGGATTACAAAAATCTGAGTGTAACATATACTCAGATTTAGAGTTTAGGGTTTAGGTTCGGATTTCTAGAATCCGAGTTTATCAGGGAAACATGGAAGATTCGGATTTCGGAAATCCGATTCGTGTCCAAAATATTACCAACAATTGTACAAAAAAAATTTTCCTCAAAAATTAATATTTTAATCATAAAGTCGGATTTCAGAAATCCGAATTATGATTAATTATGACAGATGAAAAATTTACTTAGTTTTAGTTTTAATTAAAATGAATTCGGATTTTTAAAATCCGTTTTCTATTAAATTCGGATTTCCGAAATCCGAGTTTACCCCGAATTCGGATTTTGAAAATCCGAAGGATATAGATTTGTCCACAGAAATTTCAAAAAAATTAATTTGGTTTACCTTATTTTAAAGAAAATTTTTTAGGTCAAAAACTCTATTTTTATGAGACAAAAGAAACAATGTTACAATAATCAGTATCATTTTAAACACCATGATACAAATCAGTGACAAATTGACCCATCCATGGTCCTACACATACTTATTACAGACATTGAATTTCTTTATTTTAGTTATATTACAACCATTTTTAAAAGGGTAAATTATCCACCCCTCAATAAAATATTTTCGGCGAGCATCTTGGCATCCTTGAAATTTATACTTTTAGCCCCCTTTTTAATCATGTACAAACTACATTATGGTTACATCATCACTACACTAGTGGCTAAAGAAAACAAAAACTCTAGTGGTCTTGTGTCCTGCCATTTAAAAAACAAAACACACACACACAGAAACAAGCAAGCACGAGGTGAAACTCTTCATTTTACAATTAAGACATATGTTTGTTTTGTTTTTTTAACGTGTGTTTTTAGGTATTTTTTCTGTTAAGAATATAAAAAAGATATATTGAAAATGTAAAAAGATATGTTGTGATAAGACAATTATTAATTAAATATCCTGAAAAACTCTAACGGAAAATGAAACAAACAGATTGACGTGGTTTACATCTAAATTTGTACTACCAATTTTTATATATATATAAAATCACAGTTTAAATGTAGAACTTTTTAATTTTGTCAACATGACTAGAGGAATATGAAAAATGCTTTGGTTTTCTTCACGAATCACTATTTTAATACATTATTATGTTGTACTCCTAACAACTAGACTTGTTACTCCCTCCGTTCCAAAATAAGTGTCGTCCTACACTTTGCACATAGTTTAAGAAACTCTTAAATAGAATAATAAAATTACTTGAATATCCTCAACCAACCCCATTATAAAATTGTACACCAATAGCATCAACTCTTTTGAGGGTAATTTTGAAAACTTTTGACAAAAAATGCATTGAAATGTGAGAACGACATTTATTTTAGAATTTCTCTATTTTGCTAAAACGACACTTATTTTGGAATGTAGGGAGTACTTTTCTAAATTTATCGTGGAACAAATGTAATTAAAAACTTTAAAAAGATTATTCTCTTTAGACATGATTAAAAAATCAACTAATTATGTGAACCACCCCCAATGATTGGATGAGAGACATCCGTAAACAAAAAACAAAAAAAAAGTGAAGGGGAAAGAAGTGCAAATTGGTAAAAAATTAAAGGGTAGAAAGTCAAAAGAAGAGGAGCACCATCAATGGCTGTCCATGGTGGGAGCAGAGCATCAACAAGAAGAACATCCCCATAAAAATATCTGATCAGCCAGTCCCTCCCAACTTTCTCGCGTGAATGTCTTTTTCTCTCTCTTTCTCTCTTCTCTTCCTCCAAGAAACAACCAAGAAATTATAACACCAACCACCATTTATATTCAAATCACAACAACTCCCATTCATCAAAGCTCCACAAGAATGGCTTCTTCCTCTGTTGCTTCTTCCCCTGCAGCCAAATTCGTGAAAACCCATTTTGATTTACCCTCCAACAATGACAACCCACATCCCAAAATCCTATCTTTTTCCTCTTCCGTTTCCATTTCCAGCCAGAATTTCCACATCCGGCGATCCAATTCTCCCGCCGCCGTCCTCCTCCCTGTGATAAAAGCTTCCACCTTTACCGCTTTGGAATCTGCCGACATCTCTGTCTCCAATACCAACCCCAAACTCGGCCTCAAGCCCACCATTTTGGTCTCCGAGAAGCTTGGAGAAGCCGGGCTGGAGCTGCTCCGGCGAGTCGGAAACGTGGACTGTTCTTATAACCTCTCCCCTGAGGAATTATGCGCGAAGATCTCACTTTGCGACGCACTCATTGTGAGGAGTGGGACCAAGGTGACCCGACAGGTGTTTGAGGCGTCCAAAGGACGGTTGAAGGTGGTGGGAAGAGCTGGTGTTGGGATTGACAATGTGGATCTGCAGGCTGCCACTGAATTTGGGTGTCTTGTGGTCAATGCTCCCACTGCTAACACCATTGCTGCTGCGGAACATGGGATCGCTTTGCTTGCTGCTATGGCCAGAAATGTTGCTCAGGCTGATGCTTCCATGAAAGCTGGTTCGTGAGTTTTTTTTTTTTTTTTGTTGCTGATTTTTTATTTAATTTTCATGTCAATGTGTCATGCTCTATTAAGTCTATTTAAACTCTGATGTTTGAGATTGCATTACAATTTGATCTTTGGTTCCTACTTTTAGTTTGCATCAGATATTGATCAATGGTTTGCATTGGTGATTAATGCTCGTTTACATTTCTATTGTTTCACATTCATAGAACCTTTTGAGCTTGTAAGTGGAATGATGATCCCACTTTCCTACCCCCCACCATACATAAATTCGAACTCGAACTGTAGATTGTAATCCAACTATTATGCCTCTGGAATGGCGCAGTCTGTATATATCCTGGCATGAAGGTTGATGCTGAGTTCTTGGAGAGTGTGAGATGTTTCACTTGTGTTGCTAATAAAAATAAAATAACAATAGATCCTTGTTAGAAATATCTGAATTCTGGATCCTTGTTAGAAATGTCTGATTTCCTTAGTAATATCTGAATTCTGACTATAGAAAGAAAACTTTGGTCTTTACCTCTGCAGGAAAATGGCAACGTAACAAATATGTTGGTGTTTCATTGGTTGGAAAGACATTGGCTGTTATGGGATTTGGTAAAGTTGGTTCTGAAGTCGCAAGGCGTGCAAAGGGGCTCGGTATGAATGTTATCGCGCACGACCCTTATGCTCCGGCTGATAGAGCCCGAGCGATCGGGGTGGAGCTAGTTTCTTTTGATCAAGCAATTTCCACTGCAGATTTCATCTCGCTTCACATGCCACTTACTCCAGCCACATCCAAGATATTCAATGATGAGACATTCGGGAAAATGAAGAAGGGAGCCCGCATTGTAAATGTTGCGAGGGGTGGAGTCATCGACGAAGATGCATTAGTTCGGGCCCTAGACAATGGAACAGTTGCACAGGTATGCACTGTCGTAATTAAAACTTTCTTTAATGTCTCACCCTAGCCATCATGAACTTTGGGGTTTATGTATGTTAGACTACCATTCTACTGAAACTGCACATAGCTTTTCTACCTTTTTGGATGACATGATCGTTAGCGGCGAAATTCCTTGGATCAGATGATTAAATGAAGGTCACAGATTTGAATTTTACTCTAAAGTATACAGTACTTTCTTATTAAGGATGCAAGATTTTTTTACTCTTTTCTGCCTATTTAGTGGGATAGAAAAATTTCAACTTTATCATAGGGAAGGCATTCTATTCTGTATCTTTGCAGCGCCTTCCTTCTTGAATTGATCCTTGTAATTTTGTCCTGGGATTAACAGGCGGCGCTTGATGTGTTCGCTGAGGAGCCCCCACCAAAAGATAGTAAATTGGTGCAACACGAGAATGTCATTGTTACTCCACATCTAGGAGCAAGCACAAAAGAAGCACAGGTATTAAATGAATCCCCCTCCTGAAAATATGGTACATTATTTTATACAAGGATTTCATTTTATGCTGTTTCTTATCATCTGCATAACTTCATATTTTTAGGAAGGAGTTGCAGTTGAAATCGCCGAGGCTGTTGTGGGAGCACTGAATGGTGAACTTGCTGCGACAGCTGTGAATGCCCCTATGGTTCCTGCTGAGGTAATCAGGCATTCAAGTTTGATGAGCTAGGTATTATCCATGTTTCTGTGTTAAGTTCACACTCTGATATTTGGGCTTCCTGTTTATAATCAGGTGTTGTCAGAGTTGGCTCCTTATGTTGTGCTAGCTGAGAAGCTGGGAAGACTAGCAGTACAGCTCGTCGCTGGTGGGAGTGGCATTCAATCTGTGAAGGTTGTCTATAGGTCAGCTCGTGACCCCGACAACTTGGACACCAGACTTCTCCGGGCCATGATAACCAAAGGTATCATTGAGCCAATATCTAGCTCGTTCGTGAATCTTGTAAATGCTGACTTCACTGCTAAGCAGAAGGGCCTTCGTATTAGTGAGGAAAGGGTTGTTATTGACTCGTCTCTTGAGTACCCAATTGACTCAATCCAAGTACAAATTAGCAATGTTCAATCTAAATTTGCAAGTGCCTTGTCAGAGGGTGGAAATATCAGCATTGATGGGAAGGTGAAATATGGAATCCCACATTTAACACGAGTTGGATCATTCAGCACAGATGTTAGTCTAGAAGGAAATCTGATACTCTGTCGCCAAGTGGATCAACCAGGAATGATTGGGCAAGTTGGGAATATTCTTGGAGAAAGCAACGTTAATGTGAGTTTCATGAGTGTTGGAAGGACAGCTAAGAGGACAAAAGCCATCATGGCTATTGGAGTAGATGAAGAGCCTGATAAGGAAACCCTTAAGAAAATTGGGGAAGTAGCTGCTATTGAAGAATTTGTTTTTCTTGAACTGTAGTATCGGGTGCCAGTTTGTTTTTGTGAAATATTCATGTCAGTAAAGAATCGACATGCTGCTGGTAAGACCAGCAAAACGATTAAAAGTTTTGTTTTGTTTTTCCTTTACCTGTCGGTTGTTGTTCGGTGAATCTGTTTGTCAGAATAAAGTGTCAGGGAACCAGTATACAAGTGTTGAAGCTTCTGCTGATTCATTCTAAGCAGAATAGAAAGGGTGATGCGGTAGTCTTTTCGCAGTCCAGATTCTGTTGGCTCTAGTCGAATTGCTTGAAATTTACTCCTGATGTTTACTTTTATTTGTATTAACTGTTGCATTCAGCTATAAGTTGGCTGTTGGAGCATACATGAAACTTCATTCATGTACAAGTCTATTGAAATGGTTCCCTAATTACCATCATGGTGTTTTAAAAATTCGCCATAGCATTCCAAGTTATTTGTATGGACTTTTAACTGATCTGGTTACACCAACTCTTCTTTTTGGGACATTCAGCAGATTGGTACTCTAAATTTAATTGTAGTATTTTAAGTCGGGATCAAAATAGAACTGCATTGTGCATTCTAATATACCCCCCAAACACAAAGAAACCAACTAGATGCTGTACGTCGAACTTGCCATGATGACCCGACTTTTCTTTTTCTCTTTTTACCCCTTTTCATTTTTGCAAATATTTTTTTTTCCCTTTTCCGTTTCGCAGTCAAAATGTAAAAGGTAACCCTACCATCTCCATTTTTCCCCCCTCTTCTTCTACCATATTTCTCAAAGCCGATGCTTCCCACGGCACGTTTCCCGCGGTCGATTGCTAATCAATCGGCGTTCCGCTTTTCCTACATCGAAACGGTTATTCAGGCCCGTAACTCATGACCTCAAGTTGAAGATCTTCTCCCACGGAATAAGTTCAATTGGTCAAGTCCTCAAGAAGGAAGATTAATAGTCATCGCGATATTAGATGTATTGGATTAATCTCTTATTGGTCAAGATATAATGGCCGAGTTTTATATATCATCATCGCCGAGTTTTTGACCGTATCATCATTCGGCGTTGTTATGAGAAATCATTTTAGCCGGATATATCACCGGAATAATTCGGTGGAAAGGGCCGTTGTTTTTTTAGATCAGTTTTTGGGTTGATAAAAAAGGTGCAATTACGTTAATTTAAGTAAATAGTAAAAAAGAGAGAAAAAAAAACATTTGATCATTTAAACTTGGAAAAATAGTAAACAAAAATTATTACCATTTTATTTTGAAGTTTTATGATTAGATGTATTAACATCCTAATTGAGTAACTTGTATGCATATTATTTTTATTTTGGTGACATTCGATTTATTTTTTTCATGAGTCGAACCCTTAGGGCGTATGAAACTTAGTCATCTTCGGCTGATTTTTGTGTTTTTTGCTTTTTTTAATCTGAAGTGTGAAGAATTTCATCTACTGTGGACCTGAATCTTTCTTCGATTCCGTATTCGTTGAGTCCCATCGATTCTTCCGGTCTTTTTATCCGATTCCTATTTTTTCCTCCTTGTCCTCTCTATCTTTTGCTGTCTAGGGTTTTCAATTTTTTTTTGGCGGATTGTTCTGGAAAGTCATGTGAATCCTCGTAAAAGTTCGCTATTGATCTTTTTATCTTACAAGGTCTTTTGTGATTTGTTTCTCTCGATGCATTCTGTTTTTGTTGAAGCAAACAGAATAGATTCCTTGTTTTAAAGTTGTCGTTTTATTATGACTGAATTTTTTATTTTTTTTTTTGTGTAGCTTTGGTTATTTGCAGCTTTGTTTGTTGATTTCGAATACATCTACATGCCATGTTATCGATTACGCTGCTTGAATGTGTTAGTTTTTCTTTGTCTTCTTGCTTTTCAATTTGAATATTGTAATACAACTAGGATTCACACATAATTTCTTTTTTATTCCAAAAAATCCTGCAGCATAGATAATATACTAAAATACCCTTTCCTAAAACTTATTACTGAGAATAATATAATTAAAGTGCTACGTAAATAAAGAATTAACTTAACCAAAATTCTAACACTTTTGGTTCCTTCCTTGGATCCTGGCATAAGAATAGAAGAACCTACTGGTAGAATCCTTTGACCCTTTCTTTGTCCACATCAAATGTGTCTTTGCCCCCGTTATGAAATTTCTTTACAGCAACTTCCTGCATGAGGGATACGGGACAACACTATTTAGCATATAATAAAAGTTGGGTATGTTTAGATTTTAGTCAAATCATTCAAATTACCTTTTCAAGAGATGTGCAGAGAACTCTATGAACACCGGCAAAAGTCCCATATCCTATCCTGTTGGACCTCTTACAACATGTAAACAAGTGGTCATAGTTGATTGGAATATGAAAACAACTACCACTATCTTTCTTATGAGGCTTGTGCTTAGGTGTCTCTGAATAGAATTAGCAATTAATTAGTAACTAGTCTGAATAGTAGAGTTGATTTATTTATCTCTAATACTTATAAAAGACAGTGGTACGATTAATTGCTTTTGTACGTGTCTCTGAATAGAATTAGCAATTAATAATAGGAAGGAACCATTATTAAGGGAATAAGTGAACATCCAACATGGTAAAAAGTTCTAACACGGTATGCCTTTCATAAATGCAAAAACATGATATAAACTTGATGGGAATTTTAGAACTCAAATACTTAGCCTTCATCAATGGTGGACGAAAGATTAATTACTATTTTGCTGAAAAACATAGATAAGATGTAGATGGTGAAAATAATAGAAAGAAACTGTGGTTTGTGTTCTTTTGAAGAATTCAAATCCAATTTCTCGTGCTGCAATCACAAAAACTGCTTCATCTGGTGACTCAGCTTCATAAGTAATCGTACCTGCATCCTCATCTACTTCAGGTGTAGCAGTATAACAAACTGCCAACATCCGCATGAGGTTCATCTTGCCAATTGCCATCCATTATCTGCTCATCATCAGTAATTTTTCCGATTATCAGTAATTAGCACAACCCATTATCAGTAATTTCTATGCTTGTAGTGTTATTGCTTGGTTTGGGCGGTGCATCGTGGGCTGCACAAAAGGATTAATAAAACAAAGCTGGGTAGGAGTAAAATACATGACATATGCACGAATGGCATAGACATAAAGGGTCCAAGTTTCTACATGTAATAACACATGAGGTTGACATGGCGATAGCTATTTATCTGGAGCAATTTAACTAAATTCAAAATAACTATAAATTGACACATTCGATTTGGAGGGAAAAAATTGCACCACATGTGCGACACGTGGACAGGAGGGGGAAAAATTAGCGCGAGGTGCTGCTCAAGAGCCTTCTGTTTTAGTATATAGATAGATTTCAATATTGGAAACACGTTAGTGATAGAGAGGTCGGCGGTTGATTGATTGTTCAAATGGAAAGGAGAAAGTCTTTGAATTATGTAGTAATAAAAATTCAATTTATTTTCTCACAAAATGGTGGGATTTTTTTATTTTTTTTTTTAACATGGAAGAATTATTGGTAGTTAACTAAAAAATAATGAACTTAATTACTTTTATTATTTCTCAAAAATTAATTATGTATTTTATATTAAAGACCGGATGGATTACTATTCTAATAAGAACATAACAGATAAAGATAAATGTTGGTTTTATTTGATTGAATGAATAGCAAAATGTGATCTAATTTTTTTTTCTCTTAGATCAGAGTGATCTAAATTTTACTGTACAATGTGACTGAGTTGGTGCTGTTGTATCGATGAAAATATGGACAATGTTGGAGGAACATAGTTTGGAAATTTCCTTTTAAAATAACATAGTTCGAGAATTTCAACAAATTGATTATATGAACAAACAATTAGAATAGTAAATTTTGGATACATAGTAAATTAAATTTCACTTATAATCATTCAACTGTAAAGGAAACAAAAATCAATGAATTCTAAACCCCTTTTTTGACAAATAAATCTAAACTATTTTTGAAATAGTGTGGATAGTTCTTATTTCATTTCTAGCTTCGGTTCTCTCATGAATGCTCAATTCCCCAAGGTAAAATGGTTAGAATTATATTCATTTGAATAGCTCAATTTCCTGAGGTTAGAGTTATATTCATTTGATGAATAGATCAATTTATTAAGGTAATTTCTTCTGTGTTAAAAAAAAAGGTAATTTCTTTTTATAGTAGTACGGAATGTAATGAATTTAATGGTTTTTTATTTTATTACAAATTGTATGACCAATTTTCAAAATAATGGTGATAATGTAGTTTCTTTTATTTTCTTTTTCCCCGAAAGATAACTTTTGAGATGTACGAATCCAAACTATAACCTAACCTCTTAAGCAGTTTAAGCCATCATAATTTTTTTTTTCATTTTCTTATTGTTGCAGTGGTCTATCTCTGAATATGCTCTGTGTATTCTTAAATTTCATTATTTTTTTTTGAATTTTTTTTTACCATATCACAGAAATCCAGATAAAAAACTGTGAAATTTAAAAATGAACAAAGAATATTCAGAGATAGACCATTGCACCAGAATAAAATTTTTGAGACAAAATCAAAATTAAGAAAACAAGTGAAAGAAACAATGAAAGAGGTGACTCAAACAAAGAGGGCTGATAATTTCACTGGATTATTTGAGAAATAAATTTTCTAAGAAAATAAAAAATCCAACAACGAAAAACGTTCTATAATGAAGCTCCTTTTCTGGGCTACTTCGTTGGCGGAGAGGTGATGGTGAGACGTCAGAAAGCAAAATATCGGGGTTTAGGAAGGCTGAAATCTGGAAATGATTTAATTATTCCTTTAATTTGTTTTTTTTTTTAAAAAAAAAAATTAGATCAGAGACTAGTAGAACCCACAATTCATTAAAAATCAATAAGAAAATAAAAATTTAGCGAAAAAATGAATTACGCCATTAAGTTTTTAAATAAATATGTTTAAATGACTAAAATTGTTGAAATAAAAGATATTAGGGGATTAATTTTGTTGTTTGAAAATACGTTACGGGCCCTAATTCAGTAAAAAAAATTAAAAAATTTAACGAGGAAAAGAGTTGACCATTTGTTGACCAAAAATTCCGAAATTGATTAAAAGTGTTGAAATAAAAACGTTTTAGGAGACTAATTTTGTTGAACAAAAGTTTTTGGTGATTTGGTCTTGCTACCTCCCAAACTTTAAGGACCAAAAGTGAGTTTCATCTTTAATATTTTATGAATTTTATTATTATTTTAATTATTCAGATGATTTTATTTTTTTTTTTATCCATAAAATGTTTTCTGGAAACGAAAATTGTGAGATACCCAAAATACCAATCTTGACTTGACGTGAGAAGTGATCAAAATACCGGAATAGTGCTAGAGGACAAAAAAAAAGAAAAGTTATGAACGTATATGTGAATTACCACTTGAGAGAAATGTTATTGTAGAGAATTAAAATGTGCAAATCACCCACTTGAATTCAGTTAATATGTGTAAATTTGTAAGGATTAACCTACTTGAAATGTTAAAGACACACTTGTGCGCTTTTTCTAACATATACTCCGTTGTGACTTCTCCAAAAAAAATTTT